CAGGGAACTCTGGGAGGTGAACAGGGAATCTGCTAGCAACTCTCAGTACCCTTAACAAACTACACTTCCCAGGATTCATTGGGGGAAGCCCAAAGCTGTAGCCACATGTAATAGCATAATTAATGATGTGATTGTTATGTGGTTTGTTTCACATGCTGGAAAAATAATGACGGCGAACTACGGGCTGGAAAAGAAAAGTTGACAGCGATTACTAGTCCTACTTGCCAGGTTATATAGGCTGCCCCTTAAAAAAGTGGGAGTTCCTGCACCTCCTTTTCTAGAAAAAAAGGAATATCTATTAAAATTTTATTAAATCTCCAAAACCCCCCAAAACATTTACCATCCTATACAAAACAACAACAACATCAACATAACTTTCTTCTTGACTTCCCACCCCTCCTTTCCTGATGTTTGTTTTTTACTTCTTTTTATTAGCTGTTTTACAATACATGTGCTTTTACTATCTGAACTTTGCTATTCTGAGTTCTTTCAGTAATCCACTGCTTCTGTTTCAAATCCTGCCCTTGACTTCATGTATGGGTGATACTTTGATAGATAATCCATCAATGGTCTCTATTCCTCCTTTAACGCTTCGCCATTATGTCCTCTTCGTCTGGTAGCTAATTTCACCATTTCAGTATAAGTTTGCATTCCACTGTCGAACACCTCTTGTTCTTGCCAACGTTTAATCTGAATCTCCTTCCCTGTGTTTTGATTCTGTTGGTTCGGGCCCTACCCTCTGGGGCCGCAGGAAACACGCTTGCTCCCGAAGGCCTTTAGGGAGGTATTCTTATATGCAACGGCTGCAGCTCGGACTTCAGTGGCAAAGGGGCGGAAGGAAGGAGAAGTCCCAACAATAACGGATTGGCATAACAAGCTACAAAAATTTGCTGAAATGGTGCAGTTGACAAACAGCCTGAGAGGCAACTCAAAACAAAAAATTATGGAAAAGTGGGATAGATATAAGATATACGTTCAAAAATACAGTAAAGGTTTGCTATCTATGCTAGCATTCGATTGACGTTGGAGAGAAATTGAGTTGAGAAATAAGATTAAGGGTACATATTGATATAGGAATGTATTAGAGAAAATGTAAAGGAATATACTGTACAATAATAAGAGTACATTCATTTGTAAAAAAGGAATATACAACGTGATTGACAGGAAGTCTGTAGTGTTGGTACATATATGATTTTGGAATAGTTTTTTTCTTTGTTTTCTCTTTCCCCCCCTTTCTTTAGGTATATAAATTTTGTATATAAACTTTGTATACATGTTGGAAATTATACTATAATAAGTCATGTAATGGGACGTGAGTGGTGCTGTGGGTTAAACCACAGAGCCTAGAACTTGCCGATCAGAAGGTCGGTGGTTCAAATCTGTGCGACGGGGTGAGCTCCCGTTGCTCGGTCCCTGCTCCTGCCAACCTAGCAGTTCAAAAGCACGTCAAAGTGCAAGTAGATAAATAGGTACCGCTCCGCCGGGAAGGTAAACGGCGTTTCCGTGCGCTGCTCTGGTTCGCCAGAAGCGTCTTAGTCATGCTGGGCATGTAACCCGGAAGCTGTACGCCGGCTCCCTCGGCCAATAAAGCGAGATGAGCGCCGCAACCCCAGAGTCGGTCCCGACTGGACCTAATGGTCAGGGGTCCCTTTACCTTTACCTTTAAGTCATGTAATGTAATATGACAATGTATACATATGTAACACAAGAACGTTAAAAAAGAAAGAAAGAAAATAAGCTTCCTCCATCTTCCATGTGGCAGCCCCTTAAGGGGAGACCTTTATTGCCTTTTGGCTGGTTATTACAGGGGTTTTGCCCTTCATCTTCTCTCCTCCCATGGTCAGCTTTACGATGCTAGCCTTCTGTTCTTTCTACGCTTATTCTCCTCCCAGAAATCATGATCAGTGGGGGCTCAAACTGGGAGGTGGAAGAGCAGATATACACAAGGGTGTATTCCTCTGAGGGCAATATAACCGGAAAAACACTGGGAGGCAATTTTCTTTTTTCTTCTTCATTTCCAAGGCTGGGTAGATTGGCATTTACTGGACATGGCCCAGATTTTGCTAGGACCTTATCTCGGGGCAGGCATATGGTTTGCACTGGCTCTGCTGATTAATGTACCCAGACACTCCTTAGAAACCAGTAGCCAGAGAAGTTGCTGATAGCGGGTTGGGTGTGGGATCGTAGGAGAAAGGTGGGAGAGGACGTTCAGAAACCAAAGGATTCCAAAACCTTTTTTATAAAAAAAAATATTATAATAATTCCCCTAAGCATTCAACTTCTGCAATTAAAGTAAAGCCTCGCCCAACTTGTCAGCACACAGATTGTGGCTTGTTCGTCATTTGAATTGGTTGGTCGTATTTCAGGAGCTCTGCCCTTAGCAAGCAGAAAACTTGGGCTGGATAAAGTTTTGGGTGTCGTCGATAAGGGTAATCAAACTTAGCCTTTCCATGGGACGTTTTAGAGTATTCAGATCTCGGCAGTCCTTACAGCAACCTCATAAATTCGATTAATATTATTGCTCCCATTTGGCAGATAGGAGGACTGAGGCTGGGGGCGGGGAGGGAGGAGTAGGGGAGACATGCCTAAAGGCACCCAAAGAATGGGTCATAGTAAATTTGGGATTTCAATGGGGATGTTCCAAGTTGATAGCTCGGAAGCTGAAAGCTGGCTGCCCAAGCATGCAGATGGGAATTGAGAGGTAATTTGCACCTGAGGTAGTAGAACAGAATATGGCAGACTGGAGATTTAGGGTTGCCATATTTTGAAGAGCAACAAAGAGGACACATTTGCTGGCTTCAATTTTTAACTGTGGATCACTATGACGACTCTCATTTTACATACCCATGAAAAAGAGGAGGTGTCCTGGAAAAAGAGGACATATGGCAACCCTTAGATTTAAAAGCAAAGCAAATCACCCTTGTCCTGGAAGTAGAATCTAGCACAAGAGGGAAGCAGCTGAGCTAATTTCTCCTTGGTTTGTTGCTGCTTTTAAAGGGTATTTTCTTTTTTAAAAAAATGTGGTAATGCATTCAAAAGAAAAGACTTCCAAAACATATAGTGGCACTATCTATTCCATACCTTCCAACATTTCTCTGATGAAAATAGGGATGTCCTAAGGAAAAGTGGGGTGTGGGTGGCGTTGTGGTCTAAATCACTGAGCCTAGGGTTTGGCGATTGGAAGGTCGGCGGTTTGAATCCCCGCGACGGGGTGAGCTCTCATTGCTTGGTCTCAGCTCCTGCCAACCTAGCAGTTCGAAAGCACGTCAAAGTGCAAGTAGATAAATAGGTAAGGTAAATGGCGTTTCCGTGCGCTGCTCTAGTTTCTCCAGAAGTGGCTTAGTCATGCTGGCCACATGACCTGGAAGCTGTACGCTGGCTCCCTCGGCCAATAAAGCGAGATGAGCACTGCAACCCCAGAGTCGTTCGCGACTGGACTTAACTGTCAGGGGTCCTTTACCTTTAAGGAAAAGTGGGACATTCCAGGATCAAATCAGAAACCAGGACGGCTTCTGTAAATCCAGGACAGTCCTTGGAAAATAGGGACACTTGGAAGGTCTGTTATTCTACCACCACAGGATTCTACCACTTCATTTTACTGCAGTTGTATTATATATATTAATAATAGCATGGCATGTGCTATCAAGCTATCAGGCTAGGGGTTCAGTCCCTTATGTGCAGGAATTCAGCCTGGGATGGATGCAGTTACAACTAGTAATCTCCTACACACATTCCTGCCCAGATAATCGCCTCTACCCTCCTCACCCATTTTTCCTCTCCTTCTTCCAACTGGCTAGATCCCTCCGCAACTGCCGTTTCATACGCTGTCAACGTCCCAAATCTACTACCCTTAAAATGCCCTGTATCTGCCTTCGCTAAACCCTCCAGAAGTTTTGGACTAGCCAGCGTTATGGGAGTTGTAGGCAAAACCTCTGGAAGGCATAATACTAATAATAATTTATTTATTCCCCAGCCACTCTGGGCGGCTTCCAACAGAATATTAAAATACAATAGTCTATTAAACATTAAAAGCTTCCCTAAACAGGGCTGCCTTCAGATGTCTTCTAAAAGTTTGGTAGTTGTTTATCTCTTTGACATCTGGTGGGAGGGCGTTCCACAGGGCAGGTGCCACTACCAAGAAGGCCCTCTGCCTGGTTCCCTGTAACCAGTACAGTGGTACCTCAGGTTACATATGCTTCAGGTTACATATGCTTCAGGTTTCAGACTCCACTAACCCAGAAATAGTGCTTCAGGTTAAGAACTTTGCTTCAGGATGAGAACAGAAATCGTGCTCTGGCGGCGCGGTGGCAGCAGGAGGCCCCATTAGCTAAAGTGGTGCTTCAGGTTAAGAACAGACCTCCGGAACAAATTAAGTACTTAACCTGAGGTACCACTGTAATCTGTAACCAGGTTAGCAGAGGCAAAGCTACATCAAACAATCTCCTCCCTGCTCCCCTCTAAACACATACCCCAAACACAGTTCACTATATATTGCAGTACAATAGGTTTAAACCTTGCATGGCATATTGCATGTGTGTGTGTAAATTAAGCTCTCTGTGATCCACGGATGTCTTTTAAATTTGCACAGAAGGAATGCATTCTTATTAGTTAAGGTGTTACTGATTGCATTTTTTCCTAATTTAATTATGTTTTAACTATATCTGCCTTTTAAATCTGCCGTTTGTCTAGTTAGTTATTCGGAGTCTGTGCTCTCGGTTTGCAAAACTGCTGCTTAGATGGCAGAAGCCTAGGCAAGAGCCTGCCTTTCTTTAAGAAGAAAGGAGGGAAGAGAGAGAAAGTATTTTCAGAAGAAAGCAGTTGCTGAGAAGGGAGCATCCAAAACAGGCGCTTGCTTCCCCCGCGTACTGTTAAGCCTTTCGTACAGGTGGACAGCCAGGGCTGGCTGCCAAATTCTTTTGGTTTAGAGGGAGTGGTGGGAAGGAATCCTTCAAACCGCTCCTAGAAGGGCTTAACTTTCCTCTTTCAAATGAGGGACAAGCTACTACGTTCTGCTGCAGACGCACGGGGAGAATGCCTTTTTGCAGATGTCTTTCTAAAACAGAACAGCACGTTTTTACGACTGAAGGCTCCAGGGAAAAGGAGGAGGAAAGAGTTGCGGAGGTAGGTCAGGCTAGTCTTCTCTCTCTCTCTCTCTCTCTCTCTCTCTCTCTCTCCCCTGCTTCGCTCTTTCCCCGAGAAAGGGTGGTTGGAGTTTATTATTTTCCGTGCTTCCAAGTTTATTTAATCACAAGGAAGCATCCTGTCTTCTCTGTGCAGAGGCTAATTTGGTTAATTAAAAAAATGTTTCCAGTCTGCCTGAAGTGCCATAGCGTGTTTCGGTTTGTTGTTCTCTTTTACAGTCTATCACAGCCAACATGTTTTGTTAATTGCTATTCAAAGGAGAAGCTGTGATTCTCTCTCCTGTCTTTTTAGTGCTTCTTAAATCCTTCCAAAACACACTGGCGTCTTGGCTTGACGTCAACCCAGCAGATAGTAACAGCATCGTCAATTTTTGCATGTTTTCCCCCCATGTTGGATTCAATACATTATTTTTAATCTTCTTTTTCTTTTCTTTTTTGGCTGCTAAAATGTGGCATGGACATACCTTGTTGTTTTAGTGTCTTACTGTGAGTTTGGGCATACTGGATTTTTGTATCCGACAAAATTGTCTCTTTCAGCTTTGTTTGAATCTCCCTTTTTCATGGGGTTTGATTCATATATCTGACGGTCGCCTTTATGCTCCTTTGTGCCTCTACAAACATGTTGAGTAAAGACTTACCCTGGAATTTAATGTTGCAGATGCTCAGGGCTGTAGTTTTAAAAGCCACTCAAAGCGACTGGTTCCACTGCTCTCAGGGAAGAAGTCTGTCATTATGTACGGAAAACAAGAAACTATCTTATAACCATTGTGTCACTGTGATCCGAAACTCGGGATGGAATATCCTGTGAATAGCTTTGTGCAACTTTTGTGTGGGTTTTTCTCTTTCTTTTTGCAAATCAGATACTAGGAAACAGATGAGGTACTCATCTTTGTCTTTTCACAGTTCAACCTGTGTGTGTCTACTCAGAAGTAGGCCCCAAGTAAGTGTGTATAGGACTGCAGGCTCAGGTGTATGTTGGCTTAAAAAAAAATGTTGCAAACATTCTCTGGATCATCATGGTGAAAATAATATTTTATACCTTTTGGTGTGACATAGAAATTGCAGTGATGTGCTTGATCGTCCATCAGAATAACCTCTTGCCTCTCATAGCTGAATGAGCCCTGAATGTGGTCAGGATTAGAGATGAGCAAATCTGTCAATCTACGTTTCCCATTTTTCCATTCTTAAGGTCATTTTTCCACATTTCTACATCTGTTTTCTTTTTCTTTTTCTTTTTAAGAAAAATTCCCTTGTGAAAGTTCACCATCAAATTACTCCTGAAGTTTTGTGTTCAATTCCCCTGATAAACATGTTTTTGGAAAGCACCCCCCCCAAATAACTTATTTTTGTATGCTGTCAATAATAATAGATGCACACAGTCCATTATATGCCTCTTTGTACAGATTACTTGCTTGGAGAAGTACCCTGAAAAATTCAGAGGTGCGATTTTTTTAAATTAAGAAGATGGCTGTTTTTCAGTTTGCGTATTGTTCTGTAAATTACAAATCAGGCAGGTTCACTTTTAAATGTAAATGGAATCGAATTGTTCCCCTTCCTTAGCCAGGATGTATACATTTGCTTTTTTCTTCTTCTGCATAATACGTACCTGAAATCTTCGTGGAAAACTGCTATATGGCCTTTCGTGAATAGTGCGTTGTTCGGTTTCTTTAGTAAAGAGCAGCTTGATATCATCAGTCTTGTAGGAATTGCTTGGACTGGAGTACAGATTATTTAAACAATCCATTGATGGCTGGACTGTGGGTTTCCTTAAATCACACCAAGGTTAGGGACACTGAACTTTTTGTCACCCTTGGGATTTCTGAGGCACAATCGTCTCATGGATATCTGTTAAGAAATTGCAAACACACACACAAAACAATGTGTTTATCATGTTTGTACACAAACACCCATTTTCGTCCAAAGACTTCAGAGGCTTAGCATTTCCCTCAAACTTTGCTGGAAAACGTTGCTAGCTGTACCAAACATTTCCTTGAAATTTAACTGAGGAAGAAGCTCAAAATTCGCCTTGAATATCTCTTTAGGGAAAATCCAGTGATTGCTTTGTGACATGCAGGAAGTCCAACTGCCACTGCCACCCCATGAATGTTTACTAGTCTTTACGGAACTCTTTTTTGCTTTCCTCCCAAATTCCTTGCATCTTTTGCATGAGAAACTATCCGGATTTTGCTTTCACTGTTGCTCTGGGCGAAACGTGGGTGGTAGCTCTAGGTTCTCTGTATTTTCTGACAAAATCGGTTCGCTTCATAGAAAGATGGTGCGCGAGCCAAACAAGCAAGTCTTTTAGTGTTGCTGTTGACGTTATTAGTAATATTATTTATAGTTCTGTCATTATATGTGCTGCTTTCCTGTGCAACACAGGCAAGCAACCTGCAGTGATCCAAGGAGTTTGCTCCTTGTAAAGGGGAGCTAAAAACATAGGGGGAGGGCAGAGGAAGAAGCAGGTGTAGCAAGGGTTAAGTGCAGGAACACACAGGGAATATACACACAGAGGCTTAAGACGGCGGTTGAATGGGTTAGTCCCGATTCCAGTGGTATTTATTCCCCAAGAATAAAGTTTGACAAAACTGTCGATTTCTGTTTCTCCCAGTTTCTCATTATTTCAGTCTTGTGTTAAGTTCACTTTGCCACATTTCCACATTGTTTTGCTTTGTTTGTTAAAGACTGTCCTAACGAAAATTCATCAGCATTTTAGAGCAGATTTCTTCTTCTTTTTTGTAAGCATTTTTGTTTTCAAGCCATTCCCCCTAATATAATGCATTTTAAATGTTATTTTTAATAATATGTGTATTTTCATCCTTACTTTCCCCTGATATACACCTTTTGGGTTGGAGAAGTACACTGCAAAATTCAGCAAAGTGCAGATTTCAAAAGATGGATCTGTTTTGCTTTGTGTATTGTAAACTACATACCGAACCAAAGTTTTCCTCCAGCGTTACCTGAGAGAGCCTCCATTTCCAAAATATAGATTCCCTTGCAGCCCCCATATTATATTTTTTCACATTTCAGGGTAATAAACATGTTCATACAATTGCTCTGATTACATGACATTCAGTGGCAGTAATTTTAAGGATTTTCGGAGCCCTGTGCATATTTGCAGAGTTAGTTTCAACAGCTAAGCAAGAAAACATAACGTTGTAGCCCAAATAAGTGCACTTGACAACCCTCTACTGCTAGGCAGAAGACCAGCATTCACCAGAAATTAGTACAGTTCAGTAGAAAGCATGCAAAAAATAAATTAAATGAAATTGAGAACTGGCATAACATAGTGTCTAAAGCATAGTTATCAATTCAGAATCAAGGAATTGTAGATTTGGAAAGGACCTCTGTAAGCTTTGGAAAGGCCCGCTGGGATGCCTAAATCACAGCTAGGTTGCTGCTTCAAATGTCACCTCTGCCATGAGCCCACCAAGGCGCCTTAAGGAAGTGTCTCTCTTGACTCTTCGGCCCATTTGTAAGTGGACATTACAAGCTCTCGGAGATGATTTCGCAACCCTGGGTCCTTTTTTGCTGCCATGCCTGGTTTGGTTTAGTGTGTTGTTTGAACTTGGACTCCATCTGAACTGGACCAAGCTGCCTCTACAAGCTGTGGTCCAAAAAGAAACGAGGTTTGGCTTAGCATGTCGTGCGAACCAACTCAGTGCATGTGAGGCCCTATGAAGTTGCGCTATGAAGATAATAATAATAATAATAATAATAATAATAATAATAATAATAATAATTTATTTATACCCCGCCCATCTGGCTGGATTTCCCCACCCACTTTGGGCGGCTTCCAACAAAATATTTAAACGCAGTAATGCATCAAACATTAAAAGCTTCCCTAAACAGGGCTGCCTTCAGATGTCTTCTAAAAGTCTGGTAGTTGTTTATCTCTTTGACATCTGATGGGAGGGCGTTCCACAAGGCAGGCGCCACTACCGAGAAGGCCTTCTGCCTGCTTCCCTGTAACTTGGCTTTTTTTTGCAGCAAGGGAACCACCAAAAGGTCCTCAGCACTGGACCTCAGTGTCCGGGCAGAACGATGGGGGTGGAGACGCTCCTTCAGATATACTGGACCGAGGCCGTTTAGGGCTTTAAAGGTCAGCACCAACACTGAATTGTGAAGGTGATGTATGGTTGGTGTGAGAATCAGGGAAGAGAAGATCTCCCAGGATGGGAGGCCAGGAGAAGAAAGTGAAGCTCCCAGGTGAGAGCTGGGAGAATTCACCTCTTTCTGAGTGGGGTAAGAGTTAAGATTTACCTGTGAGAGAGATCTTTGTATTCTTCTTTTTCTCTTCTCTTCTTTTCTGTTTTTTTCTTTTTTCTTTTTGGTAATGCATTATGAAAAGTCTTAATAAATTCTTATAAAAATAAAAAAGCAGTTGCGCTACAGAAGAACGTCTTCCGGTTGTTAAATCCCTGCAGCTGGGATTGAAATCTGAATTCAGTTCTCTGAAACTGCCCTTCGTTCAGGTGTCCAGTTATGTTCCTAGCGAAGCAAGCATGGAAATTCATGTCATTGCCCCAATCCTACAATAGCATTTAAGTTTGTGATCAAAGTAGTCAATCAGAGCTTCTGAAGAATAGAGCTGTGGTTGTTCGTGATATTTTACCCCATGGAGGGTCTTCATATCTCTTCGTTTCAGCCAAAGGCCTGTTGTGGGACCTAATCACTTTCCCGCTGCGTTCATGCTAGAGTCAGCATTCTCTCTCTCTACACACTGAATGGCTGAAACCACACTGTAGCGATGGATTTCACCACAAAACTATCACCCCCCCCGAATCCCTTTGTTGTGGGTCTTGTCAATGGCTCAGACTGGTGCTAAAGGATGCTTCTTTTAAGTTATTGCTTTTGTTTTGATTGCAAAGGCAATGTGCTCCAGCAAATATAGCTCAGTTGGAAGAGCATGGAAATTCTTAATCTCAGGGCAGTGGGTTCGAGTCCCGTGCTGGGCAAAAAGATTCCTGCATGGCAGGGGGTTGGACTAGATAACCCTCACGGTCCCTTCCAGGTCTACAATGCTGTGAATCTATTATTCTAAATATGCCCTCTTCAAGGGCAGTGGTTCAGACGGACAGCCCTGCCTTTTGCCCTCTAGAGCTGAGTGAGGAGAACACAGTTGCGTAGTATCAAACGATGTAGATCTGCTAGAGCAAGGATTTCCATTTGCACAGGAGAACTCCCCCACGCCCTGCCGTTGCTCTATGCTCCCACATCCCCCCAAATCTGTTCCAGAGGGTTTGGGGAACTTCCAGAACAGATTTAGGGGGTACACAGGGTGAGAAGAAAGGGGGAATATTCCACTGAGCTGTCAAAAGTCCTTACCCTGGCCTATAAAATTCGAGAAAGCGAGCGATATATAGCCGCCCCGGCAGCATATCTCTTCTTTCTGGTATCCAAAAATGCAAGAATGGCCTTTACACTCACCAGAAGCTCAGCTCTGCCCTCGCCGGTCCTGGAAGGAGCCTTTAAAAAAGCCCATACGCTCAGAGACTTTGCGCCTGTACATTGGGGGATATAGGAAGCCCAGAGCACTTGTTCTTTAGATGTCCCTTTTATGAAGAGGCACATAGTGAGACCATTGAGCCCCTGCTGGTGAGGCTCGCTCACCTCCCAGAAAAACAAAAATTCTACCTTTTCCTGTTAGGCAAAGATCAGAAGACGGTCTGGATGGTCACCAGATTCTGTGTACAAATCTGTAGGCGCAGACCATCCCCCAACTCGAACTAGTTCGTTAAGAAAATCCCCAAACTTAGTTTTATGGGTGACTCTGGGTCAGATCCCTGCGGTAGTTTATTGTTGTACATTGTTTTTAAATTTATTGTTGTACATGGTTTTAATTGTTTGTTTTCCTTCTGTGACTGTACTCCCAAGTGTGTTTTATAAGCTGGTCTCCGATCTATCTTTGTCTGTCTGTCTATCTATCTATCTATCTATCTATCTATCTATCTACATCATCTATCTATCTATCATCTATCTATCTATCCTTACCCTGGTGGACCTAATTTGTTGCCTGCTGCCCCATATTTGTTGAAAAAGTGCTCAACTGTGCATGCAACATATCAAGTGAAATAAGAGGTTGCCCAGTTGAGTGCTCTTGTTCATGACATCAGGAGGAACTTCCTGGAGATAAGAGCTGTTTGACAGTGGAGCGGACTCTCTTGGAAAGTGATGGACTCTCCTTCACTGGAAGTTTTTAGGCAGAGATTGGATGGCCAGCTCTCATAGATGGCTTAGTTGAGATCCCTGCATTGCAGGGGGTTGGACTAGATGACCCTTGGGGTCCCTTCCAACTATGATTCTACGACTCGGAGATTATCCATTCCACTCTCTTCCATTCTGTTTGGTTTTCTGTCCACCTGCTTCAACAGACTCCCAGCATCCTGCTGCCATTGAACATGTTCAAGTCCCATTCGGCTTTTCTGTTTTTTTCCTTCTCTTGGACCTTTTGTCATAAAGAATGCTTGTATTCTGACAAACCTTGTGGTTCCCTCAAACATGACAGTGGCACCTCCGTTTTCTTTTTTGGCAGCCCCAATTCGGAGGCACAACAGTCATAACACAACACCCAAGCTTGTGGTATTTGTGGGTGTGTTTGTGTCTAAACAGGACGCGGGTGGCGCTGTGGTCTAAACCTCAGAGCCTCTTGGGCTTGCTGATCAGAAGGTCGGCGGTTCGAATCCCTGCGACGGGGTGAGCTCCCGTTGCTCTGTCCTAGCTCCTGCCAACCTAGCAGTTCGAAAGCACACCAGTGCAAGCAGATAAATAGGTACCGCTGTGGCGGGAAGGTAAATGGTGTTTCCATGCAGTGCTCTGGTTTCAGTGTTCCGTTGCATCAGAAGCAGCTTAGTCATGCTGGCCACATGACCTGGAAAAACTGTCTGTGGTCAAACGCCTGCTACCTTGGCCAGTAAAGCGAGATGAGCACCACAAGCCCAGAGTCGTCTGCGACTGGACTTAACTGTCAGGGGTCCCTTACCTTTTTTAAACATGTCTGAATACCCACTTGCTCTCCATCCGACATCGGTTTGAGGATTTCTTAATTCATCTTCCTTGACCAAGCGACCTCTAAGCAAGCAACATGGTTATGCAAATCTGCTTGATTTGAATAATGCATTGGGTGTTGGGGATTTATTCTCGGAACATAATTTATTTCCAGTGTTTCAGTTTAGTATACTAGCTGTGGAATGTGGAGACATCTTTTCGGTTAAGTCTCGTTTCCCCACTTTGCATGGACCCCTCTCAAGAATATCAGCAGCCCCTCTGAAGGCACATCTTGCACTCCGTAGACCTTTGCAAAAAACTAGTGCAATGGCATACAGTGGTACCTTGGTTCTCAAACTTGATCTGTTCCAGAAGTCCATTCCAAAACCAAAGCGTTCCAAAACCAAGGCGCGCTTCCCCATAGAAAGCAATGAAAAATGGATTAATCCGTTCCAGACTTTTAAAAACAACCCCAAAACAGCAATTTAACATGAATTTTACTATCTAACAAAACCACTGATGCATAAAATGAAAGCAATAATCAATGTACTGTACTATAAAATAAATAAGACAGTATTGTAGATGATAAAAATTAAAATTATTATTTTTTCTTGGCTGCATTGATGATAGTCATTGTTTGGATGGGGGGCTTTTATCCATTTCTGCAGTCACACAATCAATCAATCAATCAATCAATCAATCCGTAGCTGAACTGGGTTCCATACAGTCACAAAAACAAGTCACAAAAACGAAGTCACAAGCCACAGTCACAAAAACGAAGCCACAAGCCGCAATCACAAGTCAGTCCCCTAAAACGAAGAACAAGTCACAGTCAAAAAAAAGGAAGAAGCCACACAAACAGAAATGCAAAAGTTAGCAAAAACAAAAGCTCCAAATATTACCTCTGCGTTGCATGGGTGCTCTGGACTCAACAGCCGACAGACTCAACAGGAAGCGGAACATGTTCCACTTCCAAGGCAAAGTTCACAAACCGGAAAACACCTACTTCCGGGTTTGCAGCGTTCTGTTTCCAAGATGTTCATAAACTTAGCTGTTCTAAAACCAAGGTACCACTGTACTGGGTTTATAAAACCTCCTAGTTCTGATTCAGTATGTGTTCATTTTACATTCTGCACAGAAAACCACACTCCATTTCTAGATTAATGAATCCAGAACAACCACCCACTGTCCTGCTAGTTGCTTTCATAGTGTGGATTTTCAGAGCTTCTGAGTTTTTGGTTATTTTTATTTATTTATATAGAGAGGGAGAGCCGAAAAGGTTCCCAAGGCCACAGACTTACAGTCTAGAAGTCATGACACAGAAGGGGGGAGGAACAAGCAGAGAAGAGGGAAAATGCAAACTGAGGTGCTAGTTCTTTAAATTAAACAGAAGTTTTTACAACGACTAATTAAGTAGTTCTTAATTAGAAGCTTTCTTATTGTGGCTCCTGTCCCTATAATTTCTCCTGACCAGTGGGGGATATGGTATTATTGAATTGTCTCTTAATTAGCCTCCCTGTATTCCCAGCTTTAGTTATTGTTGTCTGTTGTTAATTTTGCTTTTTCACCATGTAGAGCAATAAAAATAAAAGCAGTGAGAGGAAACAGTAATTAAAGCCCCTGGAACTAAGGAATTAAGTGGGGCAATTCAGGGGCAATTCATCAATAATTTTTGGGCATGGTGAACAGGAAGCAATTACAGCCAGGCACCACACGGAAGAATCTTTTAATTAAACATGCAGTAGAGTTTTGCTGGGTGGCACATACTTCTCTGTGTTATGTGGTTTTTAATGTGTGCTCTTAGAATCTCCTCACGCCAGTCAAAAACTGTGCATAAATTTGTACTTTACACTGGAATTAAATACATTTTATAAGACTAGGCTATCAATTTACATAAAAATGCAAATAATCACCACTTGAATTAATCTGAATTTTGAATTGTGTTATTGCTTTGGTTACTTCTGCAGCCCTTTTTGATCCAGAGCTTTATTTCCTCATGAACGACAAGAATTCCATGTAATAGTTGTCAAGTCCTCCTGTGTGTGACACACATGTTCACAAATTTCCCAGTTCATTGAAAAGGTTTCTGCTTTAGGTGTTCTTTTTGTGTGTGTTTTCAACCCTTACTCAGTTCTTTTTAAAAAATATTTCAGGTGTTTTTAAGGATTTGCCTGTAAAATTAAAAGGGTAGATGACATGGGCGTAGCCAGGATTTTTGTTGGGGGGGGGCAGAACTCAGTGGGGGAGGGCAGGACTTTTGTTGGGGGCAGAACCAACGTGATTGTTCAGTTAGTTAAGTAACTTAGAAGCCAGAGCGCCATTTACCTTCCCACCACTGTGGTACCTATTTATCTACTTGTGCTGATGTGCTTTTGAATTGCTAGGTTGGCAGGAGCTGGGACAGAGCAACAGGAGCTCTCTGGATTTGAACTGCCTGTAAGTCACCCTGGGAAACATATGTGGGAGGCAATTCACGAAACAATGTCAGCATTTGCTTCAGATAAAATCATTTCTAACCCGCTTCCTAGTTCAAAAATCTCTGAGCCGTGTATGGTCTAAGACAAACAAGCAATATATCATTAAAACCAAACTACAACCTAAAACCAATAGAACAGCAATATAAAAAGACAGGAAAGCATATGGAAAGAACTAAAACAGATATTTGGGGATCCAGAGAAAGCCCGGGCAAAAAGATATGTCATCATCGCCATCATCAAAACAACAGCTGGAAGGGGAACCCAGCATTTATGACATCAGCAAGTTACTGCATGACCCCATATGAACTTCCAATGAAATTCCCAGCGCTAGAATTTCCACATTTTCCTGAAACTTGTGAATCATATGAGGAAAGGAGGAGATGAAAAACTGGAAGTGCTTGGTGTATGACAAAAGAGTGGAGACTTGTCAGGTTTTTCTTCTTTTGAGAATTGGTAATAAGGCTGGGGTAAAGGGGAGGTTTATTTTGTTGGCTTTTTTTGTCCCACAAGGGAATGTAGACTTCAGGATGAAATGGGGTGACCATTCTGAGCAATTGAAGACTCTCCAGAGCTTCTAAAGAACTGGACAGTATGTTATAGCCACCATGGAGATGTGCTTGAAAATGGCTATCACTGGCGAGTTGTCCGGTCTACTGCTATGATATCTAGGTTTCCTCAACTTGCACTGCTATCACGTTGAGTTTGCCCTGCCAGTGGCCTCCACTGGAATGGCACACAGGAGCAGGGAAGTCCACAATGTGATCATGTGACAGGAAGCACTCCAATATGCTATGGAAAGGAGAGGGTGTCAAATCCTGATTGAACCTTGAGCAGAAGCCCTCAGCAAGTGAGGGGGGGGGCCCTGATCTCATTCACATCCCATTTGTGACCCCTCAACTGCAGTTGAAGTGGTACATTCCAAAGTAGTGCTTTGTAAAACTTTGTGCAAAATTCAAGAACAGGGCTGTGAACCCTTCACATCCTGGAGAAGAGTGACTAGTGGGGTGCCACAGGGTTCTGTCTTGGGTCCGGTCTTATTCAACATCTTTATCAACGACTTGGATGATGGACTCAAGGGCATCCTGATCAAATTTGCAGATGACACCAAATTGGGAGGGGTGGCTAACACCCCAGAGGACAGGATCACACTTCAAAACGACCTTGACAGATTAGAGAACTGGGCCAAAACAAACAAGATGAATCTTAACAGGGAGAAATGTAAAGTATTGCACTTGGGCAAAAAAATGAGAGGCACAAATACAAGATGGGTGACACCTGGCTTGAGAGCAGTACATGTGAAAAGGATCTAGGAGTCTTGGTTGACCACAAACTTGACATGAGCCAACAGTGTGACGCGGCAGCTAAAAAGCCAATGCAATTCTGGGTTGCATCAATAGGAGTATAGCATCTAGATCAAGGGAAGTAATAGTGCCACTGTATTCTGCTCTGGTCAGACCTCACCTGGAGTACTGTGTCCAGTTCTGGGCACCACAGTTCAAGAAGGACACTGACAAACTGGAACGTGTCCAGAGGAGGGCAACCAAAATGGTCAAAGGCCTGGAAACAATGCCTTATGAGGAACGGCTAAGGGAGCTGGGCATGTTTAGCCTGGAGAAGAGGAGGTTAAGGGGTGATATGATAGCCATGTTCAAATATATAAAGGATGTCACATAGAGGAGGGAGATAGGTTGTTTTCTGCTGCTCCAGAGAAGCGGATACGGAGCAATGGATCCAAACTACAAGAAAGAAGATTCCACCTAAACATTAGGAAGAACTTCCTGACAGTAAGGGCTGTTCGACAGTGGAATTTGCTGCCAAGGAGTGTGGTGGAGTCTCCTTCTTTGGAGGTCTTTAAGCAGAGGCTTGACAACCATATGTCAGGAGTGCTCTGATGGTGTTTCCAGCTTGGCAGGGGGTTGGACTCGATGGCCCTTGTGGTCTCTTCCAACTCTATGATTCTATGATTCTATGATTCTAACCCCCGCCCCCAAATCAGAGGGTCAGTTTTGATAGAGAATAAAATACAGTTCAGAGTTTGCATGGGGTGGTCTATTAGCTGCGGCACACTGTGTTTCACTTTTTGTTCTTGGTTGTTGATTTTTGTCTCTTCCTGATGGCCAGCTGCCACCGGATGCCATGTCCCCCCCCCCCTCATAATGCCTCTGGAATGATGCTAGTGGGATGTATTCAGGTAGCCACCCATAGAGATCACCATTTCCTACCCAGAATGCTCCTTGGAACAACGTTGTGTCATGACATAGCTTCCTGCTGGGAGATATATTAAGGAGAATTCAACATGGTGGCTGTCAGCAGTCAAGCGACAGAAGTCATGTTTTGAGTTTTGAGTCCTCCCTCTACATGCCCCCTTAGCTGAAAGAGTTTTGCCCCCCATGGTTGTGGGCAGTGAAATTGGAGGGAACATTCCATCATGGTCCTTTCACAAACACAACTAACCCTTCCATGGAGAACCTGGTCTAGGTTTTGTTGACTAGGCATGGATGAGTTCAGTCCCTGAGACAGTGAGATCACTTCCAGCCAAGGTCACCCTCTCACATGAGGAAGATCACTGATTAGTCTTTTGAAGTGTTTCTAAGAAAGATTCCTGCTTCTGGGGAGGGGCCGAACCTGATGACTCACGCAGGTGTCCTTGAGATACCAATGACATTTGAGAGAAATATTAGGCTCTGGCATCCTAGACATCTTTGAATGTCACCGTGTAATTTGACGTGGAATGGTAATAATAGTGTAAGAACCAAGAACATGCAGATTGGTCAAACTGACCCTGAGCTGCAGCTCAACATGCTGAACACACAGAAACTATTAATTCACATCTCCGTGGGTGTAATTATAGGGGAGACTGGTCCCCTCCCATATTTCAGAATGGGTGTGGGGATATAATTAGTCTATTTCCCCCTCTCCCCTCCTACATCTTTTCAGCCCACAGTCTCCATAAATTCAACGACTTGAGAACATAGTTAAGAGGTAAAAGGAGTGGGAGGGCAGGGCAGGGAATCGCTGCCACCCCGTCTGTCTCCATGGATTGAACAAAGGTTCAGCTGTGAATGCAAGACCATCAACATCTGGTCCTATTTGTTCATAAGTGAAAATGAATATGTCCGTGTGTTTCGTTGTCCAAAATACTTTAGTACTTTTTTTGGGTGGTGGTAGTTTGTTCCAAAGTAGAAATGTTCTCTACAGCTATGGCCTTCAAGATGTGTTCTGGTCAACAATGTGGGTTTTCCAGAATCTTTCCTGGGCAAGTTTCAGTAATTTACACTGCAAATGTTCCATGTGCATTGGAAAATTTCCTGGTGCCCTAGAGCAGAACGGGGAAAATCTCTGGTCTGCAAGCATATTTAGGCCTCCCCATCTGGCTCTCACAAGGTTGCTTTGGCCAAGCCATTTCTACCTGCCCTGTGCCTGGTGTCATATATGGGGCAGGTGAAGTTGTGACTAGGCCCAAGGGGCATGTATAGCTCCGTGCAAGGTGTAGTGCCAGCCCTGAAAATCACTTGGCCATTGGAGTACGTGCAGGACCTGAAGGCCAGCCGATTGCCAAGGCTTGCATTGCTCTCTTCATAGCTGTCACCACCAGGTGATGGACAGGGGTCAACTTTGTTCTCCTGTCATACTTGGGCCACAGGATGTCAGAACGATAAGGATCTGGCCTGCCAGCTGGATCCCGTTCCCCACCACTGCCCTAGACAATTATCTCATTTAGCATTTCAACTTGTATTTAGTAAACAAAGCTAAGAACATGGAAACAGCCAAGCCTGCCCAATGCTGTCTTTCCACTGACTTTCCTCAGATTCATCACTGAAACTCTCTAGAAACCAAAGCAGATTTTTTTCTTCCACATTTTTTTCAAAAATAAATTTGCTAGCGTCTGTTTCTTCACTGTTATTGCTCAGCTTCCTCTTCTTTGAAACTAGATTTGGCTACGACTTTACTATGTCAGAAAGCGATCCAAGTTCCAGTGGCTTCCTGGCTATTATTGTCAGGTTTTGCATGGAGAGTTTGCAAGGAAAATCAGGGAGCATTGTTCAAGGCTGCTGCGCAACGTATTCCTAAGGCAGCTAGTGGTCTGAATCCACAGGTCCGCACAGAGAGTTTTCGCAAGAATGGCAGGGCTTCTGAGACCTCTTCCCCAGCAACCGCCTTCCTGATTCTAGTTGTAGCCCTCTCTGCTTGCAACCAGCCACCCTTGAAGCTTGGCTAACTTTAGGCAGGCCTGGCCTGAGACAGTACAGGGCAGGGACCCCTTCAACACAGCCAACATGGGCAATGGTAAAAGATGATGGGAGTTGTAGTCTAAAACAGCTGGAGAGCAGCACATCGCAGACCTCTGGTAGTAGGGCTGTCCCAATATATTTTGGCACCTGAGGCAAATCACAAAATGGTGCTCCCCTCCTTTCCAGGGAAGAAAGGGTGACTGAAGATATCGGTCATGAACAAAGTGGGTGGGAATTTGCATTGGGATTTCTTGCCCCTGTGGATCCTGCCGCCTGAGCCAGTTGCCTCATGGGTGGGACAGCCCTGCCTGGTAGAAAGAACTGTGGCTGGCACCTGAAACCCATGAAATAATCAAAATGTGCCCAGAAGCAGCACATGGATCCAAGAACTTCTTAGGATCTTTTGGTGAGTTTTTTTTAAAGTCTTCAAATGCATGCTAGGACATCTCTGTGGCTGCACCTCTCCTCTCCCTCATTCCTTTATTTAAATTGATTTATATACTGCTGTTTATAAAACAGATCACAGCATAGCTGGCAACGTTTTCCTTTTTTAAAGGGAAATTCCCTTATTCTGAATAGGATTCCTCACAAGAAAATGGAAAAGTTGACAGCTATGGATCACAGTGTATTGCAAACTTAAATAAAGCAATAAAACAACTGTTTGTGGAAAACAAAAACAAAAAACAACAACCAAGCACAGCAAAACAGCTCTAGGCCATAGCATAGAACAGTCAACTCTAATTTTCAAAGCTCAGCTGGGATACATTGACTTTTGCTTGTCTGCGAAAAGCTAGCAGAGAGGAGGCAGTGGGAACCTGCTTTGAGTGAAAGCTCCCAAGCATTGGGGCTGCAGCAGAGAAGACCCTGCTGCTTGAGGTTGAACTCACCTCCCTATAAGATGTAACCCAGAGCAAGGTGGCAAGATTTCATGTGGTGGAGGGGGGGCGTTATATGGGAGGAGATGTTCCCCAGAAATAGGGAACTTTTTGTCTTCCAGATATTGTTAGACTCCAACTCCCATCAGCCCAACCAGCATACTCAGTGATGATGGCAGCTGTAATGCCAACTTTCCTTCCACCTGCCATAAGGGTGTCATACGATTTTCCTTGTTCCCCATAAACAACAGCTAACCAAGTAGGGTAGAGAAAAGGAGGGGGAGATGAGAGCTCACAGAATGCGTCGTCCTTCTTCTAGGCTCAGAGGTGTTGCTGGCATGTACACAGATCATGAACTGAAAGCCCTAAACGGCCTCGGTCCAGTATATCTGAAGGAGCGTCTCCACCCCCATTATTCACCCCGAACACTGAGGTCCAGCGCTGAGGGCCTTCTGGTGGATCCCTCACTGCGAGAAGCCAAGTTACAGGGAACCAGGCAGAGGGCCTTCTCGGTAGTGGCACCCTCCCTGCGGAAGGCCCTCCCGCCAGATGTCAAAGAGAACAACAACTACCAGACTTTTAGAAGACATCTGAAGGCAGCCCTGTTTAGGGAAGCTTTTAATGTTTGATGCATTGCTGTATTTTAATATTTTGTTGGAAACCACCCAGAGTGGCTGGGGAAGTCCAGCCAGATGGGCGGGGTATAAATAATAATAATAATAATAATAATAATTACCAAGAATGACAGAATACCACCCCCCCCCAGTCCTGTGCTGATGATAGCTGCACACCCTGTACTTTGCACCAGCAAGCTAACTCCTGTTCCTGCTCAATTTAAAAACACAGGCACAGTTGAGGCCACTGGCTCAAATGGCACTTAGTTTCCCGTCTGGCAGTGCCAGCGACCAGGTTTGCTCTTCCCTTTCTAAATATAAAGATTAGCGCTGGGGATAAGGCTCAGGACCATGTGGCGGGGTCTGTTCTGCGCTTACAGTAATTACATAGGTGTATAATTGTCCAGCAGTGTTTTGCGTGCCATGTTCCCATTCAGCAGCACGACTGTACAGGTTTGGTCAGTGAGATAGCTGCGTGGTTTATTTTCTTTTGGCTGGGAGCCCTGGAGGATGAATAGAGGGAGGGGATAAGAGACTGGGGTTTTTTTATTTATATTTCTAATGCCAAGAGCCAATTGGAGACTCCCAACACATTAGTCAGTGCTCTTTCACTTCCATTCTTTTTCCCCTCTTCCTTTCTTCCTTGCTTACTTCAGTGGTGCGCCAGGCCTGCCTACACACAGCGTTTAAGAATTGCAAAGCAAATCTCACCAAAAACTCTAGTGTCATTATAAAGAGAGAAAGAGAGAGAGAGAGAGGAAAGACTCAGTTATTTCCCCAAAGCCTTGGGGCATTTTGGACTGTGATCATCTGAAGATAAGAATATAAGAATTGTAAAGTTAGAAGGGCCATCTGGTCTAACCCCCTGCAATTCAGGAATCTCAACTAAAGCATCCATGACAGATGTCCATCCAACCTCTGTTTAAAATTCTGCGGTGCAGGATAGTCCATCATCTTCCAAGGCAGTGCATTCCACTGTCAAACAGCTCTTGCCACCAGAAAGTTCTTCCTAATGCTTAGTCAGAGTCTCCATTCTTGTAACGCGAATCCATTGTTTCATGTCCTACCCTCTGGAGCAGGAAAAAAAAAAGTTGTAACAGAAGAACTGCACCGAACTAAGGGTCTAACTCTATTTTTTTAAAAAAAATATTGGAAATTTTATTTACAACATAACACAAACCCCCCACCCCCCAACACAGAAATCCACCCCCATCAGACACAACATAACAAACAACAAGCATAATATACAACAATACAAACAACCAAATAAAAGACTTCCTTTATCCTGTTTCTGGCATCCTTATTTATTTCTTATAAGCTGTTTCCTTTATGAATAATTATTAAAAATTTTCTAATTATAACTTAAATATCCACAAAGTCTCCTGCAGACATTAATCAAAACAAGTCCAGGTATGAATTTTAGGACACTGTTTTGTGAAGTATTCTCTGCATTTTCCCCATGCTTTTTGAGATCATACTAGACAAGGGTCTAACTCTAGTGCAGTGTTCTGCCTTGCTTATTCTGCCAGCTGTTTGCAGGACGCTTGCAAGCAGGGATCTCTGTGTAGCCTTTGGATATGGAGGTTCTCTTTAGTTGCCATTGATAGATTTATTCACAAATTTGCAAAACTCCAAAAGCCACAGTGCAGTGATTCCAAAAGAGGACATCCATTGGTCCATCTAACTCAGCATTGTCTGCTCTGACTGGCAGCTGCTCTTTAGGATTTCGCTGCCAGCCCTACCTGCAGATAATAATAATAATAATAATAATAATAATAATAATAATAATAATAATTTTATTTATACCCCGCCCTCCCCAGCCATGACCGGGCTCAGGGCGGCTAACAACCAATAATAAAAACATGTTGATTAAAATACAATTTAAAAAACAAGATTAAAATACAACATTAAAACATTAGGATGCAGCCTCTTCACAGGAGGAGAAAGGAAAAAGAAAGAGGGGGAGGGAATCAAACTGATTCTAAGCCAAAGGCCAGGCGGAACAACTCTGTCTTACAGGCCCTGCGGAAAGAAATCAGATCCCGCAGGGCCTTGGTCTCATGAGACAGAGCGTTCCACCAGGCCGGTGCCAGTGTTGAAAAGGCCCTGGCTCTGGTTGAGGCTAACCTAACTTCCTTAGGGCCCGGGACCTCTAGGGTGTTGCTGTTTATGGACCTTAAGGTCCTCCGTGGGGCATACCGGCAGAGGTGGTCCCATAGGTATAAGGGTCCTAGGCCGTGAAGGGCTTTAAAGATGCCAAAGATTGAACCTGGAATCTTCTACATATAAACCAGATGCTCCATCACTGAGCTATGGTCCTTCCACAAGAGCAGGGCTGCATAAAGTGCATTGCAGTCATCTGTTCAGCAGGTTTCCAGGGCATTGAGTAATGTGGCCAAGCTATGCCAAGCCAGGAATGGTCAGAGCAAGTTCTCAAGGGCTTCAGAACTCTGTCTCAGGCTGAATGCTCAAGATATAGCTGGGTAGCTGCTGGGCTTTACGTTTTCGGAAAGGGTGCCAGCAGTCGCTTCCTAGGCGTCGCATGATGGCAGCAGTACCTGGCAGACTCTTAATTCAATCTGTCTCCAGTCTCCATCTTGAAACTGAACCTAATTGCACACTTTATGGCTGCAACTTCCAGCCAAAGGTTCTATTCTTTTGTTTTCCACCTCCCTCCGCCGGCACTTTGCATATCATCCACCCTGAATAAAGAGTTCTAGAGAACGTGAAAGCTTTCTCACCATTTTAGGTGTTATGTACTGAGTTGAATAGGATTCAGAATGCAGCAGTCTGAATGGTTCACAGGAGCCACCCAATCCAGCTCCAGGTGGAAGTGAATCCGCAACCTGATTGGCCTACAGGAGAATCCCGGAATTAGCCAATCACGTGGGGCCCATTGTGTAAATAATGTATATAAAGCAGACATTCTGGGGGAACTTTCATTCCTCCTCACCACTATGAGCTGAATAAAGAGCAGGAAATCCACTCTCGACTCCGAGTATACAGTGGTACCTCAGGTTACATAAGCTTCAGGTTACATACGCTTCAGGTTACAGACTCCGCTAACCCAGAAATAGTGCTTCAGGTTAAGAATTTTACTTCAGGATGAGAACAGAAATCGTGCTCCGGCGGCGCAGCGGCAGCAGCAGGCCCCATTAGCTAAAGTGGTGCTTCAGGTTAAGAACAGTTTCAGGTTAAGAACGGACCTCCGGAACAAATTAAGTACTTAACCCGAGGTACCACTGTATTTCATTGGGATATTTTGGCTGGTCCTAATAAATGCATTCTTCAACTGTGGAATTTTTCTCATGGACCACTGAAGCATCCTTTGCTTTTTTTCATGTTCCAACTATGGAATCTGCTTCCACAAGGGGTAGTGATGCCTAACACATTGGATGGCTTTGGAAAGGGGTTAGACAAATTAATGGAGGGCAATGCTATCAGTGGCTACTAACCACAATGGCTTTGTGGTTCCTCTTCCACTGTCAGAGGAAGCATTCCTTTGAAGATCAGTTCCTGGGAATCACAGACTTCGCATCTCATTGGCCACTGTGGGAACAGAGTTCTGGACTAGACACACCTGATCCAGCAGATTCGTCTTAGGGCCTGCTTGATCATGATCTCAATGGGTGCCCTTGGCTCATCTGGTATCTCACACAAATGTAAAATAACAATGAATTGGCATGGGTGAGGATCATAAGGAACTTTGTACACTTTAAGTGGTTTTCAAGCGAACAACAGTCATTGGTGGGAACCGTGCATACAGCCAAAGTGATCTGCTTTGGGGCTTGTTGTTGTAAGTTGTGCCGGGGTGATGAACCTTTTTCAGCTTGCTGGCTGCATCCATTCATGGACAGCCTTCTGGGGTTCACATGTTGTGGCAGGCAGGGCCACCGGTCATTATTGCAATATACAGCTACTGACTCACACTTGCGTGCACGAAAGAGTTAACCTGAGCCCAGAGCTCAGGTTGCCAGTGGGTGTGGCTTAGCAGGCATGCGGCCAATGGCTCCCAGCTGCGAGAAAAGCCAAGTGAACTGAATATCTCCAAAAAGGAAATTGTGCAGCCTGCATCTTTGCTAACCCAAATATCCCATGATCTTTTTTGTAAGGAAACCAAGCTCTTTTCTTTTTAAAGTCGTTTGGAATCTTTTCCCATTTTTATTTTACTGCCAGCAGATGGAGACTTTGTTTGCTATAACTTCTGGAAACTCTGTGGGTAAAATCTCCGCTTATTTGCAAAGCTAAGTGTCTGTGATTTATTCTAGCCTAAGTATTTTCATGGGAAATGTTTGTATAAAGGTGGATGGAGACAGATGCAATAATCACCATTGTGCTTAACTCTGCTAATGGAGAGTAAGCTCTTTCACCCAACCCTCCCTCCCTCCAACAGTTGGCTGATCGAGGGTGCCACCCAAATGTACCTGTAGGGTGTGAGAGCTATGAATTGTGATTGGCATTTCCAGGGATATTCGAGGAGAGAGAGATTTCAACCCTACCTGGGATAATAAGCCAAGAGCTACTGTATTGCGGAATCTTGCAGGAGTTTCTTGTTCATGTAGGCATCTTTTATTGATTCAGGATAACACTGACTCAGCACCCTCTGAAACAATGCCAGGTGTCCCTGATCCTAATCATTAAAGGATCATTCGTTTAAAATATGGGGACTCTGGCAGATGGCTCCCTAACTACCACATAAAGTTCTTTTCCCTGAGTCTCGGTTATGTGTTAAATAACGTGCATAACCTTTGCACTGAGAAGGAGAAGCTGTGCTCATATCCCCTGTCCAATAGCTTGTGAACCCCTGTCTCTGTGTCTTTGCACTAAACACCTCTAAAGGGCCACCAGTGTATGAGGAGCTCAATGTGCATTGGTGCGCCATGCAGTCAGGATCTCCGAGCACATGATGCTCCCCATAAGAGCGCATGATGCTCCCCATAAGATGTTCAGAGCAAATGCACAGACGTGGTAGTACATGGGATCGGGGGGGGCAGGGCAAACAGTGCTATCTCCCTCCCCCTAACCACACAGAAATGCTGCGCATGAATTAATGTGAGAATGTTAGACATGCTGCTCACTGGATTCCACCTCCCCAAGAAGAACTGAGGTTTGGAATTGGGTGACTAGACTCTCTTTTTTCTAGGCCACAGATGAGGGTTGTCCACACAGACAGATGTGTGCAGGAGGCCATACCTCTTCCCCCCACCCAAGGAAAAATTGAGATTATTTTTGATATCAACGGCTCTCCAGAGAATCAAACGGTGCCTAATCTGCATTGTGGGAGGGGCCCTGGGGCCGTTGCAAAAGCCAAACAGGCTGTGCTTTCCCAAGATTTTGCCTCGAGTTCACATCATCATCATCCATTTACTTTAATTGCTCCATAATTAATTGCAGCAAAACTGTTCCAAGTTTTGCCTGAACGCACGCACGCACAGCTGAGAAGCTGGAACATCACCATTGAACCCACGTCCCTTCCTTCCCTGCCTTTATTGCCACAAAAGAAGTGTTGGCTGCTAAGGGCTTTACCTGGCATTTATCACTCTGGCATCTTCTACGCTTACACAACGAAGAGCGTGGTAGCTGTAGGTGGAACCGATATGGGAACTGAAAGGTCTGGTCCAGTGTCGGCTCTAGGATTTTTTTTGGGGGGGGGTCACAGTTCTTGGGTGGACCCACCTCCTCCTTGCCACTACCACCAATGCAAATTCCCTTGCCTGTGCCTTCTGGGCCCAGTCTTCACAACTGCAGAGAGAGAGAGAGAGAGAGAGAGAGAGAGAGAGAGAGCCAAGTAAACAACAACAATTTATTTATATTCTGCCCATCTGGCTGGGTTGCCCCAGCCGCTCTGGGAGGCTCACAACAAAATATAAAAAACACAATAAAACATCAACTGTTAAATAATAATAATAATAATAATAATAATAATAATAATAGTAATATATTTATACCCCTCCCATCTGGCTGGGTTTCTCCAACCACTCTGGGCAGCTCCCAACAAAATATTAAAAACACGATAAAACATCAACTGTTAATTTATTTATTTATTTATTTATACCCCTCCCATCTGGCTGGGTTTCCCCAGCCACTCTGGGCAGCTTCCAACAGAATATTAAAATACAATAACCTATTAAACATTAAAAGCTTCCCTAAACAGGGCTGCCTTCAGATGTCTTCTAAAAGTCAGATAGTTGTTTATTTCTTTGACATCTGATGGGAGGGCGTTCCACAGGGTGGGTGCCACCACCAAGAAGGCCCTCTGCCTGGTTCCCTGTAACCTCACTTCTTGCAGGGAGAGACCTGCCAGAAGGTCCTTAGAGCTGGACTTCAGTGTCTGGGCTGAATGATGGGGGTGGAGACGCTCCTTCAGGTATACTGGGCTGAGGCCGTTTGGGGCTTTACAAGTCAGCATCAACACTTTGAATTGTGCTCAGAAACGTACTGGGAGCCAATGAAGATCGTTTAGGACCAGTGTTTTATGGTCTCAGTGGCCACTCCCAGTTAAAAACTTCCCTGAACAAGTAGAGGATGATGCTTCACCTCCTCACTTTTCACCTGTAGGTTTGGTCAGAGGAGTGATCGGGAATTGCCAGCGTGGCACAGAGTTGTCCTTTGGGTGTTTCCCCTGGTGTTCTCGAAGCCTCTACATGTTGCCGCCCTCTTGGTCCTGCAGTGGTGAGAGTGCTTACCTTTTTCTCCCTTGACAAGTACACAGAGCTGAAGAAGGTACAGTGGTACCTCAGGTTACATACACTTCAGATTATATACGCTTCAGGTTACAGACACCGCTAACCCAGAAATAGTACCTCGGGTTAAGAACTTTGCTTCAGGATGAGAACAGAAATTGTGCTCCAGCGGCGTGGCAGCAGCAGGAGGCCCCATTTGCTAAAATGGTGCTTCAGGTTAAGAACAGTTTCAGGTTAAGTACGGAGCTCCAGAACAAATTAAGTACTTAACCCGAGGTACCACTGTAGTGGGAAGAGTGACCACTCAAAAAATTATGCAGATGGAAAAATGGGGAGAAAGGCACACTAAGTATACAGGCAGTGTCAGGGACAATGTAAACAGGCAAGCCCTCCATTTACAGTCATACCTCGGGTTAAATATGCTTCAGGTTGGGCGTTTTCAGGTTACGCTCCGCGGCGACCTGGAAGTAACAGAACGCGTTACTTCTGGGTTTCGCTGCTCGCGCATGCGCTCAAAATGACGTCACGCGCATGCGCAGAAGTGACAAATCGCGACCCACACATGCGCAGACACGGGTTGCATTCTACTCAGGATGTGAACGGGGCTCCGGAACGGATCCCGTTCGCATCCAGAGGTACCACTGTACACACGGTCAATATGCGCACGAAATCATGCATCATGCAGAACCCAGGAGTGACCCCAAAGCATCACAAAAAGGGGCAAAATAGGGCGGGGTGAGAACAGGGTGTGTGGGGATGAAATGGGGTGTTTGCAGACTTTTCCAATGGCGTTTCAAAAATACGTGATTTCACATGCGCAGAGCCTGGGAACGTAACCCCCGCATAAATGTGGGGATTGCCTGTAAAGAAATACATAAACTGTCCAAATCATATTAAAACTCTTTTTGGGCAGAAACTCCTCTACTTCATTATCTAAGTTGCTATACCAAAAAAGAGAAGAAGCCATGAGCAAAGAGATTAACATAAGGGCAAGGGGGGGGGTGGAATGTACAAGAAGAATTAGTAGCTGCATAATTCTTTTTCCCTGCTGAACATTATCCAACCTGTGTTGGCAGAAAGATATATACCATACAATAGGTAGACTCTGTTTGCTGTCTGCCTCCTTTGAAGTTAATACCACAAAAAACACCAACCCACGCTCTAAGTAGCTCGTATATTCTTGCCCTCAGAATAGAGCGTCAGACCTTCAAAATGCAGTGAATGGCTGTGAAGGGAAAAATACATATGCCTTTTCTTCCTTAGCAATTCATCCTCTTCTAGCATTTCAGCCTCTACCTGTAATAACTAAGCCATTCGCGCATTCACTCCCCGATCAGAAGGACTTCCATCGCTTTTTACATTTTGCAGAAAACCCTCTCGTGCAAACAGTGGTGGCTGCTTCTTATAAATATCAATCGCGGTGGGTATTCGTTAGAAAGTGGGATGTACCAAGGACCACCTGAAGCCTGTTTGGTTCTGTCACCTGGCGTTGCTCTTGTTTGAACAGATGCACAGATTCCTGCCCTGCCCAAGACTCTCCCCAAATAGTTTTCATAAACAAAGATCGCGCCATGCTACCCTAAACGCACCTGTGTCCAAACCAATTATGGGTCTCGCCAAAATAGTAATCATAGAAAAATCTCTCGCTCGGTTATTGGCATGTTTTCATCCCATTTGGGGATGGGATACGCATGCAATCGCCTTCCTGCTTTCTGATGTGGTGATTTCAACACGCCCATTTTGCATTCTGGTTGTTTCCTTTGAATGTGCCCATTGTGTGCTGAGAGGCGGTATTTATCACCACTTCAGTGGGAACCAGTTGCTCTCGCTGACGACCATTCCAGACTGGTTGGTTGGTGTGGTTTTTTTATGTGTGGGCATATTCTGCAACCCAGCGATGCAATAATACTGCAATAGTGGTGGATTTATTATGGAGTGTCCATACACCATTCAATTTTATTTATTACTCCATAACGCTGCCCCAGTGTTATCACATTACTAACCCGGAGGGGTATATTGATCTATAGTGCAACAAAAGTGAGGCAAAACAACAACACCCACCCCCCACTCTCAGAGCATCTTGTGTTATAAAAGTGACAGCGTTTCAGCAGGAAGTTATGGGATATGCACCGGTCAGAAGCAAAGCAGTATATCTGAAATATTTGCAGGTGCAAACCGTATTGAAAGGAGGAAAAACTGCCTCAATACCATCATTTACCCCAGGGGGCACGCAAGGGTACACAGTACCGGCACCTTTTTTGTTTTGTTTTCTTGCTGTTGTTAAAAAGTGTGGCCCTTACTGTAACGATGAGTAACCGGCACCTATTTTTCTAGGAAAAAAGCAGTGATCATGAGCACAAATAATCAGGAATGCGCAAGAAAAAGGGCATCTGGACGGACCCTTAGTGAGGTCGCCTTCAAAATATGCAGCGTGCAAAACTGATGTAGTAAAAGAAAAAATTGTTCAAAGGTAACATGAGCCGCAGAATGGATCAAAGTCTATGTGGTTCTTCTGGGGGTGTAGCTTTCAAATGACAATGCGTTTCATTAAACAGGTGTGATTTAAAAAAAATTAAAATCTTGTTAAATGCCCAGGACAGAGCTTATCCAGAGGGGATGTGAGTCATAAGACCGTGAAACGTTCAGAAAAAGTATGCTGTTCCCAGGGCCCACCTATACAGTGGTGCCCCGCAAGACAAATGCCTCGCAAGACGAAAAACTCACTAGACGAAAGGGTTTTGCGTTTTTTGAGTCGTTCCGCAAGACGAATTTCCCTATGGGCTTGCTTCGCAAGACGAAATGTCTTGTGAGTTCTTGCGAGTTTGTTTCCTTTTTCTTAAAGCCGCTAAGCTGTTAATAGCCGCTAAGCCGCTAAGCCGCTAATAGCCGTGCTTCGCAAGACGAAAAAACCGCAAGACGAAGAGACTCGCGGAACGGATTAATTTCATCTTGCGAGGCACCACTGTAATGTTTGGATGCCCTGTCCTTACTATGGAAAAGGTAAAGGACCCCTGGACAGTTAAGTCCAGGCAAAGGCAACTATGGGGTCGCTTTCAGGTCCCGTGTCAGTGTACTTTGGGCAATAAAAGAGTTAATTCCTCGTCTGACAGCACTGTGACAAAGGGCAACTGGGGGGCAGGACCAGAGGAGAATTCAAGAATCAGAAGCAAAGAGTAGTCAAGGCTGGACAGCATCATGGAAGGCAGGACCAGAGAACTGGACCAAGAAAGAAAATGCGCTTGAGAGTTCAGGTGGACGTTATGGCCCAAGCTGGGAAAGAAAGTCCATTATACTCCTCCTTTCCTAGGGCTGGAGCCAGGAGCCAGCCAGCTTAGAAGAGGCTGCAATTGCAAGGTTCCCCACACGGGGCAGTAGGCACTACTTCCTGTCTGAAAGTAGTTCAATGAGAGACTGTGCTTACGCAGTGGTCAGAAGTTCTTGGCACTCATAGAGGGACGTCTGAATCCAGGTGCATTTCCACCTGAGATCTTCCCAGTTGGTGCCTGGCTGCTGGAACTGGAAGCTCCAGAGGCAGTTCCCTAGTAGGCCAGATTAACCCTAACCTAGCCTTGACCATTTTAGAGAGTCTCCTTCGGGAAATCTGCTGCTTGGCTGTTGCTCCAGTTTGGTATGGCGCTGCTGAAATATCGGTAGCTCTCTCAGGTGGATTTGAAGCAAACTAAGCTCTTCACCGGGACGCGGGTGGCGCTGTGGGTTAAACCACAGAGCCTAGGACTTGCCGATCAGAGGGTCGGCAGTTCGAATCCCCACAACAGGGTAGGCTCCCGTTGCTCAGTCCCTGCTCCTGCCAACCTAACAGTTTGAAAGGAGGTCAAAGTGCAAGTAGATAAATAGGTACTGCTCCGGCGGGAAGGTAAATGGCGTTTCCGTGCGCTGCTCTGGTTCGCCAGAGGTGGCTTAGTCATGCTGGCCACATGACCCGGAAGCTGTACGCCGGCTCCCTCGGCCAATAAAGCGAGATGAGCGCCGCAACCCCAGAGACGGCCACGACTGGACCTAATGGTCAGGGGTCCCTTTACCTTACCTTTAAGCTCTTCACCTGAAACTTAAATGGGATAGGAGACGGTTCAAAATCATTCAAAAGAAGAGGAGGCGCCGTTGTGCCTGATGGTTCGGGGGCAGGGATTGATCAGTTGGAGGGCAGGGCTCTGGCACAAGGGCTGCCCCCATCCCCCCTCTTGGACCAGAGAGGCATATCTGTCCTCCATCGCTCTGCTTGCAAAAAAGGAAAACCTTAGCCCCTCCAGCTGATGACCCTGTACCTGCTATGCATACTAAATCTACTGCCGGGATATAAAACTCTTTACACTGATTAATTTGAGCTCGCTGATGGCTCTTATCCTGGTTTCAGAGTAATTGTTTCTCTTGTCTGCGGTCTTCCCTCCTTACATTTCACTGCATATTTATTAGGTTCTCTGCTGAGGCTATCTGCGGCCACATTAAACCAATTTACTCCTTGAAACGTCTGACCTTCGATCTGCCAGCTGCATCCTTTCCAAACCAGCAGCGGAGAAAGCGGAGCCTTCTTAACAATGGGCTGGCCGAGGATTCTTGTACCTCTGAATTGTCCCCGGGTCCGCAAAGAAATCAAGTTATTGCACCTTAATCACCGAAAGTCATTTTTATGCTAATAGAATTTTCTATTAGGCCCCCTCTGTTTTCCTGGTGACCTGGTGGTGTCATCTTAGTTAAAAATACGAATGCTTAGCCATGTCTGCTCTGAAATCGCTGTTGATCTTATCAAGGGTGTGCAAGCGAGCAGGGAGTTGGGGTCTCTTGGGACTTTGCACACTGATGCCCTTTGTGGGCCACACAAAGCTGCAGACGGGAGGGGGAAATGTCAGTATAACCATCCCAGGATTTAACTTGGCTCCTCCCCCTTTGCAGCCCATTGGCTCCTCCTCTCTTGTTGTGCCTATGAGAGCTAGCCAGTAAGGTGTGCATCAATTTTTCCACTTCCTGACCTGTGGTGGCTTCCTGGTCATCTTCAAAGGGGAAATTTGCTAACCTGCTAGATTTCCAGCTTCAGTGTTTTACTGAAGGCTGCTACCTTCCCTCCGAGTCTTCTTCAGGCAAACATCTCAGCTCAAACTCAACCAGCAAATGACTTAGTCTTCCGTTCAGTTGCTGCCTTTATGTGGCTTTCCCCGCTATTATCTGCCTTGGCTTTCCTATGAGATATCCCCCAGTGCGCCTTCCTAACTCCTGTTCTTGGTGGGGCTAGGTTTTGGGCCCTCCTCGTTTGAGCTGGCTTCACAATGAAGGGGACCCTGGGCATATTACACACTGACAAGACCCCTCCACTTTGTTGAGATTTCCATTCCATCTTAAGGAGCAGACGTGTGGAACTGTTGTATGTCACATATCTGTTTACATTCCAGCACAGTATGATGGGAACTTCCGTTGTGTTTTTGTGCTTTTGCTTTTCCCCGTTCTCTCTGAGAAAACGAGAGAGAGAGACAACATGTTTCTTTGTCCTGATTTATGATTAATAAATCTGTAGTTGTAGTATGCTTCCACAAGCCTCATGCCTATTCTGTGTGCGCAGTCTGATCTGCTGATAGTGTGCCCTGGCTCTGAAGCCTGGGTCGCTGATTTACATCGGAACAGAGGCCGATGGGTCTTCGCAGCAGATGCCTGGAAGGAGACAGCTCAGCTGGGGCCAGCCAGCTGGCCTCCCGGCCCTCTGCATGTCGACAGATTTATCTCGCAGCAATTCTGGGTTGGACTGATGGTTGTGTTGGTTGAAAACCTCTGGAGGGCATTAGGTTGATACCAGCTTGGACTATCTGTCTGTCTATCCCAAGCAGATGGACAATCAGAGACTGTGCCTGCATATCTGTGCTCCTCCCACTTCATGCCTCTTCTGGCCCTGGGAGACCAGGGGAGAGGAAAGCTTGTCACAGCAGGAAGAGGGAGACTCCCATGCCTCTTCACCAGCCTAACCCATCTCTGCCTCTTGGGCTCCTTCCTCCCTTGCGTGGTGTAGTGGTTAAGAGTGGTAGACTCGTAACCTGGTGAACTGGGTTCGCGTCTCCGCTCCTCCACATGCAGCTGCTGGGTGACCTTAGGCTAGTCACACTTCTCTGAAGTCTCTCAGCCTCACTCACCTCACAGAGTGTTTGTTGTGGGGGGGGGGAGGGAAAGGAGAATGTTAGCCGCTTTGAGACTCCTTCGGGTAGTGATTAAGCAGGGTATCAAATCCAAACTCTTCTTCTTCTTCTTCTTCTTCTTCTTCTTCTTCTTCTTCTTCTTCTTCAGCTTCTGCCTCTTGATTCTGGACTTCTCTCTGCCACCGACTCTGCCCGCTCACAAAGCCCTGTTACCTCTTCAGCTTCTGCCACTTCCTCCTCCCAGTCTTCTCCCTCTGACCACTCATCGTTGTCCTACCACCACTCCATGGGCTCTGAGCCTTCTTCCCTTGGTGGTTCCCCACCTGGTTCCTTCCAGCATTCCTCTGCATCCAACCAGTCCATGACACTGGCTGGGGCTGATGGGTGGGGTGGCCCAAAACTTCTGGAGGGCATTAGGTTGATAAAGATTGCTATACCAGCTTGGACTCAGTGTCCATCTATCCCAGAAGTGTCTGCTCTGACTGGCAGTGGCTCCGTAGGGTCTCAGGTTGTTGTTGTTTAGTTGTTTAGTCGTGTCCGACTCTTCATGACCCCATGGACCAGAGCACGCCAGGCACTTCTGTCTTCCACTGCTTCCCGCAGTTTGGTCAAACTCATGCTGGTAGCTTCGAGAACACTATCCAACCATTTCGTCCTCTGTCGTCCCCTTCTCCTTGTGCCCTCCATCTTTCCCAACATCAGGGTCTTTTCTAGGGAGTCTTCTCTTCTCATGAGGTGGCCAAAGTAGTAGAGCCTCAGCTTCAGGATCTGTCCTTCCAGGGAGCACTCAGGGCTGATTTCCTTCAGAATGGATCGGTTTGATCTTCTTGCAGTCCATGGGACTCTCAAGAGTCTCCTCCAGCACCATAATTCAAAAGCATCAATTCTTCGGCGATCAGCCTTCTTTATGGTCCAGCTCTCACTTCCATACATCACTACTGGGAAAACCATAGCTTTAACTGTACGGACCTTTGTTGGTAGAGAAGTCTATTTCCCATTGTCTGCTAAGCTGGCCTCTTTGTTTCCCCAAAGAGTGGAGATGGCAGGGATAAAAACTCGGGCTTTCTGCATTCAAAAGGATGTGCTCCACAGCTGAGCTGTGCCCTTCTTCTTGGGACATCTTTGGACTTTTCTGAATCGCCACTCTTGCATTTGCCTGGGCCTTCCCAGATGAACCTGAAAGGACTGTCCGCTCTAACACACACAGCCCCAAATGGCAAATCGCAGCAGAGGGAAACATCTGCAAGACCGCATAATGTCGTTTCTGGTCTTGCAGCCATTGCAAAGGTAGATTTGGTTTCTATTAATAAAGGGATAATAGAATGGGGGAAGCCTGGCACCGGGGCGGCCTTTGGCCGGTTACAGCCGCCTTGCAGTTATAGCAGCAGTTGCTGTGCAATTATCTGACCACACCGTAGAGCCACAGCAGAAACAGAGGCCGCCTGGCTTTTTATTCTTAGTAACGGTATAACGGAGAAGGTGGGTGGGGGGACCTTCATTTGAGCTGCCTTCCTGTGGCTGAGGGGAAAGGCAGAGCCAACGGAAGGTCACATAGACCCCCTTCTGTGTGGCGTGGAAGTGAGTTTAAGGGCTGCGCTTGCGGGCAGAGAAGCAGTGATCTTGGTTCAAACCCCTTCTTAGCCTTGAGCAATGTGGGTGGCCTCGGTCAAGTTGTTTTCTTGTGACTTTGGGAGCCAGCGTGGTGCAGTGGTTAAGAGTGGTGGACTCGTAATCTGGTGAACCGGGTTCGCTTCCCCGCTCCTCCACATGCAGCTGCTGGGTGACCTTGGGCTAGTCACACTTCTCTGAAGTCTTTCAGCCTCACTCACCTTACAGAGTGTTTGTTGTGAGGGAGGAAGGGAAAGGAGATTGTTAGCCGCTTTGAGACACCTTAAGGGGAGTGAAAGGCGGGGTATCAAGTCCAAACTCCTCCTCCCCATCCTCCTCCTCCTCCTCTTCTTCCCCATCTGTTAAAAAAATGGAATTGGAATGGTGTGCACCACAAGGATTAATGGGAGACTGAAAATAGTAAGGACAGCCACCACCGCCACGCCACTTACGTGCATTCCACTCGCACACAACCACGTTTACAGTGGCACATCAGGTTAAGTACTTAACTCAATCCGGAGGTCCGTTCTTAACCTGAAACTGTTCTTAACCTGAAGCACCACTTAGCTAATGGGGCCTCCTGCTGCTGCCACGCCTCCGGAGCACGATTTCTGTTCTCATCCTGAAGCAAAGTCCTTAACCCGAGGTACTATTACTGGGTTAGCGGAGTCTGTAACCTGAAGCGTATGTAACCTGAAGCGTATGTAACCCGAGGTACCACTGTACATGGGTCTGCACGAAATAAATAAATAAATAGATTGGCCTTCTCTCGCTCTGGCTGCTGCCTGGACGTGAGTGAAAGAAGGAACATCGGAACACTGCCCAAGTGAGGGAAGGCACCCTGGGCATCAGCCCCGATCGAGGGAAAGCTCGGGACAGGCTGGGCATCGGCCCCAAATGACCTCCAAGCAGCAGCCCCAGCAGGGCTGGACTAACCAGTAAGCAAAAGAAGCACGTGCTTAGGGCATCAGGGGAAGAGGGACACCACAGAAGTTTTCCATTGCTGGATTTTTAACATTGACCGCCACCGATTGCTCAGCTGAGCATTCGTTTTCTCAGTTGAAGCATATTGAAAATCCCAACGGGAACATCTATGCAACAAGGCAGGCCAGAAATCTTATCTCTGCTAAGTCATCTTCTTCTTCTTTGGCAATCACTTGTAGCCAAGTAAGATAGTCTTCCATAAACACGGTTTTAACAGTGAGTCCATAAGTGACTGTGGAGGCCAATTCTGGATCCATACATCCTTCCACAGTGGAGACATTGGTTTCCAGGCAGGAGTTGATCATGGTGTGGATTTGCCAAGCGTGCCTTCCTCTTAGCACGTTTCTCCCTTGCATCCTGAGTTCGAGTCTCTTCAAAGCCCATGACACCTTTGGTAAAGGCTGTTCTCCATTTGGAGTGCTTGCAGGCCAGTGTTTCCCAGTTGTCGGTATTTATACTACATTTTTTTAGATTTGCCTTGAGAGAGTCTTCAAACCTCTTTTGTTGACCACCAGCATTACACTTTCCGTTTTTAGGTTGGGAGTAGAGTAGTTGCTTTGGAAGACGATCATTGGGCACAACATGACCAGTCCAACGAAGTTGATGTTGAAGAATCATCGCTTCATCATGGGCGATCTTTGCTTGATGTGTTAATTTTGGATAAATTTTGAGGGTCTCTGATCAAAGACTTTGCGATTAGAAAAAGTAGGAGAATCCCCCACCCCAAAAATACAAATAAAGAGAGAGTCTACGAAAAGAACAGGATAGCCTGTACTTCCACCTCCCTCCTGCTTACTCCATGGGCGGTTTCTGTGGGTGACATGTGCTGTCCTTGCCTGTTGCTCCAAGTTCACAAACCCACTCTCTCATCCCATCCTCCTGATGCAGGCACCGACGAGAGTCAGGAGATCTAATCCGCCCACTGAGAAGTCCCTTTGCCGAGTATAATTATTTCTGTTTCCTGAAAGGATTAGAGGATTTAATTAGTGTCCTGTTTGACGTGCCCAGCACAACGGGAGCGGGGGAACGGACAGCCTTCAGAGCACCAAAATACACATTGCAAAAGGCTAATAAAACGGCAGACATCCAGCAAGTGTGTGTTACGTTTGCGCAGGAGAGTGTGTGGCTGGTTTGGGGCCTTTCATTCAGTCCCCCGTGTCTCTAGGTGGGGCTGGGAGTGGCCCCTGCCTGGAACTCCGGACGCCTGAGGCTGCCACAGAGTCCACTTCCTTCAAATAATTGGTGTGTGGCGATGGAGGAAGCAAAGTATGGTTTAAAATGAAGTTCACACACCCAGATAGGTAAAGGCACCTTGGAGAAAGAGACAGACAGACGGGCAGAAAGACAGACAGGGAGAGGTATTGCAGGACACATTAGGGAGGAAGGGAAAGTAGCAGAATTGCAACACAGGAGAAAGGATATTGCTTAGAGGTGGTAAATAGTTTCAAAGGTGGGAGTGCTTGCTTGGTGGGGATGCAAAATTGTTTATATATTTTGGACCAGGGTCATCGGTATTACCTCCCAAATTAAACAACCCCTGTTGCCAAACCCAGCCTAAGCCCTGCTTTCCCTAAACAACAACAACAACAATTTATTTATACCCTGCCCATCTGGTTGGGTTTCCCACGCCACTCTGGGCGGCTTCCAACAGAACACTAAAATACAATACTGTAACCTATTAAACATTAAAAGCTTCCCTAAACAGGGCTGTCTTCAGATGTCTTCTAAAAGTTTTCCCTGCAATTCACATTAATTCTCGCAGGTTCCAGATTCCAACCCTACTATCCAGCTTAAAGATTTAATTCTTTGTCTACTGGTAGCCGCACATCTAGTGATAGCGTATCACTGGAAATCCCAGGTGAGAACTGGTTCAATAATTTTGGGGGTATAGCTAGTTCAGAACGACTAAACGGGCTTAAGAAGAGGTGCAAATGGGGTCATAAAGAAAAATATATTTGATGAAACCTGGTCTCCCCCCCTTTTTTTTATCCGTAAGGGAGGAAGAAAGTAAAGTTCTCCCACCAGCCTCACAAACCTGTCTCTGTTTACCTATGCGCACTGCCAATGTTTTAAGACCATGTAAAATGATGCAATAGCTGTTCTTTGTCTTGCTTTGCTATGACTGTATTGTATAATAAAAATATTTTTAAAAAATTAAAGTGGGAGGGTGGGAGTATAAGGGATGTTAAAGGGGCCTTTCTAGATCAGGCCAAAAGCCTGTATAGTTCAGCAGCCTGTCTTCTCAGCGGCCAAGCATATGGTCTAACGGGAACCCCACAAGCAAGACCCGGGTGTAACAACACTCTCTATACTCTGTCCGCAGTGGAGGTAGAATGTAGCCATTGTGGCTAGTAGCTGTTGATCGTCGTGTCTCCCATGAGTTTGTCCAACAAGCCATCCAAGATGGTGGCCATCTTGTGAGAGTGAATTCTGCAGTTTAGCTAAGAAGGACTACAGTTGTACCTTGGAAGTCAAACGGAATCCATTCCGGAAGTCCATTCGACTTCCAAAACATTCAAAAATCCAAGTGCGGCTTCTGATTGGCTGCAGGAAGCTCCTGCAGCAGCCAATCGGAAACCATGGAAGCCCCGTCGGACGTTTGGCTTCCAAAAATAGTTCACAAACTGGAACAGTCACTTCTGGGTTTGCGACATTCAGGAGCCAAAACGTTCAGGAACTAAGCTAAGGTTACCAGATGTCCTCGTTTCCCAGGGACAGTCCCCGGATTTACAAATCAGTCCCCTGACAAAATCCATCTATTTAATAGGAAGTTGAAAAGTGTCCCCAGATTCATTGAAAAAAATCTGGTAAGCTGTTCGACTTCCAAGGTACGACTGTACTTCTTTTGGTCTGTCCTGAATCTTTGGTCTGTCCTGAATCAGCTTCACTGGATGACTTCCAAATTATAGTATTATTGTGGCGGCAAAGGCAGGGGGAACACGTCCCTCTCTACTTTCTTCACACCCTGCATAACTTCAAAAGACTTTAAAATATGACATGGTTGATCCCGAATTACATCGCAGGAAACATCTGATAGGTACCCATTGTATCCAAGCAGTAACCTTCTGCATGGAAATCACAATAGCAACGAATGTGCCAGGAACGACTGGCTGCCTATTTTCAGGTACAAATGTGATGCTGTTTTAAACGCTCAGAAAAGCGCTGTATCCGTGCAACAAGAAAGCAGCCTCAGGAGAGAGGATAGGCAAGTTATGGGCAGCAAACAAAATTCAAATGTAAAAAGTTGGAAGGCTGTAAGCTGAGCCTTGGTAGTCATAAAACATTGTAAGTGCCTCAGGGGCAGCTATCATTTTTACGATAGTCTGTGAAGTGTGAATATTCTTTGTCTTATACAGAACTAACAGTCTCATACCCAGTGTTATTTGGGAACACTTAAGAAAGAAACAAAAAAAGTCAGTGAGGTGTTGACCAGTGGTTAAAATCAGTCCTGTTTCAATAATAATAATAATAATAATAATAATAATAATAATAATAATTTATTATTTATACCCCGCCCATCTGGCTGGGTTTCCCCAGCCACTCTGGGTGGCTTCCAACAAAACACTAAAATACAATCACTCCACCATCTTGATTCAAAATGGCGCCCAGTTGTATCCAAGCATAGATGAAGAGCTGCTTTGCCTTGTCAGGAACCGTGGTGCAAAATTTGGATGCAGTGTCTTAAGAGGTGTCCAATTGCATAGCAAACAACTTTCCAAAATATATAGTAGATGCATGAATTAATAATAAAAATAACCACTACTCATTATCCATGCAAGGCAAGTACCTGCTTCTCCCTGAAGCATTTCCTCAGAGTGTCTGGAGCCAACATCCTGCCTTTTCTTATGAGACTAAAATCTCCTCAGGAGCCTTTCCCCACTGCTATCTGCAGATCATCTCCACTTTTTCGCCGTGAAATACGACACCTGTCTCAAGCCGCTCCACATCCCCTCCATCTTCCTTGAGGATGACAGGAAAGCGGCCGCTTAACAAATGGGCTGCGTCTCTGAATATCCCCGTTTCCGTTGCGTCGCTATCATATTTTTAAGGCTGACTCTTTCCCTCCGCACTGTCCGCCCCTTGCGCAGATTGCAAAGAAGCTTTTATTGTTCGCTGAACAATTTCTTGAAATTTCCCAGCTCGTGATGTCTTTGGGGGGGGCTCCTTTAATCTTCCCCCTCTAAAGCGCTGCTTATTTCTTTAGTGCTCTCACAAAAATGGAAGCACTTTCCCAGTTGTTTATACATCACTATCCAATAGGCTCCCAGGGACGCGGGTGGCACTGTGGGTTAAACCACAGAGCCTAGGACTTGCCGATCAGAAGGTCTACAGTTCGAATCCCCACGACGGGGTGAGCTCCCGTTGCTCGGTCTCTGCTCCTGCCAACCTAGCAATTCCAAAGCACGTCAAAGTGCAAGTAGATAAATAGGTACCGCTCTGGCGGGAAGGTAAACAGTGTTTCCGTGCGCCGCTCTGGTTTGCCAGAAGCGGCTTAGTCATGCTGACCACATGACCCAGAAGCTGTACGCCGGCTCCCTCGGCCAATAAAGCGAGATGAGCGCCGCAACCCCGGAGTCGGCCACAACTGGACCTAATGGTCAGGGGTCCCTTTACCTTTTATCTAATAGGCTGAGAATGTACGGGCATAAGGAGCTGGATCAGGCCAATGGCCCATCTAGTCCAGCATCCTTCTCTTAGGTTTAAGGTGCTGGTTTTAACCTTTAAAGCCCTATACGGCCTAGGACCCTCGTACCTACGGGACCACCTCTCCTGGCATGTCCCACGGAGGACCTTACGATCTTCAAGCAAAAACATCTTGGAGATCCTGGGCCACAGGGAGGTTAGGCTGGCCTCAACCAGAGCCAGGGCTTTCTCAGCCATGGCCCCAATCTAGTGCAATGCTCTGTCACAAGAGACTAGGGTCCTGTGGGACTTGACATCTTTCCTCAGGGCCTGCAAGACAGAGCTGTTCCACCAGGCCTTTGGCCAAGGCACAGTCTGACCCCCTCCTTCTGTAATCCTCAAAGAACTCTAGCCCAACTGTTGCCATTAATTTGATTCTGAATTGATTTTAGAATGAATTGATTTTTGAATGCTGTGTTACTTTCACTGTTGTTAGCCGCTCTGAGCCCGGCTTCGGCTGGGGTTGGGCGGGATATAAATAAAATATTATTATTATTATTATTATTATTATTATTAGGCCAACCAGATGTCCATAGGAAGCCTGAAAGCAGCGCCTGAAGGCAACAGCACTTTTTCTTCCTGGCGTTCCAGCAATTCAGTAGCTTTGCTGCCTCTAAAAGAGGAAGCGTAGAGCAGGCTTCCTCATCCTCGCCCTCCAGATGTTTTGAGACTACAATTCCCATTATCCCTGACCACTGGTCCTGCTAGCTAGGGATCATCTGGAGGGCCGAGGTTGAGGAAGCCTGGTGTAGGGCATAGGCATCAAGGTTTGTAGCCTCTGATAGATGCTCTATTACTGGGGGGAAATTCACCTCTGGCAACCAAGGCACCCCTCCGATTTCAGATAGTACATGGGCAGACGAGTCTAAAAAGCCCAGGACACAAATTTTACCAGAAGCAATGTATTTAACATTAGCTCTGGTAGTGTATGCATGATTCAGACCAAACTAAGCCTCCTGCAGCAAAATATACTGTACATCAGGGCAGGATGCATGGTTGCAATGAAATAATGTGTGCAAAAATGTGTGTATTGTGATAAAGTAATAAATTAAAATGCACAATATTAGAGAAGGCAGTAATTTGAAAAAGCATTTCGTTAGGCCAGATCGCTTGCAAAAAATGATCCTATCAGGCAAAACTGTATGCAGAAATGTGTATGTCAAGATAATTTTTATCTAAAATGCTGACGAATTTTCACGAGGACTTTATTTTTATTTTCATTCAAATTGCTTTGGAAATGTGGAGAAGTGAAGTGAAGTCCAGAAAAACTGAGAGAAATTAAATGGATGGATTTGCCAATCCCTATTGAAGTGAGCTGGGTGAAAATCCCTTCCCTTCGCAATAGGGAGCAGTGTCTGCGGCAGAACGAAACGAAAACCCAAACCCACCCATAAAGGTTCAGGGGTTGGGTGGGAAGTTGTTAGAATGAGATTTTGCCTTGGGCAACAGGATAGCATGAGCCAGCTCTGCATAAACGGTAATTGCAGCAATAGATTTTGGGGTGTGGGTTAATTATATAAATCCCCACACCCTGCAAGGGTGCGGCATTGTCTTTTGACTTGGTCGTGACTCGTTGGTGTTCTTCCTTTTTTTAAAATTAAAAGTGGTGTGTCACTTCTAAAACTGGTTTCAGACGCTTCCCAAAGAGTCCTGCTACAGCGTTTCAGGGCTGTTATTTATGTGGAGTTTGGAATTCATGTGTCTACCGTTAAGTCTTCCACCGTGGGCTCTTTCCCTGAAGGGCTACCTTTCTCTATGCAGGGAGTTTTAACAAATGCAGAGGCCTTAGAAATGCAGACCCACTCAACGGAAGCTGTGAAGGCCTGATAGGACTCTTGCCACGTGATTTTGTATAGATCAGGGGTCAGCACACTTTTTCAGCAGGGAGCCGGTCCACTGTCCCTCAGACCTTGTGGGGGGCCAGACTATATTTTTTTTGGGGGGGGGGAGGAAGAAAGAACGAATTCCTATGCCCCACAAATAACCCAGAGATGCATTTTAAATAAAAGCACACATTCTATTCATGTAAAAAAACGCTAATTCCTGGAGCTGGATTTAGAAGGATTTAGATCCGGCCCCCTGGCCTTAGTTTGCCTATCCATGTTGTTGTTGTTGTTTAGTCGTTTAGTCGTGTCCGACTCTTCGTGGCCCCATGGACCAGAGCACGCCAGGCACTCCTGTCTTCCACTGTCTCCCACATTTTGGTCAAACTCATGCTGGTAGCTTCGAGAACACTGTCCAACCATCTCGTCCTCTGTCGTCCCCTTCTCCTTGTGCCCTCCATCTTTCCCAACATCAGGGTCTTTTCCAGGGAGTCTTCTCTCTCATGAGGTGGCCAAAGTATTGGAGCCTCAGCTTCAGGATCTGTCCTTCCAGTGAGCACTCAGGGCTGATTTCCTTCAGAATGGAGAGGTTTGATCTTCTTGCAGTCCATGGGACTCTCAAGAGTCTCCTCCAGCACCATAATTCAAAAGCATCAATTCTTCGGCGATCAGCCTTCTTTTTGGTCCAGCTCTCACTTCCATCCATCACTACTGGGAAAACCATAGCTTTAACTATACGGACCTTTGTTGGCAAGGTGATGTCTCTGCTTTTTACCCATGGTATAGATCAATTACAAGACCTATTTTCTTGGCCTGGCTTTTTGTGCTTGGGGCTAGGTTGATAGGAGAACCAGGTATTAACATTTGCTTGATCTCTTTTATTAAATCATTTCACATCTTATTACATGTGTGGTGTTTCATGGCTGTACCAACTGTAAGCCTCTCTCCATCTACCACACGTTCAGATCAGCCTTCCTCTGAGAAGCTCAGAGAGACATACATGAGCTCTCTTCTTCCACGACACGGCCCATATCACCCCATCAGTTTCCTGGTCAAGTTGGATGGCAAAGCCCAGATCTTACTGGTCCAAGTCCTTGAGCAAGGAAGTCCAGGCCACTGAGCTCATGCTGTTGGCTCCTGAAACTGGCCTGAGAATATTTTTGTAGCATTTGTTTACAGTGGTACCTCTGGTTGCGAACAGGGTCTGTTCTGGAGGCCTGTTCGCAACATGAAAAGAGTACAACCTGAATCGCCGTATCTGTGCAGGTGCGTGGCGCGATATAGCACTTCTGTGCATGCGGCGAAACCCGGAAGTAACCCTTTTCAGTACTTCTGGGTCGCCACGGGACGCAACCTGAGAAAACGTAACCTGAAGCAAACATAACATGAGGTATGACTATATTCTAATATTTAGAATTGTAAACGGCGTTGGATTCCTTGGTAAAAAGGTGACGTATTTATGAATTCACACGGCACCACATTAGCTTGATGAACCTGAACAGAAATGCCCACATTTTACAGCATTCTGGTCCCGTGTCCAGAAAGATGCTCTTGAGAAATTTACAAGCGTAACACGATGATCATAATAAGCATCCACGTTGAGCCTCAACATTAAGCCTCCATTTGACATTTAGCTGTCATGGTTAATGGTAGCTGGTTAGTCTTCCCTCCATTAAACAGCACAATCTTTTCCATAAAGGCATCTGAGCTTGTAGCCACCTTAGCCAGACAGGGCTTATCAATGTGATGTTGTTGGACTACAACTCCCAGCAAGCATGGCCAAGGATGATGGGAACTGTAGTCCAACAACATCTGGCTGCCTATCCCTCCTCCAGGAGTTAATCCCATGAATGGATTGTTTCTCTTGCAAGGAAGTATTTCCTTTGTTTTTGCTTCTGAATTGACTTCCTGCCAGCTTTATTGGAAGGAAAGACTAGTCGATCTAGAAGTCAATCTTGCTTAAATGGATATCAATGGCGCTCCCCCCTCCTTTTTCTTTTTGGAACTTTGTTCTCTGAGAAACACATCAAGCCTGATCTGCTGGGGTTTCAGGAAACTGGCGATGGCAGTGTCCTCTGCTGGGCTTTAGAGAGGCATTGATCATTTGATTCCTTTGCTCTTCATTTGCTTTGAGTCTGTAATTGCGTTTGGTAGTAGGGGGCTGTTGCTTTTGCGTCGTTTTTACGATGCAAGCTTTTTGACGGGTCTCGAGAATGCAAAATGGAAAACAGGATGTACATTTTAAAAACATATTTATTTTTTTTTAAAGGTGAAGTAGTTCTGCATAAGTGTGCTGCTGTAGTAAATTAAGTGAGTCAATCAATCTCTAATGCGATAAATGACCTTGAGTTCACATTGACTCTGCTTCAACCGCTGTCTTGCCTTATGTGAGTAATCTAGGCAGTCTGGCTGTTCCTCCAATGTACTCTCTTGCTGTTTAAAGGTGATTTCTTTGTTAGCTCTGGTTAGTTGTCCTTTAGCCTACCATCCGGTGCTATGGACAGTGCAATGTTTTAAAGAGAAAACATGTGGGTATATTATTATTATTATTATTATTATTATTATTATTATTATTAAATAGCCACGCGCAAGGTGGGCATCTGGAAGGGGGGGGAACCTTAACCTTTCTCTCTTTTTTAAAGAAAATCTTTATTAATTTTCACATAGAGAAATAAATATATAATACAAAAGACGATACAAATGAATAAAAACAATAAAGTAAGAAAAGTTAGAAAAACAAACAAACAAATACAATATATTACACTTACATAACAAATCAGTATATGTAACTTCCCATAATTCTCATTATACTACTTATGTTATCTGTATTCCTTGCACAGATTCATATTATTTTATTTTGTATATAGATATATAATCCACTATTACATTTTGAATAATTCTTGGTTAACCTTTCTCGTGTTGTTGAAAACAAGGGGTGGCAGAGGCACAGCCCCCTAATTAAAACCACATCCTTCCCACCCAGAATTAGAAGCCAAAATTAAGTTTTAAGGGCTGGGCTTGCTAGAAAGACTTTTCTGCTTAAAATGTCTGTTTGGCAATTATAGCTTGGGGTTGGGGGCAGAATCATGACAGACGACCACATCTTCTTGGACTTAATGGTGACTCCAAACACTGCTTCTATTATCTCAGCAATTGAGTCTGCAGTTTTCAAAAAAAAAGGCGGGGGAAAGGAAGAGAAATAAAGCGCTTAAAATATTCTTTTGAGATTTATGTTCCCATTAGAAAGCTGGCAGAATAAAGTGAGAGAAACATGTAAGGTCATAACCACAGAGAACCCCAGCTACTGCTAAGGTGTTTGGGAGCACTGCTGTGCAAATTGTTTGATTAATAACCAGGTCCTTGTCATAAAATCATTGGGTGGAGCTGTTTCCCGCCATCGCTTGTGGCTTGGCTCACTTGCCCGAGTCATCTAGGTGCTGAAGCATGGTCAAAAGCAAGCAGGAATGGGAGTCACTGAAGTTGCTGGGGGCTTTCCATGACAAGTGGGGGGTGCAAATGTACCGTGACGGACGCCAGAGCTCACGGAAATGCTGTTTACCTTCCCGCCGCAGTGGTACCTTTTTATCTACTCGCACTGGTGTGCTTTCGAACTGATAGGTTGGCAGGAGCTGGGACAGAGCAACGGGAGCTCACCCCGTTGTGCGGATTTGAACCGCCAACCTTCTGGTCGGCAAGCTCAAGAGGCTCAGTGGTTTAGACCACAGCGCCACTTGTATCCCACATGGTACAATCCCATGTGGGATTGGACCTGCATGGAGAGTGGTAGATGGTTGATGAAGGGACCGTGGGTGGGAGGAAGAGAAATGTCGGTCTCCCAAGGTGAGAAGCTGGAAAGAGAAAGGAAAGGTACCAGATGAGAACTGAGAGGGTCTGCTACCTTCTGTGGATGATAAGATCTAGGAGCTACCTTTAAGAGAAGGCTCTGTATTTTATTTGTGCTTTTTGTAGCTGTTTTTTATTTACCATATCTGTTATCCATATCTGATTGTATTGTGAAAACCAAGGGTCGGCAAACTTTTTCAGCAGGGGACCGGTCCACTGTCCCTCAGACCTTGTGGGGGGCCGGACTATATTTTGAAGAAAAAAATGAACGAATTCCTATGCCCCCCAAATAACCCAGAGATGCATTTTAAATAAAAGGACACATTCTACTCATGTAAAAACACGCTGATTCCCAGACCATCCACGGGCCGGATTTAGAAGGCGATTGGGCTGCATCCGGCCCCCGGGCCTTAGTTTGCCTACCCATGGTGAAAACCTTTAAGAAGCATCCACTCCTCGCCCCTCGCTCTAACTTCTGAGATTTTAAGGGACATTACCCACACAGTTTTGACGCTGCTTTCTCAGACATGAAGGCTGGAAACTCCATTTTTTAAAAACGGGAAATTCTCACAGTTCCTTAGGAAGCTGAATTCTGCCTGACAATTCTGGACTTTTGCAGTGTTTCTCCAGAACTGCAGCCTAAGCCCAGACCCCAGGATACAGCCACACCATCACATTCCCAATGGCATCGTAGCACAACACTAGCTCCCTTGTGCATTGGAGGGTTTTCGTGTGACATGTCAGGAAAGATCGACTAGATGGACTGCAGACTCTGACTTCACTCCAACCACCTCCACCTCCTCCTCCTTTCAGTGCCCAAATTAGGCTGAATGGATTCAAGCAGACACTGGGGTTCAAGTTTCATTGCCATAGAAAAGGCTTTTTCTAGGAGTTTGAGGAACAAACCACCTAGTGAGCTGTCTCTCTCTCTCTTTTTAAAATTGCAGCTTCAAATGTTAAGTGCAATTGTAAAAATAAATAAATAAACAGAGAAGAAGCAACCACAGTCTTTGCCGTGAATTAAATGGAGGAGAGGGTGGAATGGGATACAGTTTTGTTGAGAGTGGGGTAGGGAAAATGTATGTGAAAACCATCCAAATGCATTCTGGAATCTGCGTTTAACCAGGCCACAGGTTCCTCTCAGATGCAAAACAGCTTTGGTGGGTCTTGAGGAACGCCATAGAATTACCTAGCATGGTATCTTGAGAAATGAATCTGTTCTCTCAGCTCCTGAACCTCAAAGGGTTGTTGTGGTGATTATGTGAGGAGTGTGGAGGACCACGTACGGCACCTTGAGAGAAAAGTGGGATTTAAATGCAATAAATAAACAAAATAATCAAAGAGCTACATCTTGCATTTTTTTTATATATCAGTATGGATCCTTGAAAGCCTGCCCTTTCAGATTTCTTTTTTGATGCCATTTTGGAGTAATAATGCATTTGTTTAATTATTATTCAGTATATATCCTGCCCTTCCTTACAAAGTAGCTCAGGGTGGCCAACACCCAAGTGTTGAAAGACTTGAAGGATCTGAAAGTATCTACAAACAATTCCAGCGCAGAAATAGGCTGGGAAAGAGCTCTACTTGCTGAAAAAGTAAAGTTTTCAGTAGGCTGAAAAACGACAAAGATGGTGTCTGGCTAATATTTAAGGGGAGGGAATTCCAAAAGTTATGTGGCATGGCAGTAAAGGCCTATAATGTGAAGAATGAACCTCCTGGTCATATTTGCAGGAGATTTTCACCTGTGGAGCGCAGTGATCGATAGGGTTTACAAGGGATGAAACAATCTTTTAGGCTTCCTGGTCCAAAACTCTATAGGGCTTTGGGTGCCGGAAGCATGAATGGCATACCAAAAATGTGGAAGAGATGCACATGAAAACACACAAATTCACACACTGATGCAAAAGTGAGACAAACTGGAGACTGGAAAAATGAGAAAATGCAATTGCCAGATTTGTGCATAGCTACCCTGAAGTCTTGGGAGGAACGCAAACAATTTGTCAAATCTTAGTTTTTCTCTTCCTAGTGGAGAGTATATACCATGGGGCTTGCTATAATCACGAGTCTCTGAAAACCTCAGCAGTGATTATAATATGGATGTTGCATTGAACAAATGTGCTTCTCAGTCTTCAGACTGAAATTGGCACAAAACTGATTCTCCTCTGAAAGGCGATCCTGGGTGGTGAACATTGTGCTAGAAGTAAAACAATGTTGAGTAAGTACAGAGCTGTTAGTTTAACATCAGTGATATATGACATGGGTTCACCAAAAGTACATTGCACCAGATAGACTTTTATTTTTAATATTTTAAGAGAGAGAGAGGGAGGAGGAGGAGGAAACAAAGAAGAAATTAACTGATTTATTCTGGATGGGAAGTGTGCTTTGATCAAAATGTTTGATTACAGCAACACAGAGTGAGCAGATTATTATTACTATTACTATTATTATTATTATTATTATTTATATCCTGCCTTATACCCTCAGGTCTCAGGGCGGTTCACAGGATAAAATCAAACTACAAAATACATAAATAAAAACTACAAAATACATAAATAAAAACTACAGCAACCACCCAGTAACACCCCCCAACACATTTTAAAAGGGCGTATGATGTCAATCAAATCAAATAATGAAATAGAAAGTCAAAGATAGAGGTACTACATACTGGACTAAGAGTGAGTTGAAGGAAAGAAGATTGGAGTACATGCGTAGGAGCGAAGTTTTGAGTCAGCAGAGCTTGTTTCTTCCCTGTTTGTATGTGCATTTGGTTGATCCTGCAAGTTACGCATGTGGAGGAGCTGAGTCTTTAGAAGTATTGTCAGAGTTGCCAGGCACAGGGACAGATTTAACGTCTGGGAAAGGAAAGCAAGAATTTCCTTTCAGAAACGTCAGCTAGACAAATGGATCTGATCTTAGTTCCTAAGGGCTTCTTCACCCAACACGATACATTAACATGTCTCTGAAAGCCTCTTCCTATGGGTCTCAGAGAGCCCTTGTGCTTATTTCCTTGGAAACTGGGCTACTTGATAAAAGGTGGCAGGCAAGTGAGTGGATCATGGCGGGCAAGGGGAGCTCAGGCTTTGGCCTGCCAGCAAATCCCATTTGCCACCCTTAGGTAAAGGTAAAAGGACCCCTGACCATTAGGTCCAGTCGTGGCTGATTCTGGGGTTGCGGCACTCATCTCGCTTTACTGGCCAAGGGAGCCGGCGTACAGCTTCCGGGTCATGTGGCCAGCATGACTAAGCCTCTTCTGGCAAACGAGAGCAGCACATGGAAATGCCGTTTACCTGCCCGCCAGAGTGGTACCTATTTATCTACTTTCACTTTGACGTGCTTTCGAACTGCTAGGTTGGCAGGAGCAGGGACCGAGCAACAGGAGCTCACCCCATCATGGGGATCCGAACTGCCGACCTTCCGATCGGCAAGTCCTAGGCTCTGTGGTTTAACCCACAGCGCCACCCGCGTCCCGTGCCGCCCTTGCTTTATGCCAACTTGACAAGACAGGTTACCCCAATGTTACAGGTGAGGGAGCTGAGGCAGAAAGAGAGGCTTGCTTCGTGAGTTCATGGCAGGCAGTTGTAGCTGGCATCCGTCTGCCTGGGGAGACAATGGAGGAGTGAGCCTTTGGGGGTGAGGTCAAGCTGTTGGAAGGTTGCAGCACCTGCTGTGGCTGTAGATGCCGACATGGGAGAGACATGTTTTGTTGCAGCTGGGGCAAATGAAGGCGTCCAGTTGTGCTGCTGCAGATGCCCATGACATTTCTTCTCTCTGCAGTCACTTCTCCTATAATTATTATTATTATTATTTATTATTTATACCCCGCCCATCTGGCTGAGTTTCCCCAGCCACTCTGGGCGGCTCCCAATCAAGTGTTAAAACCAGTACAGCGTTAAATATTAAAAACTTCCCTGAACAGGGCTGCCTTCAGATGTCTTCTGAATGTCAGGTAGTTGTTTATCTCTTTGACATCTGATGGGAGGGCATTCCACAGGGCGGTGCCACTACCGAGAAGGCCCTCTGTCTGGTTCCCTGTAGCCTCACTTCTCGCAATGAGGGAACCGCCAGAAGGCCCTCGGCGCTGGATCTCAGTGTCTGGGCTGAACGATGGGGGTGGAGACATTCCTTCAGGTATACAGGACCGAGGCCATTTAAAGGTCAGCACTAACACTTTGAATTTTGCTCGGAAACGTACTGGGAGCCAATGCAGATCTCTAGTCACTGCTATTGGGTGCACAACTTGACTGCCTGTCTCCAGGCACTGTGGTCTTCTACAAGGGATTCCCACAGGGCAGGGTTAATGTTGCCAGCCTTCCTGTCCTGTTTGCAGACATCTTTGTAATGCAGAGTTGGTCTGCCAACGGGCCTGGTGCCTGAAGCCAGCTCCCTGTAGAGCACGTCCTTAGAGATCCTGCCACCTTCTGTTTTGTGGACATGGCCAAGCCAGCGTAGACATCTCTGAGACAGGAGTGTGAACCTGCTGGGAATGTTTGAGACTCATGGCAGGCAACTTGCTGAAAATGAGGATTTCCTGAGTCATCCCTCAGATCGCTTAACCACAACGTTGCACCAGCTTGATCTCCTTTCTAGTAAATCCCTACCTTGGCTGGATAAGCATATTGATTTTTTGTGTGTACGTGTGTTGTTTTTATCCAGTGGCACTCACAGAGCTGAACACAGAAGCCTCAACAGGAGCACATGAGACATGTACTCAAAACGTTGCAATTCATTTAGTCACTAAGGTGAAAGGCAAGTTCATTTATCCTGAATTCTCGTCCCATTAAAGGAGGGCAGCTGACAGAGCCCAACACTATCAGGGCTGCTGAGTTGCAGGTGGAACCTGAGCCCCAGGCAAAGGAAATCTATTTTTGCAGGTCTCTAAGGATTACACGGGAGAGTAACATTTTCTTCCTTTTCCCTGCTTCTCACCCTGTTCAAGAATGAGAATTGTGAAAAGCAAGGGGCATTTTCGTCTCCTCGCTTGTTCACATAGCTTCCTTAACTGTGATACAGTGTCTGGAATCCTTCAGGACAAAGGCCTCAAAGCAAAATCCAAGTCTGTTATATAGATTGGCGACAAGCCAGACATGCCAGGGGTGCATTTGGGATGTGAGGCTGAAATCAGTGTGTAGGTAAAAGGTAAAGGTAAAGGACCCCTGGACGGTTCAGTCCAGTCAAAGGCGACTATGGGGTTGCAGCGCTCATCTCGCCTTCAGGCCGAGGGAGCCAGCGTTTGTCCACCGACAGTTTTCCAGGTCATGTGGCCAGCAGGACCAAACCGCTACTGCTGCACGGAACACCGGGACGGAAATCAGAGTGCATGGAAACACTGTTTACCTTCCTGCCGCAGTGGTACCTATTTATCTACTTGCACTGGCATGCTTTCGAACTGCTAGGTTGGCAGGAGCTGGGACAGAGCAACGGAAGCTCACCGCGTTGGCGGGGATTCAAACTGCCAACCTTCTGATCAGCAAGCCCAAGAGGCTCAGTGGTTTAGACCACAGCACTATCCACGTCCCTAGACTAAAGGACACGATCCACTTTAGGAGGCACTGTGCCTCCAAATACAGTGGACTCGTAATCTGGTGAACCGGGTTCGCTTCCCTGCTCCTCCACATGCAGCTGCTGGGTGACCTTGGGCTAGTCACACTTCTCTGAAGTCTCTCAGCCTCACTCACCTCACAGAGCGTTTGTTTTGGGGGAGGAAGGGAGAGGAGAATGTTAGCCGCTTTGAGACTCCTTCGGGTAGTGATAAAGCAGGATATCAAATCCAAACACCTCCTCCTCCTCCTCCTCTTCTTCTTCTTCTTCTTCTTCTTCTTGTTCTTGTTCTTGTTCTTCTTCATTCTGGAGGTCTGTTCTTAACCTGAAACTGTTCTTAACCTGAGGTACGACTTTAGCTAGTGGGGCCTCCTGCTGCCGCTGCCGCTGCCGCTGCCGCGCGATTTCTGTTCTCATCCTGAAGCAAAGTTCTATTATTATTATTGTTATTATTATTATTATTTCTGGGTTAGCAGAGTCTGTAACCTGAAGCGTCTGTAACCCGAGGTACCACTGTATTGGTTGCTGGAAATCACTAACGGGGAGAGGATCTGCTACACTCAGATCCTGCCTGCAGACTTGCCATAGGCTTCTGGTTGGCCACTGTCGCCACATTCCCACCATATGTTGAAAGCTGTATCATTCCACTTTAAACAACGACAGCTTCCCCCAAAGGATTGTGGGAGTGCTCATTTGTTAAGGCTGCTGAGATGTCAAGGACTGGCTAGATGAGGAGGAATAGTGGGAGGCTACATCCAGGGAAACCCCCAGGGAAGCATCAGAGCGGGAAGGCTCCGAGTCAGGAGACTGGTGGTGGGATACAGGTCAGAGGAAGAAGTGTGGGGCAGGTGGGTTGGAGGCTGAGCAAGCAGCAGGTTTGAGTGAGAGTAAGGCAGCTGAGGAGGAGGAGGAGACTGAGGCTGCCACAGATCTTCAGCCCCTGCCAGTTCCACTCTTCTCCTCTCCCTTCCTCCCTGTCTCCAAAAACGAGGAGGGCATTACATGTAGCAGAACAAAAGGCACAGAGAGACCCTCCTTGAAGGGGTCTGCAACTGTTGGGAAGGCAGCCGGCTGGGGAGGAGCCTCAGGATGAAGTGAGAGGCTCAGGTCCTCAGTATGGCCTCGGTCCAGTATACCTGAAGGAGCGTCTCCACCCACATTGTTCTGCCCGGACACTGAGGTCCAGCACCGAGGGCCTTCTGGCAGTTCCCTCACTGCGAGAAGCCAAGTCACAGGGAATCAGGCAGAGGGCCTTCTTGGTAGTGGCGCCCACCCTGTGGAACGCCCTCCCATCAGATGTCAAAGAGAGGAACAACTACCAGACTTTTAGAAGACATCTGAAGGCAGCCCTGTTTAGGGAAGCTTTTAATGTTTAACAGACTACTGTATTTTAATACTTTGTTGGAGGCCGCCAAGAGCGGCTGGGGAAACCCATCCAGATGGGTGGGGTATAAATAATAAATTATTATTATTATTATTATTATTATTATTATTATTATTATTACTGGCAACTGCTTCATCAGGCTAGTCCTACCCATTGAGTTCTTTGTTTGTATTTTGTCTCTTTGAATAAAGAGTCAAACTACTGCTCATCTCGGAGTCTCTGTGCTGAACCAGAGTTTGTTAGGTGGCTCCTTGTGGAGCTACTGTTCCCAGAGTCCCCTGGAAAGAGGGACTGACGGTCAAACCACTTTTGGGAGATGCTCCCTAACTATAAACGGCTTGGGAATTTTGGCATGGTCCCTTGGGGCAAAGCAGCTCCTTTGGTTCGGTTTCTTTTTCCCCCATTATTAGTGGCTGTCAGTTACACCCTGTTGGCAGAAACCAAACAAAGCCTTATCTTGGGTGTAATAAAGTTCTCAATCATTGGGGGATTATTGTCCCAGAGCATTCTGGGGAATTAAAGATGGCAAGTGGGAGGAACACTGGGGAGTTTCACACACACACCTATCCTAAAAACGTGCCACACCTCCTAAATAGGGTGACCCCGTGTCCTGCTGCCAGTGAGCTACTGGGCCCAGCTCAAAGTGTTAGTACTAGAGTACAGATCCTAAATTGCTTGGGACTTAAGTACCTAAAAAGTATGTTTGTGTAGTTGGCATCCGTCTATCTCGGGAGACAATGGAGGAGTGGGCCTTTGGGGGTGAAGTTGAACTGTTGTGGAGTTACAGCGTCTGCTGTGGCTATAGAGGCTGACATGGAAGAGACATGTTTTGTTGCAGCTGAGGCAAATGAAGGCGTCTGGTTGTGCTGATGCAGATGCACCATGGATTTTCTTCTCTCTGTGCTCCTTCCACTGGTCATTCCTCCTCTGGTCAATGCAGTGGAAACACGACTTGACAGGCTGTCTCCAGGCACTGCAGTCATCTGCAATGGATTCCCACATGACAGGGTTAATGTTACCAGCCTTCATGTCATGTTTGCAGACATCTCTATAACACAGAGTTGATCTGCCAACAGGCCTAGTGCCTGAATCCAGCTCCCCATAGAGCGTGTCTTTGGGGATCCTGCCATCTTTTATTATATATTATTAATAATAATAATTTATTATTTATACCCTGCCCATCTGGCTGGGTTTCCCCAGCCACTCTGGGCAGCTCCCAACAGAATATTAAACAGAATAAAACATCAACCATTGAAAACTTCCCTAAACAGGGCAGTCTTCAGATGTCTTTTAAAAGTCAGGTAGTTGTTTATTTCCTTGACATCTGATGGGGGGGCGTTCCACAGGGAGGGCACCACCACCAAGAAGGCCCTCTGCCTGGTTCCCTGTAACCTCACTTCTTGCAGGGAGGGAACCGCCAGAAAGCCCTCAGAGCTGGACCTCAGCATCCAGGCAGAACAATGGAGGTGGAGGCGCTCCTTCAGGTATACAGACCCGAGGCCATTTAGGGCTTTAAAGGTCAGCACCAAAACTTTGAATTGTGCTCAGAAACGTACTGGGAGCCAATGTAGATCTTTCAGGACCAGTGTAATATGGTCTCGGCAGCCGCTCCCAGTCACCAGTCTAGCTATATACATGATTGTGTTTAAAGTTCTGTGAACTAAGAGAGTGCCTTCCCCAATATTTCACACCCCACAATTGGCAGGTGAGGCCTTTTTGTTGGTGCTACTTGGTTGGCTGCCTAACTGCTGTTGACCCATGACGGGGCCTTTTTAGTGGTGGCTCCCCATTTGCAGAACAAGGTGTGCCCCTCATTGTTGAATTTTTGGAGGAATCTCAATACATTCTTTCTTACCCAGGCATTTGAGGGCTGGAAAATACTTTTGCTGGCTGCTGTTTGAGAGAATACTTAAAACTGTTTTTGGAATACTTTTTAAATTTTGCCGTTGTTGTTGTTGTTGTTGTTGTTGTGTTTGCTGTCCTGGGCTTCTTTGGGAGGAAGTGTGGGATATAGATTGATTAATTGAATGAATAGATAGATAAACCTCCCATCTTATACTTGTGCATTTGGTTCTCCTTCGCGCTCATCATTTTTTAAAAAATTCATTTGCTTCCTATCGGTCGAACAGTCCAATTTATCCTTTCGAGCGTTCGGCCTACCCCACAAAGTGTCCTCGTATAAACATAGGCTCTGGCTCTGACATTGGCCCAGGTTGCCAAGAGTCTTGTTGACAGACAGGAAGACTCACCCAGCTGCGGGTTCGAAATGAGGGACCTTGGGCCGGAGAAGGGGCGTTCATCCTGTCCTCAGTTTTTGACAAAGCTCAGCAAATACTGTGGTCAGCTGGCAGCCGAGGTTAAGGCTGCTCTCACAGAGAATCCTCAGGGAAACTTTGCTAGCTTTGTCAAAAGGGTGTTTTTTATTTTATTTTTGAAGATTGCCAGGTGTTTCTCCTGACCAGGAACCTCAAAATTCACCTCAGAATTTTCCCTTCAGGTAAAATTCGGCGGCAGCTCAAGCCCCAGATCCAACAATAGTGGCCGCAGTGTGGAGAGTTTATTTACCATCCTGTTAACTCCGATGCTGCTCAGAGATAGATGAGATCCACTGGACAGTTCTCAACTAGCAACCTGTTACCTGAGAGCCCCAGGTAAGAATATGTGAAACTCCCTCCCCCCATTTTTTCAGGGTGGGGGTGTTTAATTTAAATTGAGCAGTAAATGTGCATAAAAAATGGACACTGGGCATGTTCAGCAGGCCTCCTGGAGAATGTGCACACCATCTACCCATGAAGAGGGAATTGTGCACATTTCCCAGTCAATGTGCATAATCTCCAAGAGAACTTGAAGAATACGCATTCTCCGGCCAATATGCATCACTACCAACAGACTTTGGGGTAGGCTTGGGAGTTGTGGGTGGGCAGTGCGCCGGGTGTCACCCACCCTCACTGAGGGCACCCAGGGTGGCCCGCCCCCCCTTCCTATGCCCCGAGCTAAGGAGATAAGTAGGCATACAACCTTTACAAGACACCTGAAGGCAGTCCTGTATAGGGAAGCTTTTTAAAAAATGTTTAATGTTTTATTATGCTTTTATATATGTTGTAAGCCACCCAGAGTGCCTGGGGCAACACAGCCAGATGGGTGGGGTATAAATATCATCATCATCATCATCATGGAATAGGCCGTCCCTATTTTCATCAGAGAAATGTTGCGGGGTATGTGTGTGTCTGAAAAGCAGCCTTACTCTGCTTCTGTGCTGGGCCCGGGGGTAACCCGTGAAACGCAGTCCAGGACCAGTCCAGAATCCGAAGGTTCTGCTGGGAGTCAGTCCAACAGGGCCAAGGCAAGAGACAAGGCAGGAAGCCAGGCAAGGACAGGTACAGGATCTCAGGCAGGGTCTGGCATACAGCAATGTTATTCCCGCAACCTGGGGCAGGGTCCGACAGCCTTTTATCTTTGTCGGGGTAACGGCTGGTCCTGATACCCCGGCGACTCACCTCCCTGTTTCGCCCGAAGGCGAGCACTCCTCCTGCGAGTACTCAGGTCTCTTATTCTCTCAGACCTCAGTCTCTGCAGCTTGGGAGACGTCGGTGTGTTACTAGACCTCAGCCTCCCCTGACCCGACCAGTAGTGGAGCAGCTGTAAGTGATGGCCCAGCTGAAGGCAACGAGGTCATCCCCGCATCTGGAGCCAGGGCAGGCTTAGGCCCCTGACTCGGCCCAGCTGGTGCTTGTTGCAGGGGAACCTGTGCAGACTGGGACTCTTCAGAATCAGGCCCCAGACTTGGTTCAGATGATGCCTGAGGCAAAGGATCTGGTGCAGACTGAGACTCCTCTGGTTCCAAGTCCGAGCCCAAGTCCCAGGCCATCACACCATCCATGAATGTAGTCTTTGGAGTGGGGCAAGCATAGGATTGAATGCAAAGTCTCACCCAGATTCATCAATCGGATCACAAGGGGGCAAAACTGAGGAGGCTGCTTTGGTGATATTGAGGGGGTGGGGGACTGAGGAGCCCCGTTGTCTTTGTAGTTACTAAAGAAAATGAGAAAATAAAGGAGCAACCCGCCCTAAATGATATGCTTTCTGCTGCCCCAAACCTTTCAAAAAAATTGTGTGCCATCTCCCTTTCCACACTCCCACCCCCACACCAGTTTATGGGGCCTTCTTTTACTCCTCCTCCCCACCTTACAATTGTTGTTGTTTAGTCGTTTAGTTGTGTCCGACTCTTCGTGACCCCCTGGACCAGAGCATGCCAGGCACTCCTGTCTTTCACTGCCTCCCGCAGTTTGGCCAAACTCATGCGGGTAGCTTCGAGAACACTATGCAACCATCTCGTCCTCTGTTGTCCCCTTCTCCTTGTGCCCTCCATCTTTCCCAACATCAGGGTCTTTTCCAGAGAGTCTTCCCTTTTCATGATGTGGCCAAAGTATTGGAGCCTCAGCTTCAGGATCTGTCCTTCCAGTGAGCACTCAGGGCTGATTTCCTTCAGAATGGAGAGGTTTGATCTTCTTGCAGTCCATGGGACTCTCAAGAGTCTCCTCCAACAGCACCACCTTACAATATGAGCCAGTCTCCTCAGGGAACTTTAATTCAGAATGGAGCAGGGGGAATTGGAAGCAATAAAATCTGGAACTAGCCACAGGGCTGGGCGATGGGATGAAGAGCAAAGGAAGCAAAAAGCTGGACTTGAGGAGGAGTATGTGGGGGAGAGAGAGAGAGAGAGAAAGAGAAGGGGAAATTGTGGGCTGGACCTCTGGAAAATTTTCTTGCATGGTAAGGTCAATAAAACTTCCCTTCCAAGGGAAGTGGTGTGTGTTCCCTGCAGCTGGAGTGGTTCAGGCGCATCCTTGGAAAAACACGGTGCGGGGAGGAGGGCAATGTTTGAATTTGCAGGGAACAATCCTGTCTTGGCAGGGGACGCACTGGATGTGCTAACAGGTCCATTCCTTATTATATATGTGTGTGTGTTTATCATTAAATATCTATAATTAAGAAACCCTCTTTCACACTCTTGCCTGGAGACTCTGTCCAGGGCTTGCCTGTACCTGCTTTTAATCCAACCGTAAACTTGCTCAGACGCTCAGTGGCTTCCTCGTTTGCATTGTTTCCTGTGCCCCACACCCAGCCCTGATAGAAAGATAACTCCCCTTACACACACACACACACACACACACACACACACACACAGGTCCCACCCTCCTCTCGGTGACTCAGTCCTTCAGGCTGAGAGCTGCAGCCATGTGGGCACATATGTTTCTGATTTAATGTGCCAACACGCCAACCTCAGCTTCCCCTTCGTTCCTCCCTGAGGGCTCTGCGTTGTGATTTCTCTCCCCCCCCCATTTGTATATATATAATTTGCTTTTGAAAAACACGCCTACGGCCCTTCCCCATCCTTTTTCTCCTCACCTTCTCCCCCCCCCCATTCCACTCGTCTCCCTTTCTGTGTTTTTTTCTTTTCTCTTCCTGTGGCGAGTGGCCTATTTTAGGGTTTTCTTGACAAATCCTGACAGCTTCTGAGGACAGGACACTGTCCAGGTTCGTCCGGCCTGAGGCGCTCTCTGGGCAGCTTTGAGCCAAACCAGTTTTCTGTGGGTAAGCCAGTCTCATATTCTGCAGAATTTTCAGTCAGGAAGGAAACCCACCCATTGAGTCTGCTGTCAAACAGGGTTTTATATATGTATATTTATATCCTCTTTGGGGACAGGGCAAGAGAGAATTGGCCTGACAGAATGAAATAAAGATCTGCTTAGTTGAAGCACCTTTCCCAGGAGACAGGTTTAAAGCAGACTTCTCTGACCTGATGCCCTTCAGATGTCCTGAATGCCTTGCAGACTGCAACTCACACAAGCCCCAGCCAGTTTGGCCAGTGGTCAGGGATGATGGGAATTGTGGTCCAAAACAACTGAAGCCTGGGCTAAGACTTCAGTGCCTTTTCAGGTTTAGGGGAAAAGGGACTGAGGCTGTGGTCCTGTTTCCACATACCTGGACTTAGTGAGACTTATATCTGAGTAGATATGTACAGTCATACGTCGTGTTGAAGTAGCTTTGGGATGAGTATTTTTGGGTTGCGCACTGCGGTGACCCAGAAGTAATGGAGCATGTTACTTCCGGGTTTCGCCACTCGCGCATGCACAGACGGTCAAAATGACATCACGCGCATGCATGGAAGCGGCGGATCGCGACCCGCGCATGCGCAGATGTGCAGACGTTGGTTGCGTTCGCTTCTGGGTGTGAACGGGGTCCGGAATGGATCCCGTTCGTATCCAGAGGTACCACTGTATAGGATTGGGGAGCAACTTGGTTGAATTCACTTTTGAGGCAAACCTAATTTGCACTTTCTGAAGCAATGCATAAATGGAAAATACAGCCATCCTTTGAAATTTGCGCTGCTCCGAATTTTGCTGAATTTTCACAAGGATTTTTTTTTTTTAACAAAAAGATAGCAAACTGATGTGTAAATGCAGAGAACCAAACTTAAGTTCGGAAAAAATGAGAAACTGAAAGAAACCCAGGGCTGGATTAACCATTAAGCAAAATAAGCACATGCTTAGGGCATCAAGGAAAGGGGGACACCATAGAAATTTCCCATTGCTGGATTTTTAATGTTAACGGTCACAAATTGCGAAGCTGAACATTCATTTTCTCAGCTAAAGTATATTAAGAATCCCAACAGAACAACTATGCAACAAGGCAGGCTGTGTGCCTCATCTCTACTAAGTATTGACGCAGATTTGTTTTGAGGATCTGATCAAAGACTTTGCAATTAGAAAAAGTAAGAGAATTCCCCCCCCCCCCAGATATAAACAAAGTGGAAGTATATACAAATAAACATCATTTTCCATCTTCCTGTAGGTTTTGTTTCATTTCAAAAAATAAATTTTTATTTTAAGGTTGTTTATACAGTGGTACCTCGGGTTAAGAACTTAATTTGTTCTGGAGGTCCGTTCTTAACCTGAAACTGTTCTTAACCTGAGGTACCACTTTACCTAATGGGGCCTCCTGCTGCCGCCGCAACGCCACCACATGATTTCTGTTCTCATCCTGAAGCAAAGTTCTTAACCCGAGGTACTATTTCTGGGTTAGTGGAGTCTGTAACCTGAAGCGTCTGTAACCTGAAGCATCTGTAACCCGAGGTACCACTGTATTTTGAATTAGATATATATGGGGGCACCAAAATCCTTTAAGCACTTGGGGCCTCTAAATGTCTTAATCCGGCCCTGCAGAAACCAAAATGGGTGGATTCATCCATCCCTGATCTACAGATATAAAATAGGAAGAGATATTCTCATTGTTGTCTACAACTGCCCACTGAGTGTACAATCAGCGGCAAACCTGAGTTTGCAATGTGCGGAACAGACCTCTGTGTTCTCACCTTCAGTGGTGAAATGCCCACCCCTCCTTGCACCATGCCAGGCAGGCAGAGCCGCCAGCTTGGGAAGGGCAGCCTCAAAGTCTGAGGGCCATGGAGACTGATGCCAAGAGAGCCTGAAATCCCAGCTGCGCTCTGTGTTTGCCAAATGAGAAAACGCTGGGCGCTCTGCCATGCTAGAGAGAGCCGCAGCCTGATCCCTGGAAGTTAGCAGCCAGGAAGGTGGAAGCTGGCAACCAGCCTCCCACGCACCGAGTTCTGTCCATAGAGGCTGGAAATTCTGCCGCGGACGTGTTTCCAGGTGAAATCTGAGGAAGGAAGAAAGACATCAGTGGAAAAACCTGGCCCTGGAGGCCTCCAGGATGCCAAGGGCCTTTGGAGACAACAAGCGTGAGCCTTTAGAAAAGAAGATCTCCGGGCTCGCAGGGAAATGTTGCTATTCAAACTGGGTAGAACGCGAGATAATTTAATCCCAAAATATATGACGAGGGCAGCATATGCCCTGAAAGTAAGTTATTACATGAGCACTGTTCCACAGCATTTGATATTTTCATTTACATACAGTGGTACCTCGGGTTACAGACACTTCAGGTTACATACGCTTCAGGTTACAGACTCCGCTAGCCCAGAAATAGTACCTCGGGTTAAGAACTTTGCTTCAGGATGAGAACAGAAATTGTGCTCCGGCGGTGCAGCAGCAGCGGGAGGCCCCATTAGCTAAAGTGGTGCTTCAGGTTAAGAACGGACCTCCGGAACGAATTAAGTACTTAACCTGAGGTACCACTGTACATTCATTCGAAATAAGATGGGTTTATGAAGCAATTCTATATCCTCCCACCACACTGATGAAAAACTCAACGAAACAGTAGTCTATATCCAGAATCACTGTTCAGTGTTGGACATCATATTTGCTGAATACACAAAGCTTCACAGCTTGTCTCTCATCGTACAAAGTCTGGTACCTCGCTTCATTTAAAGATTTTCAGAGACTTTGAGACTAAAGATTTCATTTTGGACTTGTTATGGTTTGAAGGATTCTATAAAAGGTTGCTTATTGCATATGTACATGGTCATCGTGTTGCCTAGACGTTGCTGACGTTCTCTTTGCAACACAGGGGTTTGTTTGGTTACTGAAAGTAAGTGGGGAAAACACCACCACCTTTTGCACACAGGTGCAAAAACCACTACCGCCTGGTGTACAAGAGTGAATAAAGATGTGAGGTCCATGTGCTCACCCCTTGGCTGTTGTTCTAAAGCCATTGCACCAACCTGCCAGGACAGGGGCTGCCTGTCCCATTTTGTGACTAAATTTTGACCTTGGAGGACTCAACCAATGTTTATGTGAACCAGCCTGCCTATGAGCTTATTTCTGTGCCCCTATAATGCCTGCTTGGCTTGAACAGCTTGCAAGGAAAGAAATCAGACTGTTGCAAAGACATTCTAACACTCTGGGACTCTTTGAAGGATATTGTCAGGGAACTGCCATCAGCTCAGAGGTGAGAGGTGGAAGGGCAGTTGTGTTACAAGCAGCCTCCGAAGATCTTGCGAAGCAGTTCTTCCTCTGGCAAGGAGGGAAGCCCCACCTCCAGTGGGGAGGAGGTGCAGGGGTCAGAAGATGCTAGGGAGAGCCTCGACACTGAGCCTGAGCAAAGCGGAGGGGAGGCGAGTCCCCCTTTGCCAGCGCCCGCTCTGCGCAGTAGTCTTCGGTGCAGAGAGGTGAGGAGAAGGTTGGGGGTCACATGGCTGTTATGCTGGGGAAGGTATAAGGACTGACTGCCCACTCCCAGATTCTGCTAGCGACTGAGCAGACATGGACTTGCGATGCTCTGCACTGTAAATAGTTGTACAGATAATAAAGCTTGGGAAAGACAGGTTGGAGTCTTGCCTGTTTGCTCTCGAGCAACCGCACCAGCACCTGACAGATATGGACCATATAATGTCTGTCCCCCGTTATCTAGGGTAATGAGGAGCTGAAACAATATGATGTGTGATTTGGTGACATGCAAAATGCATGTATTGACTTGAAGTTAATAAAGAGCAATGGAGGACATAACCTAGGACGGAAATGACACACAAACCACATTAGTTAGTAAGATTAGTTATCTTCTTTTTGCTGGCTGCATCCAAGTAGACACACAACCCATGAAGTGTTGTACCAAACCCAGATTCCCTTCCCATACAGCCACATGAATTTGTATTTATTTGCATGCCCAGAAGTAGCATTGAGTTTTTGGTACTATATTTAAGCCTGGCTTGAATAAAGTTCAGCAGGGAGCACTCTGACTATAGGTGGGCTGTGTGCCTTTTCTGTCTGATTTCCAGGAGCTGCAACTTGTTGGTGCTCTCCTTTTTTAAAGGTCCTTTCAACTAGGACTGAACAGCTCTTCAAAAGGAGGACCATCATCTGTAAAGTAAGAGACACAGCCAGCTTAGCATGGTGTTAGACCTCTTTTCTAGCCACCGTGCTAAATCATTTTTGTCTGCTTCCTCCTTCCCTCTCTTACTTCTTCCTTGCGCCTCTTCCTGCATTTCCCCCAACTCTCTGTCTTCCCATCTTCCTCCCCTTTCTTTGTTAGGAAAAGAAGCAAATAAAATGAGAGTTGAGCCATTGGTACGACCTCCCTTACGTAGAAGCAAGGACTGTAATGGGTCACGATGCAACAGCTGAAGACTCCTGCCCTGGGAGACTCTCCCATATTACAGAATTGTAGAGTTGGAAGGCACCCCGAAAATCAGTTATTCCAACCCCCTGCAATGTAGGAATCTCGCTAAAGCATCTAGCCAACCTCTGCTTAAAAACCTCCAAGGAAGGAGAGCCCAATACTTCTGGAGATGTCATACGCCCTCCCATCAGGTGTCAAAGAGAAAAATAACTACCAAACTTTTAGAAGACATCTGAAGGCAGCCCTGTTTAGGGAAGCTTTTAATGTTTAATAGGTTATTGTATTTTAGTGTTTTGTTGGAAACCGCCCAGAGTGGCTGGGGAAACCCAGCCAGATGGGCGGGGTATAAATAATAAATAATAAATAATAATAATATATCATCATCATCATCGTCATCATACAGTGCTACAAATACTCGTTTTGTTCTGCCTTGCCCCCCACCCTCTGCAGCTCAGAGCTGTCTCTGCCAGCTTGCATGGGGGGAAACTGAGGCAACAAATGAAAGTCAGATGACAAGCCATTAGCAAGTATGGAAGGCAAGGGCCTCAATTATCTATTAACCAACACAGAGCGTGACACAAAGGCAGGAAGGAGTGATTTAAGCTCTAGCAGGAAATCTTTTCTTCAGGACGTCTTCTGTAGTTGGACGGATTAGCGTAATCTTGTGTATGGATCTTAATCCGCTCCTTACTGCCTTGCACAAATCAACATGGAAAAGGGAACCATCTTTTTGTTGTTGTTGCTGCTGCTGGGTTGGTGCTGTTTGAGATGGCAAGAGAAAGGCAGAGGTTGGGAGCTGGGAGCTTCACCCATGCCGTGGGCCTTGTTGCTGGTGTCTGGGAAGCAGTGAAACCTTCCTCATTACTGTTGTGTGGAATTGTAGTGTGTGGGGGTACTTTTTGGGTGTGTGTGTGTGTTTCAACAGCAGATTTCACGTTTGCCTCTTGCGTTAGTGAGCATGGTCCCAGAATCATACAGTCTGTATAAGAGATTCTGGGTTTTGTTTGTGTGTTGTTTGGTTACATTTTTATACAGTGGTACGTTGGGTTACAAACACCTTGGGTTACAAACACTTCAGGTTACCAACTCCGCTAACCCAGAAGTCGTACTAGTAGCACCAGGATGAGAACAGAAATCATGCGGTGGCGGTGCGGCGGCAGCAGGAGGCCCCATTAGCTAAAGTGGTACCTCAGGTTAAGAACGTTTTCAGGTTAAGAACGGACCTCTGGAATGAATTAAGTTCTTAACCTGAGGTAAGCCTCCCAGAGTGGCTGGGGAAACCCCGCCAAATGGGCTTGATATTAATAATAAAATCATCATCATAAGAGATCATTTAGTTCAACTGCCTGCTGATGAAATAAATAGAGTACTATCTGCGTCCTTTTCAGGGGTGAACGAAAGCTAACCAACACCCAGGGTGGGGCAAACCGCCGACTGCGCATGCATTGCACCGCTACGTATGATGCATGCATGGTGTCGCTACATACAGCGCATGCGTGCAGCACCGTGCACACGTTGTACGTAGTGGTTTGCCGCTGCCGCCACCCGAGCACTGTACGGACGGTGGTAAGATCCTCCACTTTTGGCTGCGGTGGCGGCAGAGGGATCCCAAACTGTCCATATGTCGTTTGGGCGGCGCTGACGGCAAACCACTATGTACAGCGCATGTGCAGCGTTGCTACGTACAGTGCGTGCATTGTACATAGCGGTTTGCTGGCGGCGGCTCTTGAACGCCGTACGGACAGTGGCGGGACCCTCTGCTCATCTAGTCTATCGCCCTGCTCTCACAGGGGAATCTGAATGCCACCCCAGACTGCAACAGTCCCGATAGGTGGGATATTATGTTCTTTGTTTTTGTCTACATGTATAGGATTCTACATGCACAGCCCGTATTTGAATGTCCAGACTGTGTGTGGAGCCATCAGAAGTGGGGTCAGCACCCTTGTTGCCATGGAGGGCAGTGTCTCTCTTGTCCCCTGTGCCAGGAGTGGGTTCTCTTCTTGGCCAGATTTCAAAAGCGCCCTGTGGGTCATCAGTTCAGCCTCCTGCAAGAGTTGATCTGCCCCTCTTCTGGCATCCCAGGAAGAGACTAGAGTAGGAGTCAGCAAACTTTTTCAGCAGGGGGCCTGTCCACTGTCCCTCAGATCTTGTGGGGGGGCCGGACTATATTTTGAAGGGAAAAAATGAACGAATTCTTATGCCCCACAAATAACCCAGAGATGCATTTTAAATAAAAGGACACATTCTATTCATGTAAAAACAGGCTGATTCCTGGACCATCTGCAGGCCAGATTTAGAAGGCGATTGGACCGGATCCGGCCCCCGGGCCTTAGGTTGCCTACCCATGGACTAGAGATAGAAGGGGTGGCACAGAGAGAGAGAGGGGACCCCTGAGAGATTGCTCCAAAGGGAACATGGGTCTTGAGTTAGGACAATGGTTGCCTCCACACACTCAGCATGGTTACAATGGGGACAGGGAGTATCGGCCAATCTTAGATGGTAAAGGAAAAAACCAAACAAAGCCAGCCTTTCACTTCCACTGAACAGGCCCACAGTGCCGCAGAGATTGCTTCCTGAAATTTCTGCTTCCTAAGGCCCGGGAACCTGATGCCACATTGAGTGATTATCCTGGAACTGCACACTAGAAGGATTAAGGAGGCTGTAACACAAACCCTTATTTGTGTGGTCACTATTTAGGGCGGTGCTGAATATTCAAGTTGAAACTGGATATCTCAGCAGAGTTGAATCCTCCCTCCGAAAAATACTTCGATTGTGTGAATGTTCACCTCCCCCGCTCTCTTTTGAATAAAAGTGCTGTTTGGCATCATTTCATCCCCTGGCTCCTGCACCTTCCTAAACTAGTCACATGGGTGATTTCGACGGATTCAACGTGCATGGGTTGGGGAGCACATGTTGTAACAACCTCGCTGGAAGCTAAGCAGGTCTTGGGTTTGATCACTTCCTGGATGAAGTTCCGGAGTTGCTGGGTCAGGGAGTGGCTCCCCCATGTGGTGAACCACTGAACAGCAGGCAGCACCTCCTTGTGAATTACCCTCAGGCCCTAAACTGGTTCTTCCCTCCGACTGAAGTTCCCATTTGAAGTCTGCAAACGCATCCTCTTTGTTGGTCTTCAAAATATGGCAACCCTAATCTATCTATCTATCTTTTAAAAAATATATATTTAATTTAATTTTTACATGAAATTTCCAAAAAACATACAACATATTTTCTCATCTTATTCAGTGTTTTGGACTTCCATCAACCACATCTGAAGATTTTTCAGTCTTTTTCAGTCGATCTGCATTTCATTAATTTCACTATTACTTTTAATAGCCCTTCGCTAAAAATTCTCTTCATACTTTTCTCTGCAATATTTCATGTAGTCCTCCTTGCAAAACTTCTTGCAATCCTACTAGCGTAATCTGTTGATTACAATTGCTTTTCAAATAGTTCACATATTTACTCCGGTCCTCTGAGAATCTCTGATCCCCCAGGTTTAGAATCCTTCCTGTCATCTTGTCTAATTCTGCATAGTCCATTAATTTCATCTGCCATTCCTCTTTCGCCGGTAATTCTTCTTGTTTCCATTTCTTGTTTCAGTTTCTGTGCCAGTATTCTTGCTGCTGTATCTATCATCTATCTATCTATCTATCTATCTATCTAATCTATCTATCTTATCTATCGGCCCAAACATATGCAAATATCCCACCCTACTCCTGTCTGCAAGATGGAAAAACACAAATCAATTGGGGTCAGAAACCGACAGTGATTGGGAGACCCGGCCATCGTCCTTTTTCCCCCCAAAGGAGCTGCGGCTTCTCTCCGGTGCGACCTGCTACGCTCTTGCTCTCTCAACCACATACACAGTTGTTTTCTTAAACAGCTCTCCTGTTTGCTGACGCTGCATTTTCAATCGCAGCTGTGGACTGGCCTGAGTGGTTTGTGGCAAAGGGGAATGACTCAGCAGAGGAAAGGGGGGAGGAGGAGGAGGAGGAGGAGAAGACACAGGGAGCATTGTCATTGCTGGAGTCTTGGTTCCCGCCCCCCTTCGAATGAGAGAGTCGGAGGAGGAGGACGGGAACCCTAATAGCCAAGATGGTGGCTTTTGTAGGTGGCTGCTGCCAGATAGAATTTCTGTTTTCACCAGCCTGGAAAAGAGCAGAGTCCTCTTCCCCTTGCCCAGATTTAAAATGCCTTCTTTTTTTAAATAGAAAAAGCTGTCCCTTAGCTCCATTTTCATTTGTTTCTGGCCCCCAGAAAGCAGGGGGGAAATATTGCAGACATTGCATGCACCATTTCTGTCTTTCTGATCTGCCTGCTTGAATCGAGGAGGTACTTCAGCTTGTACTCTTGCCTTGCTGTGTGGTTGGCAGCTGTGGACTCTACCCTATTGGTTTCAAGCCTTTGGTTGGTACATTTCCTTTGCCTGCAGTGGTATTCTGTACCAGAGGGTTGAGCATAGCATAGACTTGAGACCTGCTGGCCAATTCCTTGATGATTTGAAGGAAATCAACAAGGGTTTCTGATCTCCCCTGGCTTGCTTTACTAATGCCAACAATCTGGATTTGTAAACAGCCGATGAAGCTAAACTTTGGAAGATGCAGGACAGGCGAAAGGAAGAACTAAACTCATTCCCACAAGAGGCAGTGATGGACACCAACCTCTAGAGGGGTTTAAAAGAGGATTGGACAAATTCATGGATGAGGCCTGTAGACGGCTTCTAGCCATGATGGAGCCACTGCTCTTTCTCTCCATAGTTGGAGACAATACGTAATGGTTTGGAAAACCAGTTTCTGGAAACCACTGGCAAGGAGAGTGCTGTTGTGCTTGAATCCTGCTTGCAGGTTTCCCATGGGCATCTAGTCATCCACTGTGAGAACAGAATGCTGTGCTAGACGGGCCATTGGCCTGAACAGCAGGCACTTCTTATGTTCTTATATGTTCTTATTTCCTGCCCACTCTGGTTGCATTGTTGAAATGAAGAAAGCAGGGAGTGTGTGGGTTGGTGGGGGTGTCCACCACGAGTGGATTTTCACATATGGGAGTACTGTGATTCTGCTGGGCCCGGGGGTAACCTGTGAAACGCGGTCCAGGACCGGTCCAGAAACCAAAGGTTCCACTGGGAGTCAGTCTGACAGAGCCAAGGCAGGACACGAGGCAGGAAACCAGGCAAGGACAGGTACAGGATCTCAGGCAGGATCTTGCATACAGCAATGTTGCTCCCGCAACCTGGGGCGGGGTCCGACAGCCTTTTATCTTTGTCGGGGTAACGGTCGGTCCTGATCCCCCAGCGACTCACCTCCCTGTTTCGCCTGAAGGTGAGCACTCCTCCTGCGAGTACTCAGGTCTCTCCTTCTCTCAGACCTTAGTCTCTGCAGCTCGGGAGATATCGGTGGGTTACTAGACCCAGGGGCCGCCTCAGCCTCCCCTGACCAAACCGGTAGTGGAGCAGCTGTAAGTGATGGCCCAGCTGAAGGCAACGAGGTAATCCCCGCATCTGGAGCCAGGGCAGGCTCAGGCCCCTGACTCGGCCCAGCTGGTGCTTGTTGCAGAGGAACCTGTGCAGACTGGGGCTCTTCAGGATCAGGCCCCAGACTTGGTTCAGATGATGCCTGAGGCAAAGGATCTGGTGCAGATTGAGTCTCCTCTGGTTCTGAGTCTGAGCCCAAGTCCCAGGCCATCATAGTGATGTCCTTTTGGTTCTGGAACTCAGAACAAGTTCCTGGGCTCAGAATTGTTTGATTCGACATGGAAGCTTGTTGCGTGGATATCTATAAAGGTAAAGGGTAAAGGGACCCCTGACCATTAGGTCCAGTCATGGCCGACTCTGGGGTTGCGGCGCTCATCTCCCTTTATTGGCCGAGGGAGCCGGAGTACAGCTTCCGGGTCATGTGGCTAGCATGACTAAGCAGCTTCTGGTGAACCAGAGCAGCGCACGGAAACGCCATTTACCCGCCTGCCAGAGTGGTACCTATTTATCTACTTGCACTTTGACATTCTTTTGAACTGCTATGTTGGCAGGAGCAGGAACCGAGGAACGGGAGCTCACCCCATCGTGGGGATTCGAACCGCCGACCTTCTGATCAGCAAGCCCTAGGCTCTGTGCTTTAACCCACAGTGCCACCCGCATCCCTGTGGATATCTATAGCATGAGCCAAAGCTAGCAGTGAGCAAGTGGAAGCACCTATGCGATCGCTAGCGCCTGCCTCTTTCCCCAATCCTCACCAGCACCAGTAAGTGCTGGGAATGGCAATTCTGAAGCCTGTTTGCTCAGATGCAACTGAATGAGCCAACTCTTCCTGGGTAGCCGTTGCCGGTCACTGTGGACACTTCTGAGCTAGATGGATCAAAGGTGTGACTCGCTATTAGGCAGCTTCATATGTTCCCTATTCTCCCCTACTCTTAAAACAAAATATATTGGAGTGTAAGGTGAAGCATGCCTCCCATGTTAATTCTGCAAGCCGTGTGGAATTGGTGATAAGCTCTTGGTGGGTGCAATGCGGGAAGGCGTGGAGCCCGAGAGAGAGAGGGCCAGTTGATTGATGTCATTGCCTTGGTACACAAAATATATTTCGTTGCTGTGGAGCTCTTGGAGGAGAAGCCACTGGATGAGGAGGGTGGGAGAGGAAATCTCATCTCAGGAAATCCACTCCGCCGATTTGTATTTAATTGCCGTCCCCCTCGATAAGGAACGGTCCCAGAACCCAACAGCTGTCAGCACCCACACGGCCAGAGAGTTAAAATTATGGGCAAAGAGGAGGCCAGGATGTTTAAATATGGAAGAGGGACGGCTTGGACCGAAACTTGAGCAAATCGAACCTGCTTGTTATGATCATGCTATTACATGGAAATGTGCAATTATGTCCGAAAATTGCATGTTTCTGCTGGTGGGTCAGGCAGTCGCCGTTTTACTCATTTCCTCCACAAAGGGGTAGAATGGAAATCGCCAGATGCCAACTGCTGAGGGGAGGGAAAGCACCCCTCCCCTTCTAAGACATTTTGACTTGATGTAAGGTCATTTGGAACTCCATTACGGGGCCCTTGTCAAGGACAGAAAATCCCAGGTTCCTGGTGGCCGTGCACTTAGAATATTGATGCTGGTTCCTAGAGATGTGGCGGTGACTTCAGGAAAGCTAAACTGTCTTCTTCCAGCTCTACTTTCTAAGCCTTCATTGGACATTTCTAGTGCTCTCCAGCTTACCTTATGCTGCTTGTTGTGTTTGGGTTTTGGTACTGACATTATGGAAGACTTTCCCAAGGTGCCTGGCGGTGCCCTTAGAGTTTCCCAGATACTTACTCCAGATACTTCAAGATCATAACCCATTACAAGTTTGTTTCTGGGTTTGATTCAATTTTTAATTTCAAAGTTTTAAGCCAATGTATCTGAACAGCCGAGGACGCGGGTGGCGCTGTGGGTTAAACCACAGAGCCTAGGGCTTGCTGATCAGAAGGTCGGCGGTTCAAATCCCCGCGACTGGGTGAGCTCCTGTTGCTCGGTCCCTGCTCCTGCCAACCTAGCAGTTCGAAAGCATGTCAAAGTGCAAGTAGATAAATAGGTACCACTCCGGCAGGAAAGTAAACAGTGTTTCTGTGCACTGCTCTGGTTTGCCAGAAGCGGCTTAGTCATGCTGGCCACATGACCCAGAAGTTGTCTGTGGACAAACGCCGGCTCCCTCGGCCTATAGAGCGAGATGAGCGCCGCAACCTCAGAGTCGTCTGCGACTGGACTTAACAGTCAGGGGTCCCTTTATCTATTTGAACAGCACCCTACTCCCATAGGAATCTGCCTAGTTGTTGAAATGATCTAAGATCCGACTCTGGGTGCATTGCACATATCTTCCGAAGGGAAACCAGTGGCAGGGTCTTCTAAGTAATGGCACCTTGCCTGCAGAGCTGTTTCTTCTTTCCATTTGTTGATGCCTAATTCATTGACTTTCAGGTTCCGGGTGAAGGCTGAGGCTGCCATCCCAGCTCCTTTCACCTGGGAGTAAGCCCTGCTGGATTCAGGAGGATTTACATCTGAGTAGACCAAGTTAGGGTTGTTTCCCCATGCGTTGGGTTCGTGGCAGAAAATCGGCTTCGCTTAGAAAAAGTCACAGGCGGAATCTGTAGCATTTCCAGACCAGGGTGGGGTTTTTAAGGCACACAACACCACTCGCTGAAGCGAAGCGCTGGGTTGGTCTAGTTCGCAAGCAGGAGACTGCTAGGGAACCTCAGTTCTCTTAGTGTGGACCTTTCTGCAGCCAAAACAGCACCACCAAGGCAGACAAAGAGCTATCAGCAGGCTTGGGGAGACACTAGATCAGTGGTTCTCAACCTGTGGGTCCCCAGATGTTGTTGGACTACAACTCCCATCATCCCTGAGCTAGGGGTGATGGGAGTTGTAGTTCAACAACATCTGGGGACCCACAGGTTGAGAAAGGCTGCACTAGATGAAGATGGAGCACACTCCTTGGGCACAGAATGCTGTCTGAGGGGGAAAGCGGAACACCATGGGTGAGGTGGGAATGGAAGGGAGTATCTGGGAAAGGGGCCAGGGCTGAATGGCTGCAGCCCTGAACAAGAACACTCCAGAGGGCAACCCCATTTTTACACATATTTCCCCCCCTCTCCCTTTACTTGCTCTCCTTTAAAAAAATAAATAAATACCGGCTGCACTATTGCTTCTCTGTGGTAGGCAATTTTTCACAGCAGAGGAGCTGAAGTTGAAAAGAGGGGTGGAGTAGGGACAGGACAAACCCCGAGATAAATCTCGAAGCACTGCAGATTACAAAGCAAAGCCTCTTTCAGAGGCCGGGGTGGGTTTGGCTGCGGTTTCGCAAATATAGTCTCCAGGGTGTGTCCAGGGGAGGTTTGCAATAACAAACTTGGCCTGAGCCCCACATGCCAAAAGGAGAGACAATGGCAGGTTTCCCCCTCCGGCTGTGATCTTGTGGTGTTGTGTGGTTGGTTGGGGGTGTGTGTGTGTGCGTTGGAGGAGTGGCGGGGGGGGACGAAAGAGAGAGCAGAGGGAGGGTTGTTGATTGCTGGTGCTCATAAGGCGGTTCAGGAGATTTATGAGCCAAAGCCTGCCTCGCTTGGAATGCTTCGTGGCTCGGGGGAGTGGGCGTCTCGGCGGATTAATGGATTCTGGTTTTTACCTTGCAAGCTTGAATTTCAAACCCCAGCCCTGTACAGACTGGCTTGAAGTTTATTTTCAGCCAGTGATGGCTGCCGTTTTTATATGCAGAACGGAGAAGGCTGCTCCCAACCAAAGCTCTTTCAGGTCATACACACTCTCTCCATGTACAGAGTCCGTTGCTGAACCACTACAAAGACCGGGCTCTCGTTCAACAATTTTTGACCCCTTCCTGCACAAGTGTCTCCCATAAGCCCTGTGCGTAGGGCGTGCCTTTCCTCATCACTCCTCAAAAAGCGAGCACCGTTTTGCATAAAAATGCACATGTGCTAACTTATTTGCAAATTAAGAAACAATTGCAGTCACAGGGCCGTCTTAAGCATATCTGGCGCCGTGGTGCAAAGCTCCCTCTGGCGGCCCCCTCTCCCCGTTTCCCAGCATTTCTTTTTAGGGAGGATGGTGCTGCCGGCAGGGCTGGAGGAGGCGGGCAGTGGCTGGAGGGCGGCTCCTCCGGCGGGGAAGAGGCAGAGGCTGGACGCAGGGCCTCACGGTTCAGCTGGCCACTTTGTGCCACGGTGGCCATGGCAGACGGAGGCTCCGGGTGCAGCGCTGCTTCGGCGTGGCATGGCAGAGGTGGGTGAGGGCGGCGAGCTGATGCCGGGAGGTGCCGCGTCCAGCCTCCGCCTCTTCCCTGGCACCCTCCAGAACTTGGCGCCCTGGCGCCCCGCACCACTAGCCTCTATGGGTAAGATGCCCCTGTGCAGTCATTTAAATTAGACATGCGTCTCGTCATAGCTGGGAAGATTGGGACCAGGTGAAAGCCTGCTATCCAGTTGCTACTAACTGGGATGTGGAGCTTCAAAGCTCCCTCCTGCTCTCCCTTGTTTAGATTCTTCATGTTCAAACTGAACCAAGCCGCCTTTCAAATAGAGGACGGTGCTCTGTAACAAGGCCACTCTACCCACGAGGAAGCTTTGCCAGACAGGCTGTACCTCTTCTAGCAGGAGCAAAGTCCCATCTTTTAGGACACGCCATTTGGTTGTAAAGAAGAAATGCATGTGGCATCAACTTAAAGTGTAGGACAGGGGCAGGCAATATAGTGCCCTCCAAATGTAATAATAATAATAATAATAATAATAATAATAATAATAATAATACTTATACCTTGCCCATGTGGCCAGGCCTCCGCAGCCACTCTGGGTGGTTTCCAACAGAATATTAAAACATGATAAAATATCAAACATTAAAAACTTCCCTAAACAGGGCTGCCTTCAGATGTCTTCTAAATGTCAGGTAGTTGTTTATCTCTTTGACATCTGATGGGAGGGCATTCCACAGGGCGGGTGCCACTACCAAGAAGGCCCTCTGCCTGGTTCCCTGTAGCTTCACTTCTCGCAGCGAGAGAACTGCCAGAAGGCCCTCGGCGCTGGACCTCAGTGTCCAGGCAGAACGATGGGGGTGGAGACGCTCCTTCAGGTATATGGGCCACAACTTCCATCAGCCTTGGCCAATGTGGCTGATGGTAATGAATTAAGAGAGTTGTGGTCCACAACATTTGAAGGGCACCAGGTGTCTCCTGCTGGTGTAGATGATTATCAGGTTCTACAGAGCGTTGTCCATGTGTAAGGTGGTTTGCACGATTTAAGAGAACAGGTCCCTACCCCAAAGCAGAGGTGGATTTCAGGGAGCATGGCAGGTTCCCCCATACTGGGCACTGAGCCGCGCCACACTTCAGCGTAACTATGATGTACTGAACACGTACAACAGAAGGCGAGAGGTGGCGGGGGGGACATTTTGACCTTGCATAGGGTGCTGCTGAAATTTGAATTACCAAAGTCTGCCCCTGCCTAAGAGTCATGCAGTCTATAAATCAAGATGCGTGCGGCAACTGAGGAGGAAGAGAGAAATGTGGACACAGCAGTATGCACTTATTGCAGTTGCCTGTACAGTGGTACCTTGGTTGTCAAACTTAATCCATTCCAGGACTCCTGGAAAGATTCAAAAACCAAGGCGTGGCTTCCGATTGGCTGCAGGAGCTTCCTGCACTCAATCGGAAGCCATGGAAGCCACGTCGGATGTTTGGCTTCCCAAAAATGTTTGCAAACCGGAACACTCACTTCCGGGTTTGTGGCGTTCGGAAGCCAAAACATCCGAGTACCAAGGCGTTTGACATCCAAGGTACGACTGTACTTAGGACCCTCCAGCGTGCTTTGTATTGTGCAGTCACAACAATTTGCGCTCATGATGATATCGGGGCAGTCATACGCAATCCTGCTTCTGATACTGTTTGTACCTGGAAAGGTTTCCAGGTGGATGTGCTGCTTTGGTGCGCATCCTGCAACATACAAAATGAATATGAACAAAAGGAAGACAAAACAATCCTCTGGATCCCACCCCTTTGGGGTGTTAACGGCCCATCAGTGGGTACCAGCACACTTGATTATACTTAATTCAGGCTTTTATATGTGACGAGTCCAGTTGTCGGAAGATACAAAAACGGAAAAGGAAAGATTATTAATGGATAAACATGCAGACACATATCCTTCCAAACCCCCATGCCATGTTATTGTTTGTTGCATGTTGACACTAAAGCTTTAATTGTGAGCAAGCTGTGGCTGATGAGGGCTGTGGTTCAAAACATCTGAAGACAACCAGGCCTGTGAAGACTGGGACTGAAACAGTTTGGGAGCAGATTATTTGAAGGAACGCCTGCACCCATATAAACCGCCCCCCCGGCCCAAGACTGGCCTCTGAATCCCCACTTGTAGACCTGCTGTCAACATTCATCAAAATAGTGTGTACTAGAGATGCGGTCTTTTCATTGGTGGCCCCATATCCCTGGAGCTCTTCCTAGAAGAAGTTCTAATGGCTCCTTCCTCATTAGTTTTCATATGTAACATAAAAACCAAATTGTTCAACTCTCCATTCAGTGAAAAGTATTGCGAGTTGGGTTTTAAGCTGCGGCTTTTAGCTTTTGTCACTGGGGTGTATTATTTGGTTTTTAAAAATAAATAAAATTGTTGCAGGGTTTTAATTCTCTGCCGTAAGCCATCTTGGGTGGTAGCAAGCCCCCAAAGGCATCACTTAATTGCACTCTTAGCAAGGAGCACGCCCGGCAGAACAAAACAGGACTGACTTCTGAGTAGCCTTGGATAGGACTGCCCAGTTAATAAATAAAACAGAAAGGGGCTAGGAAGAGAAATGGCCGGCTTGTTGTTAGGTGTCACCTTCATCCCTCTCTCTCTCGCTCTGTCTCGGCTTCTGCCAGCTTCACCCTGAAGGGCATGAGATTTTGAAGGTCACTGCAGAGCCGGCTGTTGCATCCTGTCCAGCAGTGCAGAGCAACACAGCTGTCGAATTGTCAGGCTGGCCAAAGGGCGGCTGGGAGAGGCCTTTTCTCCAGACTTATGTCAATGTTGTTTAGAGGGATAGTTGGGATAATTAGCAAATGATCTGAGGGGTGGGGTGGGAGTCTGTGTGGAGAGTGCAGTTCTTTTGCTGCAGGTAAACAGGCCTAGCCCTCTAGGTGCCTGGGTGGAAGACACTGAACTGCGCAGAGATAGAGGCAGAGCATTAGGGTTGGGGGATAAATTCGATTCGGTTTGCATTGAAAAGAGAGCCTAACTAAGCCTCTTTCCGAAACAAAATGTGAAACGAAATGCAGCCAACTAATTTGCCCTTCTCTAAATTTGGCAGTGCAGTTCTCCAGCCAAGCAATGTGTACATAAAATGCATATGCTGGGGTAAAGCATGCATGCAAATGCATGCTCGTAATGTACGCTGTGGGTTAAACCACAGAGCCTAGGGCTTGCCGATCGGAAAGTCGGCGGTTCGAATCCCCGCGACAGGGTGAGCTCCCGTTGCTCGGTCCCTGCTCCTGCCAACCTAGCAGTTCAAAAGCATGCAGTGCAAGCAGATAAACAGGTACCACTCTGGCGGGAAGGTAAACGGCGTTTCCGTGCGCTGCTCTAGTTCGCCAGAAGCGGCTTAGTCATGCTGGCCACATGACCCGGAAGCTGGACGCCGGCTCCCTCAGCCAATAAAGCGAGATGAGCACCGCAACCCCAGAGTCGGCCACGACTGGACCTAATGGTCAGGGGTACCTTTACCTTTACCTGTGCACTTAACATCACGTGTTGTTTGGCTCTAAGAATGAGAAAACCTTCTTTTCCTTTCCGGTCTTGTGGATGGCTTATGCTTCCTTACTCAGAAACGTAGCAAAACAAAGAAACAAAAGGCAGCCAAGCAACGACCAGAGGCACCAGCAAACATACATGTTGGACACGTGTGAAAGAGATTTGGAGACCTCTCTGCCCTGCCACTGCTGGAAACCTAGAACCGACTTCGATGGCTGGTGCATCTTAAACAACTCTTCTACCTTGAAAAGTCCAGGGGAGCTTGTCTCAGGGTACGGAGGGAAAGGAATGTGTTCTGATTGCAGAGCAGTCTGATGTTTACGGCGTGGGCTTCCTCAAGCGTGCCACTTCCCTCCCGCCCACAGAAGATCAATCAGCAGCTGAGACCTTGAGGTTATCTCTCTGCACCATGCCCACTGCCCACACTCCCAGCCAGCCAGCCTCTCTTGCTTGGCAATTACTGTGTGGGAGAAGGACGGCCGGCCTTCGGAGATGGGATGGAAGCAGCAACCGAGAGCAGCTGCTCTTGCAAGCCAACCTTCCTCAATTAATTTAATTTATTAGGATTTATACACCGCCCTTCATCGTTAAGATCTCAGGGCGGTTCACAGAATAAAATACAGGATAAAAACGAGCAAACAATTAAAAGCAAAACAGCAGCTTTTGGCTTGGCTGGTTATTGGGGTTTTTCTGGTGGTGTTAAATCCGTGTTTTCTGTATTATTTAAGTTTTATTTTAAACCATTAACTCGAGACACCTTAAACCTTGGGAAATCACCTAATAAATGCCCTTCGTGATACTTCCTTGGTTGTATTCAGCACAAAAGACATCCTTATGTGCAGAAACCTGTTTTTAAGGGCACCCCTTTTCCCACCTGGGCTATGTTGTTCTCACAGGCAGACCTGCGCGTGGGCTTTGCTGTGTCAGATTGTGGGATAGGAGCTCACACGGCTGAGGGCTTCTACATGCGAAGGGTTTTCCTGCACAAAGAAAGCTACAATGCCAGGGAGAAAGGTTTCTGGCCTAGCCCGTTCCTCAACAGCTAATTTTCTGGGAGCAGAGAACTTCCTTCCACCTGTACAGAGGGGAGCAGTCTGTACAATTTGCAAGTGGTAACAGCTCGCCTCAAAAGCAGCAACAGTGCTGAAAATACATCTTTTGAGGGAAAGTTTATGTTTCTAATTGCTGGTTAATGTAGAAATGAATTGGAACACAGGGCAAAAGCTTGTGAAAGTGGGATTCATCCATCCCTACTTATCGCTCACTTCCCAATAGAAAATATTCCCGATACAAAGGTTAGCACTGACTCCTTCCATGGCTGACCCTGTTTAGATCTTAAGAGAAAATGTGTGCTCTTCAGCACAGTTGCAGTGCATCTTTAGCCTGTAGGAATGGGAAAAACCACCCATTTTGGTTTCTCTCAGTTTCTCATTTTCCCAGTCTTGGGATGTTATGTGCAATACAGTGGTACCTCGGGTTAAGTACTTAATTCGTTCTGGAGGTCCATTCTTAACCTGAAACTGTTCTTAACCTGAAGCACCACTTTAGCTAATGGGGTCTCCTGCTGCCGCCACTCCGCCGGAGCACAATTTCTGTTCTCATCCTGAAGCAAAGTTCTTAACCTGAAGCACTATTTCTGGGTTAGCGGAGTCTGTAACCTGAAGCATATTTAACCTGAAGTGTATGTAACCTGAGGTACCACCGTATTGCCTAATATACACATTTTTGCAAACCAATTCCCCCTCATACACAGCAATGGAAACTTCTATGTCATTTTCACCAATACACCTCAGGCTTATCCTTAAAGGCAAACGGTGTATACCAAAACACTTTGGGTGAAAATGCAGGATTGCCAAAGGGTGTCTCCCCACCCCCACCCCAGATGGCTGCCTGCCTTTTAATTTTAATTTTTTTTAAAAAAAAAAATGCCTAGCCTGCAAAGCTGAATGTGCACATGTTAAATGCACATAAGTTAAAGGTAAAGGGTACCTTATTATCCTGACCACCATCATACACACTATCAGCAAATTCTTTCTCGGAACGTGGCTCCGTATGTAGGCAAAATGGTGCCGCCAATTCACAAAAAAAGCCCTAGATTTTATATGGGAGGCTAATAAATAAATTGCTGCTGCTGCTGTTGTTATATTGTGCAATGCCTCTGAAAGCAAGTGCACAGAGGAGTAGTCAGCTTGCCCCTGTCGCAGGACACAGGCAGGCAGACAACACGCTCTGTGCTGCCCCAACCTCTTGGGGCAACTTTGCTGTGCTGCAATGCTCAGGTGTGTTGCAGGGCCCCTGCCCGACCCTCTGCATCCGAGCAAGAGTTGCGCCTATAACCCCGAATTTGGAACGAAGATTGTGCTTCACTCACGCAGTGAAGCTGCACCCTCTGTGCTTGAAAAACCCATGCGGCACAAAACAAGTATTTCAGGGGATGGAAGGATGTGGGAGACACTGCGACCAAGGAGGAGTGCAGCGGCAGGGATAATTAAATGAAGGTGGAGGCCGAAGGCACAGGAGAATAATGGGAGGCGGCTCCATTTGTCGGGAACAGTCTAAATAAAGACCGAGAGCAGACAGAGGAGGGGAGGGAGGGAAGAGTGCAAGGCAGGGTGTGGGATGAGATCACGGAGGGCCTTGAAGGACAGAACAAGGAATTCAATGCCTAGCGCACGGCGAGACGCGATGTGTCTGGGGCACCTGGGAGCAGCCAACGATGTTAATCGTGATTCCCTTAATGTGCTTTCTGAAGGAGCAAAGATGGGGCGGCGAGAAGGACCGCAGGAGTAGTGAGATGATAGATGGGCATCTGGGGTGGGGAAGCAGAGACAGGAAGGGCAGGGAGGCACCTTTGTGGGAAGGTGGCGGGGGATGCTTTGTGCTGGGGACGGGAAACAAAAATTCAGTGTCAACGTAAGCTGGAATCTATAGCCTGGGTAATCATGGCAATATTGATGGGGTGGGGTGTGGCAATCACACAGGGTCCCCAGACTATTGATCCCTGTGCCACCACTTTATTTCTCGCTGCCACCAGCCAGGCCCTACCTGGTAAAATACTGAGTCCAGTCAGGGTTAAATTGAAACATAAACTTTTGTTTATTTATTGCAGTTTAACAAGCGTGTGGTTTCATAAGCAGTATCAGTCAATTACATTCATGGGGGTGCCTATCCAGACCTATAACTTCCGCTCCCTGCTCTCACTCACTAAACCACCTCTCAGATATTTACTTGTCTACCTAGCCCCTAACTGTTCCTGACTCAGCCTATTTTGCTACACCAACTCAACCTACCCACAGACTCTATCCCAATTCACTCCCACTCCAGCCTACCACCCAACGAACTCCTCACTTCACCCCTCCCAGAGCTGGTTTTATAGTCCCTCTGACTCCACCCCCTGGATTCTGACTGGGCAGCCTGTTTAACTATTTCACCTCCAGCACTCTCTCATATGTTAACGTCACATGGGGAAATAGTAAATTCTGGAGAAACCTTCCAGGGGCCACGTAGCAGGGTGGGCAGGACCAGGAGCAAAACTGGGTGGGCCAATGAATTGACTGGATTCGTGGGCATCCGGCTCTTGCATTGAAAACAGTGAGGTTGATGAATCCCAGGATCAGAGCATCATTCTCTGAGGTGGTCCTGTTTTGGCACGCCCAGCACAGGAAAATTTGCACAACCCCCTCTCTGTTGGCCTTTAAGAACACTCTAAATGGCCCTTCCATTTCAGAACTGTTTTGTCTGTTGCTTTTATCCTGATGTTTTGCATTGTTTTTACCACTATTTTAAATTTTCAAATGTGAGCGCTGTGTTGGGCTGATCGGTTGCTAGCAATCCTTCTTGGGAGGTTATAAAGCGATCTAGAAATCCCTTAAAAGATGGCGGTGATGGTGATCAATTGCCTGTATCGAAAGGCAGATTGAGTCCCAGGTTTTGAAAGATTTTTCTTTCTGGGGATTTTGTGTCTCTGCTGTCTTCAAGGATAAATACGAATGCACTAATTCATTTTGTATCTGTGTGTGTGTTTCATCCTAGGGCTCTAAGTGAGAATATGGCCAATGGCATTGAAGACCTTATAGGGATCCCATTCCCAAACCACAGCAGCGAAGTCCTTTGCGGCTTAAATGAGCAGCGGCACAATGGCCTCCTCTGCGATGTCATCCTCATTGTCCAGGACCAAGAATACAGGACCCACAAGTCTGTCCTGGCTGCCTGCAGCCAATATTTTAAGAAACTCTTCACTACTGGCACTTTAGCAGACCAGCCCTATGTTTACGAGATTGACTTTGTTAAGCCTGAAGCACTTTCGGCAATCCTCGAGTTTGCCTATACCTCTACCCTCACCATCACCACCTCAAACCTCAAGCACATCCTCAACGCAGCCAGGATGCTGGAGATCCAGTGTGTCATCAATGTCTGCCTAGAAATCATGGAGCCCAGTTTGGAGGAGGGAGACGAGAGGGAGGAGGAGGAGGAGGAAGAAGAGGACGATGAGGAAGAAGAGGAGGACGAGGAAGAAGAGGACGTGGGAGACTTCGCAAACCAGAACCTACCAGATGTCCAAGATGTCGGCTGTCACCAAAGTCCTTCCAAATCTGACCTCGCAGAGGAAGCTTACTCGGAGAGACCAAGCGGGTTTTCTAACCATTTTCAGGCTAACAACTCCAATGGCTCCTTGGGCGTGATAAGAGACTTCTCCATTGAGTCCCTCCTAAGAGAGAACTTGTACCCTAAATCTAGCATCCCAGAACGGAGGCCGGCTCTGTCTCCCTTTGTTCCTGACCTCTTCCCGCATTTGTGGAACGGAGACTTTGGCGCCTTTTCCCAGGTGGAGGAGCAGCAGGTGGACAATGGCCCGTTGGATCTGGTCATCCGGAAGAGGAAGATCAAGGAGGAGGAGAAGGAGGAACCTTCTCCTGCCCCGTTCCCCAACGACCTCTTCAAGGACATGTTTGCCAACAACCCGGTGACCCATTTGGGGCACATCAAGGCGGAGAATGATTACGGAGCCTACCTGAACTTCCTCAGCGCTGCCCATTTTGGGGGAGTCTTTCCTCGGTGGCCGGAAGAGAGGAAGATCAAGCCCAAGGCTTCCCAGCAGTGCCCCATCTGCAACAAAATAATCATGGGAGCCGGGAAGCTGCCGCGGCACATGAGGACCCACACGGGGGAAAAGCCATATATGTGCAATATCTGTGAAGTCCGATTTACCAGGTCTGCACACGTTAAAAAAATACTAGACAACCCAGCAGTTATAAGATTTTTTCCTATGCGGTATATAATGAGTGCATGCTTTATCCTGTTCTGTTTACAAAGACTTCAGGCTGTCATATGTACCGTATTTTTTGCTCTATAAGACTCACTTTTTCCCTCCCAAAAAGTAAGAGGAAATGTGTGTGCGTCTTATGGAGCGAATACAGGCTGCACAGCTATCCCAGAAGCCAGAACAGCAAGAGGGATCACTGTGCAGCGATCCCTCTTGCTGTTCTGGCTTCTGAGATTCAGAATATTATTTTTTCTTGTTTTCCTCCTCCAAAAACTAGGTGCGTCTTATGGTCTGGTGTGTCTTATAGAGCGAAAAATACGGTAGTTATTTCCTCCCCCACCCCATCTTAATCCTCACAGCAACCCTGACAGGTAGGTTGGGAAAAGATTCAGTAGGTGCCATGCGCAACTGGGGTCCTGAACCATGATCTCCCGGGTCTTAGTCCAATGCCTTGGCCCAAGGATGGAGAAAATGTAGACCCACAGGTGTCACTGGGCTCCCACTGCCATCAACCCCAATTAAAAGGTTGAAAGGTCAGGGATGATGGAAGCTGAAGTTAAACAGCTTCTGGAGAAAAATATGTTTCTCATCTTTGCATAAAGAATTCCTCAGTGCAAAGAAATCAGTTCGAATAGGAGTCTCCTAAAAACTCTCAGAGCACTTAACAAACACTCTGTACTCCTAACAAACCACAGTTTACAGGATTCTGTTGGGGAAACCGTGGTTGTTTAAAGTGATATAATAGTGCTTTAAATGGATGGTGCAGGTGTGGCCCAAGTCTGTTTTTAATAGCGTCACTTGTACACTATGGGAACTTGGGTAATGGCAAAGTTGGGCGTCTGCTTAGGGCTCACACCTCAGCAGGAGCCCACCAGTCCTTGGGATAGCTCAGTCGGTAGAGCACAGGACTCGTAATCTCAGGGTTGTGGGTTCAAGCTCCAGGTTGAGCAAAAGATTCCTGCACTGCAGGGCGTTGGACTAAATACTACTACTACTACTACTAATAATAATAATTTATTATTTATACCCCACCCATCTGGCTGGGCTTCCCCAGCCACTCTGGGTGGCTTCCAACAGAATATTAAAATACAGTAATCAATTAAACATTAAAAGCTTCCCTAAACAGGGCTGCCTTCAGATGTCTTCTAAAAGTCTGGTAGTTGTTTTTCTCTTTGACATCTGGTGGGGGGTGTTCCACAGGACGGGTGCCACTACTGAGAAGGCCCTCTGCCTGGTTCCCTGTAACTTGGCTTCTCGCAGTGAGGGAACCGCCAGAAGGCCCTCGGCGCTGGACCTCAGTGTCTGGGCAGAACGATGGGGGTGGAGACGCTCCTTCAGATGACCCTCAGGGTCCCTTCCAGCTCTACGATGATTCTATGATTCTTTGACAAGAGCCCTCCCTCTTGCTGCAGTGAGGAGGTAGACTTGGTGAGGAAGGACAGGCATGAGGGAATGAGTTGCCTGAGAGCCCTCTAGGACTGGGAGCTGATGCCGTCTGAGTGCCTTTATTAACAGGCTAAGTCAACCTCATGCCGGCTGGCGATGAGAAAGGGGAGGCAGTGAAGAAAGTCAGAGACGCCCCCAGAAAGCTGCTGCCTGGAATCAGTGTCTCCGTCTCCCAGTTGTAATCTCCAATATCATGTTCTGGTTGAGAGTATTATTATGCTAAAAGACCGTGCTCATTAACCATTAATTATCATCTGCGAGAACAGGCCTGGGAATTGATTTGCCTCTGCAGTCCAATTTAATTCGCCAGGAGGATTTTTGAAAGGGTTCTTCTGCAGAAGAAGGTTCGGCCTGTAGAAGCTGCTGAAAGCCCCTGGTGCTGGGGGCAGGGGCAAACCCCAGTCTCACGCTCCCCTAAGGATATGTGTGGGAACCAATGAGATCAGGCAAGGGAGTGTTTTTTCCCCAGAGAGTTGCATCAATCTGGTGCCAAGTACAAGAAACAGCATCTAAAGCTGCTGTTGAGAATTTTCTTTTATAGAAATGATCACCTCCATAACATAGCATGACATTAACATTCCCACCAATAGAAACATATTTACATTTTATCTAATGCTAGCTAGCTAGCTGGAGATATTGTGTATAAAAGGTAAAGGTAAAGGGACCCCTGACCATTAGGTCCAGTCGTGGCCGACTCTGGAGTTGCGGCGCTCTTCTCGCTTTATTGGCCGAGGGAGCCAGCGTACAGCTTCCGGGTCATGTGGCCAGCATGACTAAGCCACTTCTGGCAAATCAGAGCAGCGCATGGAAACGCCATTTACCTCCCCGCCGGAGCAGTACCTATTTATCTACTTGCACTTTGACGTGCTTTCAAACTGCTAGGTTGGCAGGAGCAGGGACCGAACAATGGGAGCTCACCCCGTCGCAGGGATTCAAACCACCGACCTTCTGATTGGCAAGCCCTAGGCTCTGTGGTTTAACCCACAGCGCCACCCGTGTCCCTCTCATATTGTGTATATATTGCAGTTAATGTGTGAGTTGAATGGAGAGGGTGCATAGGACAATGTGCCTCTTTAGCACTCACATGGTCAGATTTCGGTTCAGTAAGCTGAAATATATACAAGCCTTTTGGCTGTTCCTGCTTCACTCCCTCCTTCTGCAGCCAACTCCCAACCATGGCTTCCTATCCTGGCTTGTTATATTAACCATAGTTTCCTAGTTTGGGTGTAACAGGGAACAGTGGTTCACAGAAGACATCCTGGTTTGTTTGCTCACTTTGGCAAGGGGTGCAAGCATATGTGACCCACTCAGATGTTGGGCATGGTTGCCACTCGAGTGTGTGAAAGATGCACAAACCCCACATCTCTCAACGTTGCTTTCGGGATTACTCACATTCAGTGTGAGCATTTGGCCTTGAGTTTATCTGGTGCGGTGTAGCCAATCTGCACACCAGCAGCTAAGTAGACATAGGGGACATGAATGTGGCAACCATGGCGGAAAAGACTTGGGAAACCTCTTGTAGCAGCCTTATAGCAATCTGGTTGTGTGCATTTGGCACTGTGCCTGGGGCGTGGCTTTTGGCACCCCATCGCCAAGGCCCCCAGCAATCAGCAGTTGCCACTTCACATCAAAAACCAATTTCAACAGCACTCGCTTGTGGCCAACTCTGCCAGTTTGGAAACAAATCGCTGCACGGGCTTTCCCCTTTCCCATCACACATGCAGTTAGTTTTATGACTGTGCTCCGATGCTTGTTTATTTCACTCTAAAGTCAGGTTGGCGAGTTCTGTTGGCAGGAAGGGCCGTAGCTCAGTAGAAGAGTATCTGCTTTGCATGTAGAATAATAATAATAATAATAATTTATTTGTACCCCGCCCATCTGGCTGGGTTTCCCCAGCCACTCTGGGCAGCTTCCAACAAAGATTAAAAATACATTAAAATGTCACACAATAAAACCTTCCCTGAACAGGAATGCCTTCAGATGTCTTCTAAATGTCAGGTAGTTGTTTATCTCTTGGACATCTGATGGGAGGGCGTTCCACGGGGCGGGCGCCACCACCGAGAAGACCCTCTACCTGGTTCCCTGTAGCTTTGCTTCTTGTAGTGAGGGAACCGGCAGAAGGTCCTCGGTGCTGGACCTCAACGTCCAGGCTGAACGATGGAGGTAGAGATGCTGGTTCTGGTTCAATTCCTGGCACCCCCAGGCAGGACAGGGGAAGATTTCTGCCTGAAATCCTGGACTTTCACAGCCGTTCAGCATAGGCAGGCCTGAACTAGATGAACTGATGTTCTGACTGAGTGAAAGACAGCTTCCTATTTTTGCGATCGCTGAAGTTTCTCCAGAGGCATTGCCCCTCCTTTGTTGCTGCCTTCAAACAAAATTAGGGAAAGAAAGAAGCTGCGCTTCTGTCACTGCTCGTGAAGACCCTCAACCCCAAGGAACAGCTGAAGAATTTCTCTTGCCCTTGGAAAAAATGGTGAAATGGTACCCTGCCCCCCACCCACCACTATAAAGGTAAAGGGACCCTTGACCATTAGGTCCAGTCGTGGCCGACTCTGGGGTTGCAGCACTCATCTCGCTTTATTGGCCAAGGGAGCTGGTGTACAGCTTCCGGGTCATGTGGCCAGCATGACTAAGCCACTTCTGGCGAACCAGAGCAGTGCACGGAAACACCGTTTACCTTCCCGCCAGGGCGGTACCTATTTATCTACTTGCACTTTGACGTGCTTTCGAACTGCTAGGTTGGCAGGAGCAGGGACCGAGCAACAGGAGCTCACCCCGTCGTGGGGATTCGAACCGCCGACCTTCTGATCGGCAAGTCCTAGGCCCTGTAGTTTAACCCACAGCGCCTATAATAATAGAATAGAATAGAATAGAATAGAATAGAATAGAATAGAATAGAATAGTGGAGCCACCACTATATTGTTCCACAAATAGGGTAGAGAATTTCAAGAGGCCATTGGTACCCAGCAATCATTCACTGTAGCTGCTCTATTTTCCAGGCAGCAGTCTGGGGGCTGGAAGTATATTCTAGCATGCAAATAGACCCCTATTACAGTACCTTCTCTGTTGCTACCACCTGACATTTCCATTGCAAAAACAAGGGTCTGGTTCTCCTGTTAAAGATGGCAAGGCTCTTTTATACAGCAGCCCTCACCTAGCAAGTAAGGATTTCCTAAGAAGTGCAGGGCATTATATACAAAACTCAAAGAGACACGTGCACATTCAGATCAGAGAATCAGAGTTGTAGAGTTGGAAGGGGGTCATCTGGTCCAACCACTGCAGATGACTAGATGACTCAATGAGATCCAAGAAAGGCGAGTCCACCAGCTCTTGTGGGAGTCTGCTCCATTGTTGAACAGCTCTTACTCCCAGAAAGTTCTTCCTGGAGTTTAGTTGGAATCTCCTTTCTTGTAACTTGAAGCCATTGGTTCAAGTCCTACACTCCAGAGCAGCAGAAAACATACTTATTCCATCTTCCATATGACAGTCCCTTAGGTATTTGAAGATGGCTATCATGTCTCCTCTTCTCCAGGCTCCTTCAACCATTCCTCATCAGGTTTGGTTTCCAGACCCTTGATCATCTTGGTTGCCCTCCTCTGCACATGTTCCATCTTATCAATATCCTTCTTGAACTGTGTCACCCCGAACTGGACACAGGTTTCTAAATGCAGTCTGGCCAAGGCAAAATAGAGTGGTACAGTGGACGCTCGTGTTGCAAACATGATCCATGCGGGGTGCACATTCGCAACCTGCAGCGTTCGCAACCCACAGCGGCGCGTCTGCGCACGCGCGGGTCGCAATTCGGTGCTTCTGCGCATGCACAAAGCACGATTTAGCGCTTCTGCGCATGCGCAACCCCCGAAACCTGGAAGTAACCTGTTCTGGTACTTCCAGGTTTTGGTGGGTCCGTAACCCAAAAAAACGCAACCTGAAGCGTCTGTAACCCGAGGTATGACTGTACTATGGCTTCCCGTGGTCTGATGTGGAATCTTTCTCACGAGCATGCACACACTTAACTTTAGGGAGGAAGTATATTCACAAGAAGAGCACTAGCAGATCATATCAAAGGTTCACCATCCCATTTCCCCCAGTAGCCAACTTGATGCCTATTTAGGAAGACCACCAGCAACAGGGTGGCTTTAACTTCCACCCTTAGCAAGGCGCAAGGCGAAGTCTGCCTTTTCGTGCCGGTGAGCACATTTGGAATTTTGAGGAAGCGCTGTGGGCATCAGTCACAATTCACATTTAAAGTAACACTGCTCCTATACTGGGAGGTTCATTTTCCTTATGAACAAAAATGTTTTGACGCTTTCCAATTACAGTCTGGCAGGGCTTCCTGGGATCCACTAAGATGGCTTTGTGGCCTTAGAAGTTGGCTCCAAAATCAGACAGAGAACCTATGTCTCTCCAGATAATCAGTGATCTCCAATTCCCATCAGCTCCAACCAGCATGAACCCTGGTGATGGATGATGGGGGGTTGGCAGTTCAGCAATCTCCAGAGCGCTACGGGTTCCCCAGTCCATGGTGGCACCAGGTTTGTGCCAAGTGCCCTGGCGTTGCAAAAACAAATGCTAAGATCGTAGCAGTAGTTTAAAGTGCCACTGCAGTTTTGTGTGGATTTTTAAATTTTTATTTTAAGGACTGCATCATGCCAAGCCATGATTCATGCATCCTTGGACTGGTATCAACATGCAAGTTGATGACGGGACCATTTGCAAATCCATTGTGCACAGAGGGAGGCAATTGCTCTTTCCTGACCTGCCCAGGTTGCATCACACTGTTTGCAAACCCTCTGAAGGGCGGGTTCCAAGAGCACAAGCTGTGACCTTGCATGCCGGTACAGCTCACCTTGGAATGAATGGATGGGGCTGAGCTGTGGGACATGGTGGAATTATTGGGCTTATTAGTTTACAGCTTACTAGTTCACAGCAGCTAGACTGGTGACTGGGAGTGGCCGCCGAGACCATATAACACCGGTCTTGAAAGACCTACACTGGCTCCCAGTACGTTTCCGAGCACAATTCAAAGTGTTGGTGCTGACCTTTAAAGCCCTAAACAGCCTCGGTCCATTATACCTGAAGTAGCGTCTCCACCCCCATTGTTCTGCCCAGACACTGAGGTCCAGCTCCGAGGGCCTTCTGGCGGTTCCCTCGCCGTGAGAAGCCAAGTTACAGGGAACCAGGCAGAGGGCCTTCTCAGTAGTGGCACCCGCCCTGTGGAACATCCTCCTACCAGATGTCAAAGAGAAAAACAACTATCAGACTTTTAGAAGACATCTGAAGGCAGCCCTGTTTAGGGAAGCTTTTAATGTTTGATGCATTACTGTATTTTAATATTTTGTTGGAAGCAGCCCAGAGTGGCTGGGGAAGCCCAGCCAGATGGGCGGGGTATAAATTATTATTATTATTATTATTATTATTATTATTATCCCATCAGTGGACGTGGTGCTTTCTCACATAGACAAAAGGGGCATGCCCCCTACATGGAGGAGCTTACGGTGTAAAAGTTGAGGGTGATGGAGAATGGATTGCAGGGGGAGAGGGAACAAGGGGTTCACAGTCCTTGGTGCTTCACCTCAAAAAATACATTGCATTGCTGGGAAACATACATAAGGGATAGCCAGCATTGCGTCATCGAGATGTTTTGGCCAAAGCCCAGGAATGATGAGCTTTGTAGTCCCACCCAGAGGGCACGAGATCGGCTACGCACTTTCGTCAGAATAAGTCCTATTGAATTAGATGCCTCTTACGTCTGAGCAGAGAAGCGAACAATTGCTCTGTTAAATGAATGAAGGGTTGGAAAACTAGAAGGACAGATCAAAGGGCTTGAGGTCTTTTAGTGTAGAAGAAGAAATGATTCAGCGGGGAGTCGGTGAAGGTTGAGGTGTCACAAAACGGTGATGAGAAAGCTATGGGTAGACAGAAGCTTTTCTCCCTCGCTCATAATGCTAGAACTCAGGGAGAGCCGATGAAACTGAATCTTGGAAGATTTAGGATGGGTAAATGGAGGACTTCTTCATACAAACACATACCATATTTTTCGCTCTATAAGACGCTTCAGACCATAAGATGCACCTAGTTTTTGGAGGAGGAAAAGAAGAAAAAAATTCTGAATCCCAGAAGCCAGAACAGCAAGAGGGATCACTGCGCAGTTTCTGGGATAGCCGCGCAAAGCCTTTGATCTTCCACCAGAAACATGCCTTTCATCTTTTTAAAGACACATAAGTCAGTGACCGTCACCACTTCCATGCTTCAATTACCGTATTTTTCACTCTATAAGACTCACTTTTTCCCTCCTAAAAAGTAAGGGGAAATGTGTGTGCGTCTTATGGAGCGAATGCAGGCTGCACAGCTATCCCAGAAGCCAGAACAGCAAGAGGGATCGCTGCTTTCGCTGTGCAGCGATCCCTCTTGCTATTCTGGCTTCTGGGATAGCAACATGAAGCCTCTTCAGGGCAGCGGGAAGAACACTCCTGCCCTGAAGAGGCTTTGCGCGGCTATCCCAGAAACTGTGCAGTGATCCCTCTTGCTGTTCTGGCTTCTGAGATTCAGAATTTTTTTTTCTTGTTTTCCTCCACCAAAAACTAGGTGCATCTTGTGGTCTGGTGTGTCTTATAGAGCGAAAAATACGGTGTGTGTGTATATATGAGTGCTGCCAAGCCAAATATTGGCATGTTTAAGGAAAGGGCCATAGCTTAGTGGCAGAGAACGTTCCTTGGATGCAGAAGGCCTCAGATCCAACCCCCATCATCTCCAAGTAGAGCTGGAGAAACTCCATTTCGGAAACCCTGGAGAGCCAGTCAGCATGGGAGCCATGGGATGACACTTTGCCCAGGGCTCCCTCAGTCCTGGAGAGCCACTGCCAGTCAGCATGGGAGCCATGGGATGAGACTTTGCCCAGGGCTCCCTCAACCCTGAAGTCAGCCCTGAATTACAGAGATGCTGGAGGCTGAGTTCTGCATCTAAGGCATGTTCACTGAGTTATGGCCCCTTCCCAAAATAGGACCTCCCCCTGCCGTCAGCACTATGCATTTAAAGCAGCATCGTGCCCCTTTGAAAGATGCTGGGGCTTCCCCCACAGAATCTTGGGAACAACAGATCTCCCATTTCCATGGTGGCTTAACCATCAGTCCTTCTTTCCAGGGAACTCTGGGAATTGTAGCTCTCTGAGGAGGACCAGTGTCTCCTAACAACTCTCAGCACCCTTAACTACATTTAAAACAGAATGAAAGATGCGGATTTGAGATGTGGATTTGTGCTGCCACCTGCTGGCTCCAGGAACTTGCTGCTCGCTCAGTTCTTTGTGTGCTAAGCTTTCTGCACAGAGAGGTCCAGTTGCGGCATCTAAGATGGTTTCCAGGAATCATTGTTTGACTTGTGTCTGCATCTACTGTGGCAAAAAGTTGGAGGTTCCTCAGCCTTTTAGTTCTTCTGTTTGATGTGGCCTCTCTTCAGTTGCCTCGATCCAGTTCTTGGAAGTAAAGTCCCCAAATCCCAACTAGATTAGCCCATTTTAGAATCATAGAATTGTCATCTAGTCCAACCCCCTTCAATGCAGGGATCCTGCCCACAGCTGTCCCTGGGTGGGCTTGAACCACCATCCTGTTGGTTAACAGCCAGACTCATCAAAAGAACTGTGCGTGCGAATTTGACAATGTAGCCCATGTCTTTACGCCGAGTACTGTTGGGTTTTTTTTGCAATTGAATAAATTAAGAAAGTGGGACACGGGTGGCGCTGTGGGTTAAACCACAGAGCCTAGGACTTGCTGATCAGAAAGTCGGCGGTTCGAATCCCCGCGACAGGGTGAGCTCCCGTTGCTCGGTCCCAGCTCCTGCCAACCTGGTTGTTGACATTTTTAGGAGCAGAATGTTTAACTGGCAGTGGCCTAGAAGTGCTTTCCTCATATTTATATTATTTTATGATGTTCATGTGGTGTGGTGTAGTGGTTAAGAGCGGTAGTCTCGTAATCTGGGGAACCGGGTTTGCATCTCCGCTCCTCCACATGCAGCTGCTGGGTGATCTTGGGCCAGTCACACTTCTCTGAAGTCTCTCAGCCCCACTCACCTCACAGAGTGTTTGTTGTGGGGGAGGAAGGGAAAGGAGAATGTAATGTTAGCCGCTTTGAGACTCCTGAAGGGGAGTGAAAGGCGGGATATCAAATCCAAACTCCTCCTCCTCCTCCTCCTCCTCCTCCTCCTCCTCCTCTTCTTCTTCTTCTTCTTCTTCTTCTTCTTCTTCTTCTTCTTCTTCTTCCTCCTCCTCCTCCTCCTCCTCCTCCTCCTCCTCCTCCTCCTTATGGAGTATTAAAAAGCAATGTTTATACAATCCTTAACTGTTCTTTTCAAAGTTGTGTTTCTCTTGTGGTTCTTTTCCTTTAGCTACAGTCCATCAACACTGAATGGCCCACAGAGTCTCCATCTGATTCACAGAATCATAGAATTGTCGAGTTCTTCCTGATGTTGAGTCAGAGTCTCATTTTTTGTAACGTGAAGCCATTGGTCATACTTTTCAGAGCAGGAGAAAACAAGCTTCCTTTATCTTCCATGTTCCATAGCCCTTTAGATATTTGATTATGGTTATCATATCTCCTCTCGTTCTCCTATTTTTCCAGGCTAAACATATCCAGCTCCCTCAACCATTCCTCATAAGGCTTGGTTTCCAGAACATTCCTGTGTTCCTAAACTAGCCTCCCCCCCCCCAATCTTGTGACTCCAGATGGTACTGGATTCCCAACTCCCATCCATCTCAGCTGACCTGGCCAGCCATCAGTGATGTTGCGAACTGTAGTCTGAGGGCCACAGATTCAGAGAGGACCTAATAATAGTATAATAGTAATAGTAATAGTAGTAGTTAATAATAATAATAATAATAATAATAATAATAATAATAATAATAATTTATACCCTGCCCATCTGGCTGGGCTTCCCCAGCCACTCTGGGCTGCTTCCAACAAAATATTAAAATACAGTAATGCATCAAACACTAAAAGCTTCCCTAAACAGGGCTGCCTTCAGATGTCTTCTAAAAGTCTGGTAGTTGTTTTTCTCTTTGACATCTGGTGGGAGGGCATTCCACAGGGCAGGTGCCATTACTGAAAAGGCCCTCTGCCTGGTTCCCTGTAACTTGGCTTCTCGCAGTGAGGGAACTGCCAGAAGGCCCTCGGAGCTGGACCTCAGTGTCCGGGCAGAACGATGGGGGTGGAGACGCTCCTTCAGGTATACTGGGCCGAGGCCGTTTAGGGCTTTAAAGGTCGGCACCAACACTTTGAATTGTGCTTGGAAATGTACTGGGAGCCAATGTAGGTCTTTCAAGACCGGTGTTACATGATCTTGGAGGAGCTGCCCCGAACTGATAATGTTGCTTCTCCTTTTTGCAGGCAAGACAAGCTGAAGATCCACATGCGGAAGCACACGGGAGAAAGGCCCTACCTCTGCATCCACTGCAACGCCAAATTCGTCCACAACTACGACCTGAAGAACCACATGCGCATCCACACGGGCATCCGCCCTTACCAGTGCAAGTTCTGCTACAAGAGCTTCACCCGCTCGGACCACCTGCACCGCCACATCAAGCGCCAGAGCTGCCGGATCTCCCGGCCCAGGAGGGGGCGCAAGCCGGCCACCTGGAGAGCGGCCAGCTTGTTGTTTGCGCAGAACGGCCAGCCGGACGACAAGAGCTTCCTGGTGCCTCCGGCCCTTGAGGAGATGAGCAGCCATCTTGGCAGTGCGGCCATGTGCCTTCCGGGCCCCAGCCCTAAGCATTTTATGGACGGGGCCAAGAACGCTCTGAATTTGCAAGAGCTGGAGAGCCAGTTTGAGGAAACCCAAATGAAGCTGTTTGGGCGGACGCACCTGGATGTGGAGAGGAACGGAGGCCTCTTTGCCTTCGCGCTGGGCCACAACGAGAGCCTCTCTGCCCGGCCGTATTTCTCCCTTCCCGACCCCTGGGGGACGGGGTTCAATGGACTGGCGGGACTCAACCACCTTGCTCCCATTTCCGAAGCGAGCAACTAAGTGCCACCTTCTATCCAATGGATGGTTTTGGTAGGTCGACTGTTGGCTGAGGAGCTAAATTTCAGCTAGGAAGCCAAATCATGTGCAATACTGACTCTTTACTTCTTTCTCTCCCATACAGTACATGTGATTGGTTAACTCTGGTCACATGGGAAGTACAGTGGTACCTTGGTTCTCAAACTTAATCCGTTCCGGAAGTCCATTCCAAAACCAAAGCGTTCCAAAACCAAGGTGCACTTTCCCATAGAAAGTAATGCAAAACGGATTAATCCATTCCAGACTTTTACAAACAACCCCTAAAACAGCAATTTAACATGATTTTTACTATCTAATGAGACCATTGATCCATAAAATGAAAGCAATAATCAATGTAACGGTAAAAGGGCCCCTGACCATTAGGTCCAGTCGTGGCTGACTCTGGGGTTGCAGCGCTCATCTCACTTTACTGGCCGAGGGAGCCAGCATACAGCTTCCGGGTCATGTGGCCAGCATGACTAAGCCGCTTCTGGCGAACCAGAGCAATGCACGGAAGCGCCGTTTACCTTCCTGCCAGAGCGGTGCCTATTTATCTACTTGCACTTTGACGTGCTTTCGAACTGCCAGGTTGGCAGGAGCAGGGACCGAGCAACGGGAGCTCACCCCGTCACGGGGATTTGAACCGCCGACCTTCTGATCGGCAGGTCCTAGGCTCTGTGGTTTAACCCACAGCGCCACCCACATCCCTTCTCCCTCTGACTACTCATCATCAACCCACCGCCAGACCTCAGGCTCTGAGCCTTCTTCCCTTGGGGGTTACCCAGCTGGTACCCCCCCCCCATTCCTCTGCATCCAACCAGTCCAGGATAGGGGCTAGGGGTTGGTTGTTAAAAGGTAAAGGTACCCCTGACCATTAGGTCCAGTCGTGGACGACTCTGGGGTTGCGGTGCTCATCTCGCTCTATAGGCCAAGGGAGCTGGCTTTTGTCCACAGACAGTCATGGGGAGCTCACCCCGTCACGGGGATTTGAACCGCCAACCTTCTGATTGGCAAGTCCTAGGCTCTGTGGTTTAACCCACAGCGCCACCCGCATCCCTTAATAATCAATGTACAGTACTACAAAATAAGTAAGTCAGTATTGTAGATGATAAAAATTAAAATTATTATTTCTTTCTTACCTGCACTGATGATAGTAATTCTTTAGATATGGGGCTTTTATCCATTCCATAGTCACACAATCAGTCAATGAGTAGCTGAACTAGGTTCCACACAGTCACAAAAACAAATTAACCGAAAAAGCCTCAAAAACAAAAACACAGAATAAATAGCAAAAACAAAAGCACCAGACTTAATCCATTTCAGAAGTCCGTTTGACTTCTGAAATGTTCGAAAACCAAGGTGAAGCTTCTGATTGGTGCAGGTGCCCCGGAAGCAATAGCCGACAACCACATCAGATGTTCGGCTTCCAAAAAATGTTCAAAAACCGGAACACTTACATCTGGGTTTTTGGCGTTTGGGAACCAAGGCATTTGAGAACCAAGGTACCACTGGATCTTATTACATTTGCCATTTTGTTTTGTGTGTCAGTGACTTGACTGCAATGGCTGCATGTCCATGAACACTGAAGAAGAGGCAGCGTTAGATAACTGTCTCTCCAACGCAACAGAGGAGAGGAGTGCTAGATCTTAGGACACAGCCAGTCTGTTATGGGAAGAAACATTGGGGTCCTGAGCTGTTTAGGGCTTTAAAGCACCAGCACTGGAAGCACACAGGCGGCCAATGCTAATTCTTTCAGAATAGGTGTAATATGTATCAGTTGAAATTCCAGCAGGCAGTTTCTGCACTCATTGAAGCTTCCAGGTTGTCTGTAAGGGCAGCCCCACAAACTGTGCATTACAGTAGTCTAGCTGGGAGGTTACCAGAGAGCATGGTAAGGTGACCCCCCATTTTTATGTGCAACCTTCCTTCCAAGAATAATGAAAGAAAAACCATAGGACCATGACTTTAAAGAATGGACTACTGAAAGCAAATTTCCCAGTACCTGAAATTTCTTTTCTTTTTCTCTCCGTAGGCCCCCTTCAGCACTGCTTGGCTCCCTCTGGTGAAGGGACCTTTCAAGGATCAAAGACTTTTTTTTCTTACTGGAAGACTGTTGAAAATTAAATCACCCCCCCCCAAAAAAAAACTGCCTGCGTTTGTTTAAAACCCACCAAAAGTCTTCTCTTATTTGCACCAATGTGGGGAAGGAGAAGAGAACTTTTCGAGAACCGCGTCAGACTATTTTTGTTTCTAAATGTACAGACGTCTTTCTGAGCTACTGTTTTGCAGATTATGGCTTCCTTCAGGTTTTGAGGGGTTATTTGAGTGTGGGGAGGGCTTGCGGGGTGGGGTGGGTGTCCTACGATTTGGAGTCCTTGTAAAATATCCAAAGATTCTGAGTACTGTATAATCTACAAGAACTTGAAGCAAAAGGGACATGCTTTTGTTATGTTTCCTGTTTGTTGGGACGGGGTATTGTCAGGAGGGTGGAAGATCCTTTGGAAATTTTCTATTTATAACTATTTTTATGTGACTGCTTTATGTAAAAAGAAGAATGGGGGTGGGATACCATGTCAAACAGATTTGCCTTAGATAATCAAGGGACAATCATCCTTAACTCTTGTGGACGCTCTAGATTCTTGTTTTAAAAGACCGGAAAAGATACTTTTATGTATTTATTAAGCAGTATTAGTTGATTTTCTTTTTCTTAAATTATTGGCAACATGCAGGGTTTTAAAAAAATGCACATCAGTAAAACACGGGGAAGGAAAAGGCTGATTCACACATTACAGGACAGCAAACCTGGGTTTGTCGCCAGGTGTACACTCAGCAGGTGACATAACCGTGGCCGTTCATGGCTTTCTGACAAATGTACTTCGATAATGCACGTGTTTGTAAGCGTATGTCCTTAAGACATCTTCAGGGTACACCGAAGAAACGTAATGTGTGAAAAGATGCTAGCAGGTGTTCCAAAATTTAACCCAGCCTTCCCCCAACCTGGTGCCCTTCAAACGTTTTGAACTACAACACTTAGTTCAAGCCCACCTATGTACATTTAGTGCCATTCTGTTTGACTCACGGGACCCCCAGACTGGGCTGCTTCCAAAAGCCTTTTCCATGTGACTTTGCACCTTATTAGACTTCTTGATTGTTAAAGGGAACAATGGACGCTGATTGTGTTGCTGTTGTTAACAAGTTAAGGCTGATTGCCCCTGGATGATCTCATTTGGGTTATATGTTAGCTGGCTTGTGGCTGGGCTCATTTTCTGGTGGAAGGGACATTTACAGACCATAATGCTCTCGCAGCTTCTTGACATTTCACTGCAATGCAGGCCCCCTGGCATCCCATAATTGCAGCTGCCTGCTTCGAGGGGGCGAATACCCCATTGTGGGCTGCCCTGCCCTTGACTAATTGTTCCCTGTGATCAAGTACGTGTAGAATTTTCCACAGCATCTGGAACCTAGATTCTGACAACCTTCCACTTTCCTTTGTTTTATTTCTCTTTGTTTTTGTTTTTATAAATAATGCATCCTTCTAGACCCTATGATTTTGGAGATACATTTGAAGTCATGCGACATGGACAGCTGCTCACTTTGGTGCAACGAGCTCTGGTTGGTGCCCTGGTGAGAGATCTGCTCTACAAAAGGATTTCAGCACCACACACACATAAAGGGATGGTTGCCCCTCCACTGAACAGGAAATCTTGCTTCCACAGAAGCTCTCTCTCTCTCTGTGTCGGCATCACAGCATAGGTTCTGGACTATAGCAGCTTCTGAAACTTTGGAGATAGGTTTGAAGCTCAGTTATGCATCTGCTGCATTGCTGACCTTCATCATCTACCCATGCGCCTTGTGTTTCAATTCCCCCGAAGTTATCCACATGTCCGCCATGCAGGTGGAAGCAACTGTGGGCTTTTCTGCCTCCTCTTTCCACTCCAACTGCAGGCAAAAACAGCTGCTGCCAGAGAGGTCTGTGAAAATAGTAGACACAGATGCTCTCTCTCTGGTAAGGAGAAGGTAGATGCAGCTAGCAGGTGCAAATACTCTTCTTCTTGTGGGAACTGGGGAATGGTGTGACCCAGAAGGAATCCCTCCAGCTTCACATCAAGTCCTCCTAGATCAGGGATGAAAAACCAGTGGCTTACCAGTTGTTGGACTTGAACAGCCCAAGGAAAACATGGTCAGGGATGATGTCCAGCAAGATCTGGAGGGCCACAGGTCCACCACTTCTTTCCTAGAAGATGTCGGCACAGGGAGAATGGTGTGCTTTAAATGTCTTCCCACATTTAGAGGGTAATACCTGAAATTGCCCATCATATCTGCTAGTGCTAAAGCAGGAAATTGCCACGCAGACATTCCCAATACGCATCTCCAACATTATTCTGGTCCAGAATAAAACTAGCGTATAACTGAGCAGGGTTTTGTGCAGAAGATATTTGCATGAATTACAACTGATTTGTTCCATTTATCAGAATTGGAGGGGAGGGTCTCTCACTCATGCAGAATATTATCCTGTAATTCATTCCTCACAATGTGCAGGATGAATATTCTGATGCACCCGCTTCCCCAGGAAGTTCATTCTGATCAAGGGTATCGCTGGAGACAATGCAAAATCTGACAGGCCACAGTCTAGCATAGCTGAGCTGCCCAAAGCCCATAGGAATCAATATTAAAAGTGGGTTGAGCTCCTGAGCACGGGCTGATTCCCAAGTGACGAATGGACCATCACAGGCATGTCTGAATGGACCACCACAGATGCAAAACCACAGGCTTGCACTTCCAACACACAGGTCTTCCAGTGGTGTCAGTTCACACCTTCAGCTGCCAATCACAAAGTGCACAGTAATCATGTTTGAGAGAGAAGGAAGTGGTGGGAAACACTTGAGTAAACCAATCGAAGAACAGATTGCAATAAAATGCCCCAGTCAAATACTCTGCTATAGGCCCCAAAGCTTTGATGCCTGCATTCATCCACTCTTCCCAAAGGAATCTTTGCAGGCATTGCTTTGTACAGGTGTCCAGTCCACAGCGACCACCTTTGTTTCAGTAGATGAGGAGAACTGCACGGGGCAGCCCATGGAAGCAGAGAGGGGCAATGGAGATTTGTGTGTGTGTTAACTGAAATTTCAGAAGACGGTTTAAAAATCGTCAGCGGACAGGGATTCAGGGCCCACCTTAGCCCTTCCCTGTGACTTGAGAAACCTGAATCAATTGTGCAGAACAGTAGGTGGGGTGAAAACTGCGGTATAAGTGATGCAAAGTTTTAAAAAAATGATGTAGCATTGCTCAGTTTGCATAATTTATGCAAGCCACAAAACCCAGCTTTTGTATTGCTCAGGAGCAGACTATTATTATTATTATTATTATTATTATTATTATTATTAAGCATTAAGTACACATGGCCCCAACTATTTTGATCTTTCCATTACCCTTTCTGCTTCCACATGACTGGATCTCATTACACACCGATAACGCTTGACATGGGGAATGAAGTGGAAGTCCCAAACCATGGCATTCCCCCTGCTTCAAATGTTACCCATGTGGTCCTGGACATGGGGCAGAGGCAGTCATTCTGCAAGCCTTCCTTTTAGTCAAGTGGTTGTTCTGCACAGGTGTTTCAAGATACCTTGAGGATGAGCTTGCATGAGCATCTCTGGCCAGGGCAGTAAGCAGTCCATGTGAACATGTCGAGCAAATGTTTTACTTGCACTAATTGCTGTAGAGCAGAATGTGATCAGACTCCTTCCATTTGATTTATTTGGGGGCAGGGAAGAAATTGCAAATCCCATCCACTGACAAGGAGCCGGTCCTGTAAACATACCTATTGCACATTTTTGCAACCCGTGGACAAAATAAAATATTATCTCAAATCAACCAGTGTCCTAAACCTCTCAGAATTATGTGTTGTTATTTGATCTGCATCTGTTTCTTAAAGGTAAAGGTAAGGGGACCCCTGACCATTAGGGCCAGTCGTGATCGACTCTGGGGTTGCGGTGCTCATCTCGCTTTACTGGCCGAGGGAGCCAGCGTACAGCTTCCGGGTCATGTGGCCAGCATGACTAAGCCGCTTCTGGCGAACCAGAGCAGCGCACGGAAACGCCGTGCTGGAGTGCTACCTATTTATCTACTTGCACTTTGACGTCCTTTCGAACTGCTAGGTTGGCAGGAGCAGGGACCGAGCAACGGGAGCTCCCTCCATCGCGGGGATTCGAACCGCTGACCTTCTGATCAGCAAGTCCTAGGCTCTGTGGTTTAACCCACAGCACCACCCACGTCCCTATCTGTTTCTTAAGGCCTCCCTAATCCTCAACCTTCTAAAAGTTCAATCTGATACGTGTTTGCTCTGAAATAATTCCCCATTAAATTAAACAGGACTTACTGGAATGTGTGCAGGAAGAGGAGAACTAGGATGATCAAGCATCTAGAAGTCAAGCCTTATGAGGAATGGTTGAAGGGTCTGGGTATGTCTAGGGTATGTCTGGGAAAGAGAAGACTGGGAGGGGAGATGATAGCCATCTTCAGATATCTCAAGGGCTGTCATATGGAAGATGGAGCAAGCTTGTTTTCTCCTGCTCTGGAGAGTGTACTTGAACCAATGGCTTCAAGTTACAGTGGTACCTTGGGTTACATATGCTTCAGGTTACATACGCTTCAGGTTACAGACTCCGCTAACCCAGAAATAGTGCTTCAGGTTAAGAACTTTGTTTCAGGATGAGAACAGAAATCGTGCTCCGGCGGCGCGGCAGCAGCAGGAGGCCCCATTAGCTAAAGTGGTGCTTCAGGTTAAGAACAGTTTCAGGTTAAGTACAGACCTCCGGAACGAATTAAGTATTTAACCCGAGATACCACTGTACAAGAAATGAGATTCTGACTAAACATAGGGAAATTTTTTCTGACAGTGAGAGCTGTTTGACAGTGGAACAGTCTCCCTCGGGAAGTTGTGAACTTTCCCCCCTTGGAGGTTTAGAAGCAGAGGTTGGGCCCCGGGCCTGAGTTCCTTACTCCTTCCAGTGACTGACAGCGACTCTCCAGTATTTCAAATGGGTTTCTCCCAGTCCTACCCGAGTCTATCTGCATGCAGTGCAGATGTTTCACTGCTGAGCTATGGTTTAAGAACAATAATTTCTGTAGCTCTTCAACACCATCTAGTGGCCAAATAATGTGGGAAACTGTCGCAGACAAACTGCACAGTGCTTATTTATTACGAAGATATGAAATTATTTTATCTTCTCAAGGCCTGATAAAGAGTTCTGGGGAAGCGAAACGCCTGCATGCTATTTTGCAACATTCCTCTGGCCTAATAGTGGTATTTATTTCATTTATTTGTCTCATAAAATTTATTCACCACTTGATTGTAAACACACACACACCTTAAAGCGGTTTACAAGGAGGTATTGCCCTGCTGTGAATTTTAGGGGTTTTTTTAAAAAAAGAAAGATATTTTTTAAAGTTTACAACACATCCAAAATGAATTGTGTGAAATAAGGTGACAAATAAATGAATATCCCATCAAATAGTTCCCATGATGGAAATCTATTTCTGGGCTGCAGAGAGCTGGAGAGAGTGAACAGACCACAACCAGACTGCGGTGTTTGGGGTGAACCAAGAGTTCATCCCCAGAGCTTCCTGTTCCTCCCCACCATGTGACTTCTTCAAAGCAGAAATGGTGGCCCAACTAAATGAACACAGGAAGCATTAGAAATGCACATTGCATAATCCACTTATGGTTTAGTAAGTTGACTCTGCCTCTCCAGTTACCTGTAGCCAGTTTTAATCTAGATGCAATGCTACCATAGGGAGAATTTTGCCTGATTCAGATGGATCACTGGTATTGTTAAATAGCCCTTGACGTCAAACTCTATTATCATAAGTGTGTTTACTTCTAACTCCCACTGCTGTCAATGGGGAATGTTTGCTAGTGCATTGTATTTTAACTCATGGATAAAAAGGTAAAGGTAAAGGACCCCTGGATGATTAAGTCCAGTCAAAGGCGACTATGGGGTTGCAGCGCTCATCTCGCTTTGAGGTCGAGGGAGCCGGCGTTTGTCCACAGACAGCTTTCCAGGTCATGTGGCCAGCATGGCTAAACCGCTTCTGACACAATGGGACACTGTGATGGAAACCAGAGTGATGGAAATGCCGTTTACCTTCCCGCCACAGCGGGAACTGTTTATCTACTTGCAATGGCGTGCTTTCGAACTGCTAGGTTGGCAGGAGCTGGGGCCGAGCAACGGGAGCTCACCCCGTCATGGGGCTTCGAACCGCCGACCTTCTGATCGGCAAGCCCAAGAATCTCAGTGGTTTAGACCACAGAGCCACCAGCGTCCCGTGTCTAAGTCATGGACACCCAATGGACACAGCACACAGTTAGACTGAAGGACTTGCTATCACCAGAGGCAGTGACAGCTAACAGCCTAGATGGATTTAAAAGAGGACTAGACAAATTCATGGAGGGGACAGCAACAGATGGCTACTAGCCATGATGCCCAGGCTCTTCGTCCAAGGTCCAAAGTCCTGCTTGCAGATTTCCCACCAGCATCTGATTGGCCACTGTGATAATAGGATGCTGGAGTTGATGGGCCATTGGCAGGTTCTGAATAAAGTACTAAGCACCTGTTGCTTGCAGAATTTGGGACCCTGGCTTTCAGCTCCAGCTCCAGATGTCAGAGATCCTGGGTTGGACAATTCCCAACCAAGGTCAGGAATGGCTCCTGACAGCCCCCCCCTCCCGCCATCTGCTCTGAAGAATGGAAACGTGGATCTCCAATCCGCATGCCATTCTCCATGTCCTTTGAGTGCCCTTTTACTCCACAGAGACCAGTTGAGGTCCAAGTGGAAGCCATAAACTTCAAAGTAAGCTGAGATGGGAGCATGTGCTATCTTGTGAAAAGCATTTTAGAGGCAAGGTTTCCAAATATCTGAAAAGGTAAAATTGGGGTGGGGTGGGGAATAAATTAATAGAAGAGGAAATTATCCACATGCCTGGCAGGAAATGGTGGAGAGAAGATGATGACATCTTGCAAAAAAAAGAAAGGGGTGGGGGAGAGAGACAATTGCAAATTACATAAATATATGAATAATTCAATCATGGGTGACTGACATACAAGAAGTTTTGCATATTGAGTAGATGTGACTTTAGCACTCAAGCAAGCATCTTTGCACATCTGTGAGGCCTGAAGGAGTCATAGAATTGTAGAGTTGGAGGGACTCGGAGCCTCATCTAGTCCAATGTAGGAATCTCAACTAGAGCATCCATGATAGATGGCCATCTAACCTCTGCTTTAAAACCTCCAAGGAAGGAGAGTCCACCACCTTCCACTGTCGAACCGCTCTTACCATCAGAAAGTTATTCTTGATGTTTAGTTGGAATCTCCTTTCTTGTAACTCGAAGCCACTGGTTTGAGTCCTACCCTTCAGAGAAAACGAGCTTCCTCCATCTTCCATGTGACAGCCCTTTTTAGATATTTGAAGATGGCTATCATATCTCCTCTCAGTCTCCTTTCTTCCAGGCTAAACATACCCAGCACTTCAACTCCACATTGTGTGCGTGATTCAGATTGGCTTGGGGGCAGGAGAGAGACATCAATGTCCTCATCGGCTGTAGAATGGGGGTGGGGAACCTCATGCCTGGAAGCCAAATGCGGCCCCAGACCTCTCTTACTGGCTCTCAAAACTCCCCATGCCACACTCCCTCTCCATCTCAAGAGACAATGGAGTGTGCCTCTGGGGGTGAAGTCAAACTGTATTAGCAGGATTGAAGAGACCTCCCCAGGGCACAAGCCTAGGCAGTGTGTATGAAGGTCCTAGGTTGTCCAAACAACAAGAACTGCCCCCCCCCCAAAGCCTCGCTGATGTGGTCCAAAGGAAAGCAGAGCAAGACGTTTAGCACCAGTTTGGCCGCAGGAATTGCTAGAAGGAGGTGTATAAGGTACCATCCAACTGCTTTGGGGATTCCACTCCAATTTTGCATAGGAGATGATAGATAGATAGATGATAGATAGATAGATATCTTCCTTTCATATGTTTCCAGTGTGCACAGATGGTGTAGAAAATTGGGGTAAATCTCATTTAGGCCCTAATCTGCACAAACATATGCTTAATTAGCCCTAGCCCTTTTTTTACATAGTATATATCGGAAGCAGACTGTATTGCAATAACTGACTGATCGTACAGTAAATTGGCTTATTCTTATCTTCCTGTCTGTGTCATTCAGATATTGTGCTGAGTATTAACTTCATCCTATTGAAGAGATAAATGAGAAAAGAATAAAAGGTGAGATCAGGGTTAATCAAACTAAGCCCAAGATTATTGCATGCACTTAATTGGGCTCACATGACTTCCATAGAACCCTTGCTTTCCTATTACTTCCCCTGCTCTCTTCCAGCATTATGGCTTTATAAATATGGTTTGGGGTGGCCCAAAAACATGCAGAAAGGATTGGCTTAAGTTGTGTGATGCTTTGGACATTGTTGTTTTCACAGGAGGGGTGTGGGTGTAAGCATGAGGGCCACCTTTGCACCTGCCATCGTGAGACATCTGCCAAGGTTCAGACTCCATCAGGTACAACTGCCTTGGTGGCCACCCAAGACCACCCTTGAAAGGTGGGGTGTAAATTTAAGAACGAGGCAATGTTAAGACAGGTCCCTTGTCAGGGCTGGGCTGGGAGAGGAATCCCGTCTGCACTCCAATCCAGATAAGGAGATCCATGGGTAGAAGGTGGCTCCTGTATGCTTTGTACTTGCTGGGAAGTGGGATGAGACCATAGCTCATTGCAAAAGGTCAAATCTTTGGGGGAAGCTGGTTTGCTGTGCAAGACCTCCCAAGCTGCTAAAATTCTGCAACCTGAATTTGCCACAGTCTGGAAGCAGCCCGAGAGAAATCATTATG